AAAAAATTGTTTATCATCATCATAATGACACCATGATGTTTCTATACAGTCTATGGTCTATACCCACACATACACACACACACCCACACACACACACACCCACACCCATAAACACACACACTCCACACACACACACACACATTGAAGGGGCTTTTTGTTACCAATTATTTATTTTGTCATCCATTTATTGATGATTTTGCATCAAATGTTAGTGTGTAATATAACACTACACATTGTTTTCAATAAAAAAGCAATTGCACACAGCACGCAAATGGGTGACTAATTTGCGATTAATCGCGAGTTAACTATGAAATTCATGCGATTAATCGCGATTAAATATTTTAATCGTTGGACAGCACTAGTAATAATTAATAAGTTTATTTACATAGCGCATGTGGGAAAGCCAAGAGCGCTCCAAAATTGTTTAGACTTTAGAGAGAAAAACAATCTCAAATCACAAACTGATATCTTTTGTTTTTTAAATTGGCCGTCTCAAGGATTGTTTTTCAGACTCTGCCACACTGTACAGGGTCACTGCTGGACACTGAGGGATCAGAACAGCCCAGAGCAGACACCATCCAACCAGCCGCAGATCGTAAAAGCGACATAGCTACCTCCGTGTGCCCCTCCCCCACTACAGACCGATGGTCGTAGGTGGCAGTGAGACCGGGGCCACAAAGTGGGGTTTTCTGTAGGCAGTGGTGGGTGAGTTGTTTTGCAATCTGGAAGTGTGCCCACTTTGCTTGTTTCACATCGAGCCAGTGTGACCTTTCTACCTGCAGGTGGTTCGAGGAGTCTGGAAACACAACCCCAAAATTCACACCCTTCATACATCCACACACACACATACACACAATCATACACTCACACATTCACATTACATATAGATACATGAAAAAGCAGAACCTGAGAAAAAAATATTTTAAAAGTTTACTCCAATGTAAACAAATATTTTTAATTGTCTATCACTTGAATCTTTATTTGAATCAGTATTTTTTGAGACCAGAAATGTTCATTTGAATTCTATATTGTCATGGACTTAATTGACCTCTGTGTCCTGACACTTTTGATTTTGTAGATTTTGTACTGTGTGAAGTAATTACATTGATGAGGATTACATCTGATAAAAACACAAATTAGAGAAGTAAACTGAATCATTGCCTTGCTTTTGTCTGAGAGACATTAGCAACAGCATGAATAGAAATTGTGTTACAGTAGAATCAAAATGACTTTGAGACCATAGAGAGTAACTACTGCATAACAAGCTGTGTACAGGAACTGTGACACTGCACCATTGACCAGAAGTGCATCGCAAATGACCTGATGTGCTTCAAGTGAAAAGACTGTATCTGGAGATCCTGATGTGCATCTGGAGAGACCAAAACCATGGCTTGGACCCTACTGATGTCCAAGATGACGTCTCTCTATGACCTGACCTGATGACGACTGAGACTCACCCTCAGGGGACCTGAGGACCTGAGGACCTGAGGACCTGAGGATCTGAGGACCTGAGAGAGAAAAACTGGGGAGTGATGTTTATATTATTAAAATCATACATTGATGAGTGCTAAATGAGAGAGATACTCATGATTCTTTCTTTTGTTTTTGTTTGTCTCTAGCTTCTGGACATCTGATGATCTATTGGACACAGACATTTGCAGAACAAGAACCAGCCAATGAAAAACCATCTATTGCCGATGCTATTGCTACAACCAGAACCACAACTGTGACCAAATGCAATACATGTAAAGTATTCAGACATCTGACAGACAAAAACTTTGACTTTTTAGTCTGGGAGACTGAGCAACTGTTAAAATGTTTTAAAATGATAAAGTATGGGTATTGTAGCATTTTAGTAGATGTTAAATAGTAGTAAAAAAGTAGAATTGTCCTTCCTTTGTTGTTCATAAACACATTTCCACATAGGAGTTAAAATCATAACTATACAATGTTATCCTTTTGATAGATCAGCTATAATATTAGAATCAGAGTTATTTTACAGCCATTAAAAGTGCCAGAAGTCACAAACTAGAAATATGCCTTTGCTCAAGCTGCAGCCGAGCTTTTGAGTAAACAATAGTGTAGAAATAGAATTAAATAGATGCATCAACCATAGATGCTTTCAAAAATAGAGAATATTTCTAGCCAGTGCTAATATCAAACGGTAAAAGGACCATTTCACAACCTTTACTTGAAAAGTAAATAAAGTTAATTACAGTTTTATGCAGAGTTTTATTAGATACTTGTCAAATTCACTTGTGTTCAAACATCTGTGAATGTTGACAATGCAAAAAGTTCATGAGTGTAGCCTAGACTAATGTAGCTTAGATTAATGAGATAGATTAGAACCAAGAGAGATTCAAAAGCATTTTTGATGCATTTGGGTATAGCCCAAAACAAAAGTAGATATTTAGATATTTGAGAAGTTTAAAAAGCTGTCGATTCGCCAGCACAGATTAGAGAATCAAACACCATTGTAGAATAACTGACCCCAAACCTGCTAAAATAGATTAGCTCTTGTAAGGATAATACTAATTTGATTAATGATGTACATTCATCCCAAACTGTCTGAGAGGAGGAAGTGACAGCACTTCCTGTTTCAACAAATGTATTTGGAAAACTGACCGCCATAATAATGTTCATATTAACCATTTGTCTTTCTGTGTTCAGTTTTATTCCTGAGAATGTAGAATAGACATGGAGCAAAATCCCACTAACAATAATCCACTGATAATGAGAGTATATAATACCACAGAGAGATTTATTAGATTCAAATGTATGTTTAAGAATATGGCTCAGTAAAAGCAAATATACAAACATATTTGTAAATAGATTAGAACACCAGATCTAACCAGGACTGAAGCAGATCTGACACGGTAAGACTTTTGAGCCTTTCACTCTGCTTTTAGCTCTAAACAGTTTCTTTATATTCATGCTTTTGACTCGGCAGGAAATGAGCTTTTGTACAAAGAGTGGTTTGACCTCAGACTGCTCTACTGAAAACTCTACTTAGAAAAAAATGGACTCTCAAGTTTAATTTCATTAGTGTTCTCTGTAAACAGTTATACAGAGAGAGCAGAGAGCAAACTACCACCAAAACTGTTGAGTCTGAGGAACTACCTTTTGGCATTTTTTGGCTGTTTTTATGTTCTCTGCCATTTCATTTTATGTTTAACAGATATTCTAAGTTATTGTCCTTATTTGGACAATTTTGTTGTCACCGTTTTAGTGACAATTTTGGTCAAAGCCCGTTACGTGACCAAAAATGTCTCTAATATAAAGACGATTTCAGGATTTCTGTTTTGCTGAAATATATAAGAGAAGTACATTTATTAACTTGTTGTCTTGTACAATAATGGGTTACTTCAAGTTTCATTAACGAGGTTATAAGGTATTTTAAAATCCATGTTAGCATGTAAAGATCAAGGTTGCATTATTCATACAAGGTAAACATTACAGTACTTGATAAAGACCACTGAGGTATGGTACAGGGCGACAGTAGCTCAGTTGGTAGAGCATTGGGCTGAAGGTCATAGGTTCAATTCCCACCTCAGTCTGCACTGCCTCACTCCTGGATATACAGTCTCAGTCCTGGGTCTACAGCCTCAGTCCTGGGTCTACAGCCTCAGTCCTGGGTCTACAGCCTCAGTCCTGGGTCTACAGCTTCAGTCCTGGGTCTACAGCGTCAGTCCTGGGTCTACAGCCTCAGTCCTGGGTCTACAGCCTCAGTCCTGGGTCTACAGCCTCAGTCCTGGGTCTACAACCTCAGTCCTGGGTCTACAGCCTCAGTCCTGGGTCTACAGCCTCAGTCCTGGGTCTACAACCTCAGTCCTGGGTCTACAGCCTCAGTCCTGGGTCTACAGCCTCAGTCCTGGGTCTACAGCCTCAGTCCTGGGTCTACAGCCTCAGTGTTGGGCAACACTTAACCCCACTTTGCCCAAAGCCCCCGCTTGAAAGATCGAGGCTATGCTCACTCTGACAGAGCAGCCGTCCTCCTGTGGACTCACCACCTGCAGAGGGTCAGTGAGGGGCTGGTGCTGTGTGACTTGGGTGGCTTCTCTGATTGCCACCCCCCTGACCCAGAAATGAATTAAGGGGTAGAAAATGGATGGATGGTATGGTACAGCTACTCCAGTACGGCGTAATAAATAATTCAAAGTAAACACATTTGGAAGGGTACGATTTTAGTGACCTGAACGAGTAAAGTGTAATTGGCAAAAAGTAGGGTTTCATAAATAATTTTAAGTAGACGTTACACATTAACAATGAGTAATGTTTTACTAATTTATATTTGTAAACTTTAATTCGCACTGGAGTAAGGTTTTATAATTTATTGTGAGTAAACTTTACCTGGTCAAGAGTAAAGCTTAATACATTATTTCATGCAGACTTTACCTGATCTGATTGTTGAGTCAGTTACTCAATTAGATCGTGTGCAATTAGTGTCCACACTTTCTTTGAGTAAGGGTTACCAATCAAACTTTACAGTGTACTTGCATGATGAAATATATTTACACGTGAGCAATTTGCAAAAACGTTACAATGTTACATGTTCCTCATGATTATCTCTGAATAAACTTGACGTAAAGTAAATCAGTATTTTAACACTCCAGTTTTGCTGTGTACTTTCAGCTGGTTTCCTCATCATCATGTTCCAGTAAAAGATACAATAACAGACATTCTTAATTAAACATACTGAATATTAGACACAGAAGGGAGGCACGGTGGCGCAGTGGTTGGTCCTTGTTTTTACTCCACCTCCAGATCTTTTTGTGTGGACTTGTTTTCCTGTGTCTGCATAGGTTTCCTCCGGGTGCTCCGATTTCCCTCACCGCTAAAAACAAATACAATAGTTCTGAACCGCACACCACACCTCCTATGGCGAGAGGAGACCCATCTCTGTGTGGAGTAAGAGAAGTGCCCAGAACAAAATAGTTAAAGATGACTAACTTACTGTGTAACTTACGGACAACGACATAGAGTCTGGGGCCTGTCCTCAGAGACCTGTCCTCAGAGACCTGTCCTCAGAGACCTGTCCTCAGAGACCTGTCAGGGACCTGTCCTCAGAGACCTGTCCTCAGAGACCTGTCCTCAGAGACCTGTCCTCAGAGACCTGTCAGGGACCTGTCCTCAGAGACCTGTCCTCAGAGACCTGTCCTCAGGGACCTGTCCTCAGAGACCTGTCCTCAGAGACCTGTCCTCAGAGACCTGTCCTCAGAGACCTGTCCTCAGAGACCTGTCAGGGACCTGTCCTCAGAGACCTGTCCTCAGAGACCTGGCCTCAGAGACCTGTCCTCAGAGACCTGTCCTCAGAGACCTGTCCTCAGAGACCTGTCCTCAGAGACCTGTCCTCAGAGACTTGGCCTCAGAGACCTGTCCTCAGAGACCTGTCCTCAGAGACCTGTCCTCAGAGACCTGGCCTCAGAGACCTGGCCTCAGAGACCTGGCCTCAGAGACCTGTCCTCAGAGACCTGGCCTCAGAGACCTGTCCTTAGAGACCTGGCCTCAGAGACTTGGCCTCAGAGACCTGTCCTCAGAGACCTGTCCTCAGAGACCTGTCCTCAGAGACCTGTCCTCAGAGACCTGGCCTCAAAGACCTGGCTCAGAGACCTGTCCTCAGAGACCTGTCCTCAGAGACCTGGCCTCAGAGACCTGTCCTCAGAGACCTGGCCTCAGAGACCTGTCCTCAGAGACCTGTCCTCAGAGACCTGTCCTCAAAGACCTGGCCTCAGAGACCTGTCCTCAGAGACCTGGCCTCAGAGACCTGTCCTCAGAGACTTGGCCTCAGAGACCTGTCCTCAGAGACCTGTCCTCAGAGACCTGTCCTCAGAGACCTGTCCTCAGAGACCTGTTTCCGTTGCAGGAGGTCCAGGATGCTGTCTCTTGTTCTCCTTGGAGGAAGTGCGGTGGGGAAGAGCTCGGTGGGGAACACAATCTTAAGACGGAGAGTGTTTGCGTCTCGCCCGTCTCTGAGACCTGTGACGACCCGCATCGAAGAGAACACCGAGGAGGTGTGTGGACGACAGGTCTCTGTGGTGGACACGCCTGGGATCCTGAACCCCGGGGCCCTAGATCTGATCCAGCCTCTGTGCGCCCAGCATCTCCGCCAGCCAGACTCTGTGGTGTTCCTGGTGGTGCTGAAGGTGGGCCAGATGTCCCCTGAGCAGAGCCAGGCCCTGGAGAGGACCATGGAGCTGTTGGGGAACGGGGCCATGGAGCGCAGTCTGCTGCTCTTCACCTACGGAGCCTACTTACAGGTGAATCTCACTGATGCCCATCCCAGGGTCAGTCTGCAGAAGGTCTGAGGACTGTATCTTCTCCTTGAGTCTGGTCTCTTAAAGGCCCCATAATACTTTTGGACTTCTCTCTGGTTTAAACATGATTACAGTGCTATTTGGCCCAGAGTAGTTTTTTCATTGATTCCCTCAAGCTTTAGTTAGAGAGCGATTTACTCTATAATTCTCGATTTACTCTATAATTCTCGATTTACTCTATAATTCTCGATTTACTCTATAATTCTCGATTTACTCTATAATTCTCACAAAACGACCCAATTCAAATCATGACATGCTCCAGATCGTGACATCTAAACCCCGCCTCCAGGAGGTGAGTGACAGCAGTCAGAATCAGCGCATGCAGCCTCTGTCAGGGTCCAGCTTATAGTCTGTTTGTGTTAGCATCATGTCAACTTGAAGAAAAAGTGTTTTTGAATGTAAATATGTGACGATAGTATTTGGCCTGAAGACAAAAAATGAGGCCCAACTTTGTTAACGGTGATCTGCCTCTGAAATCTGCGACGTATCTGTTTTTCTGCAAGTGACACTTCCCCAAGATTGTTCTAGAAATACGATTACCTTGAAACTGAACTTACTCAAAAGTTGATCTTAAAATCTGTTTTTATTCCCACGATAGAATGCAACTAACTCTCGGTTTACTAAGTGTTAAATAAATAATTAGGGTCTAATTCTGGATCAAGGACATAGGGCTCTGTGACGGGTGCCATTGTTGGAAAAAGTGTATTCTCAGGTCTGAAATGATCATGTACCGGCGAAAACTCAACCATAGCTTTGTTTACCTCGAACTTAGCATGAGGCTATGTCACCGCGCAGGTGGAGGCGGGTGGAGGCCGCCCAACAGACAAATGAGCACAGATCCAAGCCTTTCACATGAGGTGACATCACCTATATGCACGAAATGAGTGTTGTATTGTGTATCACCCAAATTATTATCACACATGTACAGTACATAGGATGGAATGTGAAAAATGAAGAAAAGCAAAGAATAAGGCTGTTAAAAAAACAAAAAACTTATAAACTCCTTTGTAAAGTTTTTATAAACTTAAAGGAGTTTATGAAAACATGAGGCGAACCCTAAACCTCTGTCTGAGATCAGAGAAATCTAACAAACAGACCTTTCCTCTGCTCTCACCTTGTGTTGGTCAAAGGGGGAGAGTTTGAAGGACTTCATCTTGGAGGATGATGTGAGCCCTCTCCCTGACATCTTCATTTGGCTTGAAAAGAGACACCATGTGTTCGACAACGAGGCCTGGGGCCCCGAGCAAGTCCGGGGTCTGCTGCAGACAATCTACACAGAGTTTTTCCCAGGTGAGTCTGCTCAAGAGCAGGTGAGTGTCCTGGGACTGTCTGGGACAGATCTGATCAGTGTTTCTGATCTGCAGGTCTTGGACCAGCAGTCCTTGATCTTGGACCAGCAGACCATGATCTTGGACCAGCAGTCCATGATCTTGGACCAGCAGACCATGATCTTGCAGAGTTACGGCTGGTGCTGATTGGTCTGCCTGGAAAAGGAAAGAGCTCTTCTGGAAACACCATCCTGGGGCAGAACCTGTTCAAAGCCAGTTGTGGGTTTGATTCCGTGAGCACAGAGGCAGAGTGTAAGACTGGTACAGTGCTCGGGCGGAAGGTCACAGTGGTGGACACTCCTGGCTTCAGTGATGAAGGCATTAGTCCAGAGAAACTGTTCAAACGCATCATGAAGTCCGTCCTGGAGCTGACTAAAGGACCTCATGCCTTCATCATCGTGGTGCGACTCGGGCGGGTTCACTGCAGAGACACCAAACTGCTGAGGCTCATCCCCAAACTGTTTGACGAAGCAGCGTCCAAGTTCACCATGGTGCTGTTCACTCACGGAGACGACCTGGGAACAGAGAACGGCGATGACCTCATCGACCGCAACACCACCATGAGTACGCTGGTGCAGATGTGTCAGCGCCGATACTGCGTCTTCTACAACAAGAGCAGCAACCGGCACCAAGTCCACGATCTGTTTCAGCAAATCAGCATCATGGTAGAGGCCAGCGGACACCCACAGTGCGACTCGCAAATATTCAAACTGACGACAGCTGCAGAGATAAAGCAGTTCTTCGAGACTCTGTGGGAAAGATGGGGGGCCATGTTTACAAGCTTTATTCGACCAAAAGAGGACGACGAGGACGAGGACGAGGACGAGGAGATGGTGCCGCTAACAATGCCTTAATCAGAGCTGAGCTAGGGTCTGAACCAGGGTCCGTTAGTGCAATAGTCTGTGATGTGGGCAGAGCCTGGGTAGGTCTACAGCATCATGGCGTATACAGCACTCAGGCTCATGAAGTCCAGACCTCAGGAATTTTAAAATATATTCAACTAATTAAGAGTAAAACAATGTATTATTACTACAGCTACTGCTGCTACTACTGTGCTTCTGCTACACTCCTACTGATTATGGTAATAGACCAAATGGTGCATATTAACAGAATGACTTAATAAACTATTCAGATAAACCATGTGTGTGTGTATAAATGTGCATGTCCGTGTGTATTATAATAGATCCATGGTGTGTATGCTTCACTGTGAGCACTTCCTTAGCTAGCTTCATTGAGCTAGCCGGTTAGAATTGTCCATCTATAGATAGATACTTTATTGATCCCCCGAAGGAGAATTTCAGGTGTCTAGTAGTAGCAAAAATAAAAAATAAAAATGATCATTCTAATAAAAAAAAGATAACAATAGTAATAATCAGCCACAGCCCCTCAGGTCACAGCAGCAGAGGTGGAGTAGCCTCTGGGTGGAGCAGGACGGGTCACAGCAGCAGAGGTGGAGTAGCCTCTGGGTGGAGCAGGACGGGTCACAGCAGCAGAGGTGGAGTAGCCTCTGGGTGGAGCAGGACAGGTCACAAGGTGGAGTAGCCGCTTGGTTTGGACCATTTTCTCTGCTCTAGTCCAAAGTAAAATGCTAAATGCTTCATTAGCATTTTTCAAAAAGTCAGCATTCCTCCAGTGGATTTTCATCTGATCCACTTGGTCTGGACCATGAATCCTCTCTGCTCTGGTCTGGACCATGAATCCTCTCTGCTCTGGTCTGGACCAGTGCAATACTTTGCAAAACTTTGCAAATATATATATGTATATATATACATCTATAAATCTATATACAGTCTACGAGCAGTGTTGGTAGTAATGTAATATTTTCTTTTATTTTCTTTTTGCAACACAGAAACACAGCAGTGTAATTCAATTGTGTGTTATTTTTATAATATGCAAGACCAGCGAGAGCGGAACAAATCTGCTCCAATAGCAGCCGCCAAGAAGTTTTTCACCAGTCTGCTAAAAGATGGCTGTAGCTGTAGCTGAAGCAGAAGCAGACACTATGTTAGAAAAGACAGGCAGTAGTAGTGTAACGCTCAGTTGGTAGAGTTTTGGCCTTTGAGCCAGAAGGTCGTGGGTTCAAGCCCCGCTCAAGACTTTCACCATCGACTCCCACTGACTACTGTCGTTGTGTCCTTGGCAAGACACTTAACCTCTGGGAACACCAGCCACAGTGGGGCGGCTGCGGCTGTAAAGTGCCAAACTGCCGTTGTGTCCTTAGGCAAGACACTTCACCCCCATTGCCTAGAATGAGTCTGGTGTGTGTGTGAATGGTTGGTGGTGGTGGGAGGGGCCGATGGCGCATACTGGTTGTCTCGCTTCTTTCAGTGTGCCCCAGGGCAGCTGTGGCTACAGTAGTAGTTTATCACCACCGTGTATGGAGTGAATGAATAATGACACATGTGAAGCGTCTTTGAGTGTCCAAAAAAGCGCTACATAAAACCGATGCATCATGTTTTAGTGTAACTCATTACTTTGAATTAACAGTAATAAATAGTGTATTACGTTTATGTCTACTGTCCACTGGTGTTGCTAAGGAAAGCTAGAGATTCCCGAGATAAAATTTACGGTCTATGAAATGCAGGAATGCAAACAATGTGTGTATTTGTTTCATGTATATATTCATTACGTTTGCAGTGTCCGTTTCCAACACTAGGGGGCAGCGGTGTCTGCCTCCGCTCTGACGTCACTTCCGTAAACAAAATGTCGGCTCCTAAAACCATCCCGAAAGATGCTCAGGTGAGTGTTCCTCTCTTTTAACACGGATATGATCCTGAGCTCCGGAGCTGGTCCTGAAGCTGTTCTAGGGCCTAAGGCAGAGCTCTGACCGGGAGGAAGCTCTCCAACACGGCCTTATCCCCCCGAGGAGCCACTGTTAGCCATTAGCACCATTAGCATTAGCACCGAGCGGCTAAAGGCTAGCTCATCTTTTACGCATTTCTTTCTAAGTTTAAATTACTTCTATACATTGGCCTCTGCTCTGTGTTTATCTGATTATTGTCCTGTAATTATTTTACATTATATTTAAATAAATAAATGAGACCGTGGGATAGACTGAAGGTAATGTGGCGAACGCAGAAGTGAACAAGCTGCACTTAGTGTTGTCACTAAAACATCTGAGACTGAATCATGAAGCAGTCATGTTAAAGCTGGGGTGATAAGCGTTATAGCTGGGCACGTTACTTTAAAGCTGGGATATGTGACTTTCAGGTAAGAAAATCATTTACCTTTATTGTTCTCACAGTGGGGAAGTTTCTGAGTTGCAGCGCTCACACAGAACAGTAAGAACACACAAGGCTCTTCTAAAACCTCTGTGGTCTGTGACAGGTGATGATGCAGGTCCTCAAGGACATGGGCATCACAGAGTACGAGCCCCGGGTCATCAACCAGATGTTGGAGTTCACCTACAGTGAGTCCTGCTCCAGACCGGGTTTTGTCCTACTTCCATCCTGATTTAGTTCTCCTTTAGACCTATTTAAGACCTGCTTTAGTCCTGCTTTAGACCTGCTTTAATTTTCCTTTAGACCTGCTTTAGTCCTGCTTTAGACCTGCTTTAATTTTCCTTTAGTCCTGCTTTAGTTCTCCTTTAGACCTGCTTTAGTCCTGCTTTAGTTCTCCTTTAGACCTGCTTTAGACCTGCTTTAGTCCTGCTTTAGACCTGCTTTAATTTTCCTTTAGTCCTGCTTTAGTTCTCCTTTAGACCTGCTTTAGTCCTGCTTTAGTTCTCCTTTAGACCTGCTTTAGTCCTGCTTTAGTTCTCCTTTAGACCTGCTTTAATCCTGCTTTAGTCCTGCTTTAGACCTGCTTTAGTTCTCCTTTAGACCTGCTTTAGACCTGCTTTAGTTCTCCTTTAGACCTGCTTTAGTTCTCCTTTAGACCTGCTTTAGTTCTCCTTTAGAGCTGCTTTAGTCCTGCTTTAGTTCTCCTTTAGACCTGCTTTAGTCCTGCTTTAGCCTTGCTTAAGTCCTGGTTTCTATTTTTATTCAGGATATGTGACGTCAATCATAGAAGATGCTAAAATTTACTCGTCTCATGCGAAAAAATCATCAGTCGACGCTGATGACATAAAACTGGCGATTCAGTGTCGGATGGACCAGAGCTTCACCTCCCCCCCACCACGCGACGTGAGTACTGGGGACACGGCTGCTAATGTACAGTGTGTTTGTTGTACAGTCTGACCCTGTCTCTGTGTTTCAGTTCCTCTTGGAGGTGGCTCGGCAGAAAAACCAGACTCCTCTGCCTCTGATCAAACCCTACACTGGTCCCAGACTCCCACCAGACCGCTACTGCCTGACCGCTCCTAACTACAGACTCAAACACAAAAAGGTGAGAGACCAGAGAGAGACCAGAGAGAGACCAGAGAGAGACCAGAGGGAGACCAGAGAGGGACCAGAGAGAGACCAGAGAGAGAGCAGAGAGAGACCAGAGGGAGACCAGAGAGAGACCAGAGAGAGACCAGAGGGAGACCAGAGAGAGACCAGAGAGAGACCAGAGAGAGACCAGAGAGAGACCAGAGGGAGACCAGAGAGAGACCAGAGGGAGACCAGAGGGGACCAGAGAGGGACCAGAGGGAGAGAGGGACCAGAGAGGGACCAGAGAGGGACCAGAGAGAGACCAGAGAGAGACCAGAGAGAGACCAGAGAGAGACCAGAGAGAGACCAGAGAGAGACCAGAGAGAGACCAGAGAGAGACCAGAGAGAGAGAGACCAGAGGGAGACCAGAGAGAGACCAGAGGGAGACCAGAGAGGGACCAGAGAGGGACCAGAGAGAGACCCGAGAGAGACCAGAGAGAGACCAGAGAGAGACCAGAGAGAGACCAGAGAGAGACCAGAGGGAGACCAGAGGGAGACCAGAGAGAGACCAGAGAGAGACCAGAGAGAGACCAGAGAGAGACCAGAGAGAGACCAGAGAGAGACCAGAGAGAGACCAGAGAGAGACCAGAGAGAGACCAGAGAGAGACCAGAGAGAGACCAGAGAGAGACCAGAGAGAGACCAGAGAGAGACCAGAGAGAGACCAGAGAGAGACCAGATCCACGCCCAGAGACTGTGGATCCAGGACTGAGGCTGCGTTGTTTTGCAGGTGGCGCCCTCTTCTGGACGTATCACGGTGCCGCGCCTCAGTGTGGGAGCAGTGTCCAGTCGACCCAATACCCCCACAATCGGTCAGAACCCTGAGCCCGAGTTCATCATGAGTTTGTTTCTGGTCTAACCATGTGCTGTGTCCTCAGGGTCAGGGGTCAAAGCGCCCGTGTCTCTCGCCACACAGAGGTTCACGGTTCAAATCCCCAACGCACAGAGCCACGCCCCCAAGACCGGTAAGCCCCGCCCACTCATCATACCAGGCATCACTCCAAGATCAGAGAGAGACCAGAGGGAGCGAGTTCAATTTATTCTTGTATAGCTCTAAATCACGACAGTAGTTTTCTCAGAGGACAAAACAAAACCGCTGATATCGCCAACGCAGATCAGAGAATCAAACAGTTCAAACACAAATAATAGAGAACACAGATCCATAAGAGTTGCTAAATGACCTGGATCATAACCACCTTTTTGTTAGACCCACTTACAGACTCTTCTGCATCGGCAAAAACTCTAAAAAGGGGGAGAGAGGGAGACCTGTTGGAAAGAGAAAGATAGACCAGCGAGAGAGAGAGTAGTGATGGACGAAAATGACTCAAGGCTTTGAAGCGTGTGTGGAGTAATCAGCCTCACAGCACCATGTGACTGGTTTGGGAAAACCAGATCACGTCGTCTCATTTGAAACATAAAAGGCACATCTCGTGTGTCGAGAAAGTATTCTCTGGTTTGGTAATACTTATCACTTCCAATGAGATGTATTAAATAAATTCATAATGAAGAAATTCTCTATTGCAGCTTGAAGTTACACAAGAGGCTCGCGTACTATAAACCTTTTTGTGCTGAGGCCATGGATCTATAATAATAACTGGATAGGGTGTTACTTAGCCTGGTTGTACCACACCATAGTACACATTTCATTTCATACTAAGGTCTGGATTTGCTCCATTGAGCTCTGTGAACAGGTGGGAGGGGTTAACTCCTTTTGCAGATTGAAACGATTGGATCTGAGTTTACCGTGACGTATGTAGTGCGCCCAAGTGAGTTGTTAGCATTTAGCCTATCCATCTCCTTAGCCGCTAACGGAGCCCGTGGGGAGTAGCGCCACAATCAAACTCTTGACGTCACCGGCACCGAACTACAACACCCGCCTTCCGCGCTCTCTGAGTAGCCAGTTGAAATACGACCGATTGTATTCGCTAACACAGGGACCAGACCCAGACGTTACATGCAGTGAAATGATGATTGAGCGGAGAGTACGGATGGATAAGGCCAGGCTAGGTATTACTAGCTTGGAGCTGAAGAACCCATGTGTTTCGGGGGATTCTCGCAGTACTGCAGAGTCAGACGCAACCAAGGCTACCCAGAAATTTTCTGAGCTCTACCTCAGCTGACAGAGAACCTGACAGAGAACCTACAGCTTTCATAAAGGTCGGATTTTGTGTGGATTTTAGTGTCCACACTTTTTTATTCTTAAAACCTTCGGTTTTCTTTTAAGTCCACACTTTAGTGCCACAAACTCTACTCGTCTGGCTCTCTCTAACTCCTGGCAGTAAGTGGCAAACTGTTGATGTGTCTTTAGGCAAAACACTTCACCCAGAATGAGTCTGGTGTGTGTGTGAATGGTTGGTGGTGATCGCAGGAATCGATGGTACATACAGGTTTCCTCGCCTCTGCACACTATCAGCTCTGTGTAAAAGTGCTTTATAAGACAGATTCATTATTATTACTTGAAGTCTGTCAGTGTTCACAATATTTGGCTCCTCCCACACAGCCTCGGCCACGCCCCCTGTTCTCATGAGCTCGTCTTTGATTGGACAAAAGACCCTCCTGATGAGCAGCAGCAGCAGCCTGTCACAGACGAGCGAGGGACTGAAGCGAAAACACGAAGATGAAGACGACTACGACAATTTATAACACACACCTGTACACGCAGTAACACACACACATTTAAAGTGTTAAATTCTGTTTTTGAAACTGAACTTTCTTATTTAATGACCACAATTTCATAATAAAAGTCAAATATTCAACGTCTGTTTTTCCTGAAGAGAGAAGCACTAATTCTGGAGTCAATTGTTTTCATTCTCTGCGTATGTTTGATCCGACACGCAAACCTATGAGAAACATAACCCTTCACTTGGCCTGTTATGAGTTTGAGGCCCCTGACTAGAATGTGTGCAAGTACATACAAGATTAAAAGACTCACATTAAATTCATTTCACTTTAATAAGAAAAAGAAAAATAATAAAAATCTTCAAATAAAAAATACAAGTCAAAACAGTGTGATTATGCAGAGTGGTGCAATGGCGTTACATTAATATCTAGTCACCAAGGAGACGTGTGCGTGAGTCCAATATTTTCACACGGATCACAAAACTCATCACAGCACAGTAAAAACATGCCTTAGAGCGCCCTCTGTCTGCAAGTGTGCGAGCAGCAGGCGAAACGTCACCGAGAGAAAACACAAAACCAGGAACGTGTCGGGCCAAAGAAGCAGGAAGTGGAGTGACAAGGCCATAGAAGGGCGCAGGAAGTGGAGTGACAAGGCCATAGAAGGGCGTACGGAGCCGGTGTCTAGGAGGGCCGAGTGAAATGGCAGTAAATAAAAACACATTTCATTTTTATGAATACTAGGTTTATTTACACGCTCGCTCACAGTAACACGGGAGAGCACATCACGCCTGTGCTGACATTTCATTTTCAAAAATTACCTCTAAAATGAGCTATAACATGCCATGGTTGCACGTGGGAAGTTATGGCTTTTTTTTACAAAAGTTGATATATTGGTGAACCTCTGACATCCGAGGCCCTGCAGACTCAACTCAGCATCAATCCAGTTAGCAATGAGAGGATGTGTTTTTACTTTGAGCTTTAATATAGAGATGGGACTCCACAAGGCCCAGCGCTGGGGCCTGTCCTGTTTTCACACAGTCAGATATTTTGGTGTTTTCTCCACTTCCTGCTTTTCAGAATTTCAAGACACTTTTTTAATGATTGAGATGAAACGATAAAAATCCTTCAAAACGAGTTCTGCTGCGTTTGGTTCTGACGTTTGGCACAAATGTAAAATAAAACAAAAAATAACAAGAAATAACGGCGTTTGTGCAAAATGGAAAATTTAAAAAGTAAAAATACGATATAAAAGTAGGTCATTTTTCAGGAAATACAATTAGTTTATTTAGCGTTTTAAAATCTTTTTGAGCCACATTTGAACCGAGGAAACAAGGAATATCAGAAACGTCAACAATGTAAAAAAAAAAGACATTTAAAATTACAAGAAGAGTTTTGGCTTAAAAAAATGGCAGCTGTGTTTTAATTAAGGCAAAACAATTTTTTGTAGAAGAACATTTTATGAAACTGGACACATTTTCTGCGTCTTAAATTCCGGATGAATTTGGTCTCATGTTTTTTTTAATCTCGACCTAAATTCGTCCGGTTTGGCGTTTCGAGGTGAAGGCACCGCTTTGTGTTTTTTGCCAAAACCAAACTACAGCAGCGTTTCATTCTCGTCACATTAGATAATTTTTTTTCTACAGTAATAGAAATAAAAAGGAAAAATATAAACTTTTATTCGAAGTCGATGAATTTTGAGGCGAAAGCGGCGACGGCGAAAACGACCTCTGGGTGTTTTCAACCCAGTTAGAAATAAGAATTGTCGCAGAAATAACTTTTCGAATTTTTCACATTTTCATTATTTGTTTTTCTGAATGAACTATGAATAATTACAGAAACAACTGTTTTCTCTGAATAGATCAACATTACACGTAAACATATGGCCCCATGTTGGGATCTCATGTTTACATTCGTACGGTTCATTTTGTCAAAGGTTTAATGTGGAGCCAGTTGTGTGAAATGTGGCCGAATGAACAAGGTCTGAAAACGGAGGGACCCGGACATTCTGCCGTCGCCGATCGGTCGAAGCGCTGGACGAACAAAAACACAAACGTTTCAAATATATATATTCTGATTTTTACAGGAACCCCCAAAAACCCCGAACCTGTGGTTTTGACGTCACTGTTCAGTCTGTACAAACTACAGCTGCAGAAACATCCCAGACAAACCTTTGTCTTACAGACCACACACATTTCTGTTCTGAGGGATGTTTTTGCAGCGGCTCTACGTCTGACCGTCTAAGTGTGTGTCTGTATGTATGGGTGTGTGTGTGTCTGTATGTATGGGTGTGTGTGTGTGTGTGTCTGTATGTATGGGTGTGTGTGTGTCTGTATGTATGGGTGTGTGTGTGTGTGTGTCTGTATGTATGGGTGTGTGTATGTATGTATGGGTGTCTGTGTGTGTGTGTGTGTCTGTCTGTATGTATGAGTGTGTGTGTGTCTGTATGTATGGGTGTCTGTGTTTGTGTGTGTGTCTGTATGTATGGGTGTCTGTGTGTGTATGTATGTATGGGTGTGTGTGTGTCATGTATGGGGGTGTGTGTGTGTGTGTATGTATGTATGGGTGTCTGTGTGTGTGTGTCTGTATGTATGGGTGTGTGTGTGTGTGGGCGTCTTTGTGTATGTGTGTATATATAATTTTGGGCTCTTTTTTTAGCAGTCCTCGTCTTTGTCGTCAACAACTCCTTTGAGTCGCAGTCGAGCGAAATCTTCAAACACAAAGTCGTCGTCCTGAGAAATCGAGCTGAAAACACAATGATAAACACATTATAAACTGTATAATTATGACCCTAGTGGTGGAAGTGTGAACTGCATTCCGTATCAAACACTCACTTTGTTTCAAACTCGATCAGGTTAGTGTCGATGGGAGGATCCATCTCTGGCACCGCTGCAGGAAACACAACTTTACACTTAGACTTTAAACATGCCTTTAGACATGTGTAAATATGATTTATTTAGTAAAACCATGCATCTATACTAAAATCTGGGAAGGGTATTACTAGCTTTGGGTGGGATCACTAAATTCACATGGGCTACCCAGAAAAATGTCTATAGAACTCAACGTAAACTAAAAAACTAAACTAAACTAAAACAGCTCGACCTCAGCTGACAGTAGAGCTGCAACTAACGATTATTTTGTAATCGATTAATCTATCGATTATTTTTACAATTAATCGAGTAATCGCTTGGCTGTGAATTGTGTAGAAAAAACTTATTTTTTCATCACAAAAAGCTAAAGTGGCAACACTCGAGGATGTATTGATGGCGTAAACTTAAAGTAAATGTTTGTAACAGGCTCTTTGTGCTAATTCTGCTCTGATTGGATGAGACAGATATTCATGAAATTATAAAAACAAAGTCGGTTTTAATCAAAAATACTACATTTTCATGTCATTTTTGCTCTGTTTGAGTCCGTGTGAACCAGAAAACGATTAATCGATTACTAAAATAGTTGTCGACTATTTCAATAATCGATTAGTCGTCGATTAATCGATTAGTTGTTTCAGCCCTAGCTGACAGAGAATCTACAACTTTTCATAAAGTTCGCATTTCGTGGGAATTTTAGTGTCCCTTGTCGTCCTGAACTTTTTTCTTCTTAAATCCTTCTGTTTTCTTTAAATCCACACTTTAATCTTCAGTACAAAGCTCAAACAGTGGTTAAGATCCAGACAGACTTGTTCTCATGTGTAAACTGTATTGTAATTCTTTTAAATGTATTTTATCTTCTGTAATGTAAAAGCCCCCTGTGGACTAGTGTTGAAAATTAGCACTTGTGCTATAACACTTAACGCAATGCACCTGGTTCGTCCAATGTTATTGTTATGTCCATATTAAATAAATAATGCGACAAACTGCTCGTTTTTCCGCTCTATCTTTGCTCCAACTCTACTCTGATCAGCAGCTCTGATTGGCGGCTGAGCCCCTCTGTGCACATGCATGGGAGCTCGTCAACTGCGCAAAACCGAGGAGGACCAGACGATGCCCGAATATGGGCGAGTTCCGCTAATTTGTTTTATTGAGCAATTCATTTGTGAGACCTACTTTACGTAGTATTTTTTTTAGCGGTGGCCAATGTTTGTAGCGTTAGAAAAACTACAGAAACCAGAACCCCCCCTCATAATTATATCAACAGTTACGCAGCAGTTCAAGTCAATTCAGGTGGCTACTACAGCTGTAGCTCATCTGCATAGGGAGCTCCGCTTAATGAACACAAATAGTCACACACGTTTAAATGTCCATCCGAGAATACAGTATAGATAGACATGTGTGACATACATACACATATGTATTTGAAAGTCACTATTCTTCAAGGAGTGGTTTTAACATGTATGTGTGTTTTCCAGAATTTAAACTTTTTATCCCATTCCTTCCGTTTCTTTATTGGTCACACCTCCCTCGTGGTCTTTGAACCTGAGATGGATGGATATGGTATGTATAGTAAATATGCTGTTACCAGACTGTGGGCGTGAGGTCGGCGGCTCCACAGGCTTGGGATGCATCAAGATAAAGGGCAGCTCCACTGACACGTCTCTGAAACAGGATTACACACACAATATCAATGCCCTCAGATTAAGAGGGTTGTATAAACGTGTGCAAAAGACATATTATAAACTGTACAGCACACAGATTATAGCGTAGCACTCACCCTCCGCGGGACACGACCAGTTTGACTTTGACTCTGTACGACACCAGGATCCCCAACACTTCCTTATTAGTGACATCTTTCACTCTGAGGAGAAAGAAAAGCTTAACAACTGTTTGAGGCAGCAACAGTACCATTAGCATTAATCTTAGCAGTAGCGTTAGCATTAGCAGTTCTCACATGGTGCTAGAGGCCAGGTTGGTATCCTCGTGCTTCAGCTTTCCATCCAAGGCCAGGCCTCTCTTCTCTCTGTTTTTGTCCAGTGTTGGAGTCAGAGTGTAGACTTTACAGAAAGTGGAGGAGGAGGAAACCTGGTCACTACGGAGACAGAGAGTAAACATGACCTGGTTGCTATGGAGATCCACTGTGTGTCCATGTTGTTGCAGGATCATCTGTTTTGGACCAGGGTTAGAGAGTGTGTCCTCTGTTGGGATCAGGTCTAGTGTGTCCTCTGTTGTGGATCAGGTCTACAGTGTGTCCCCTCTTGTGGATCAGGTCTAGTGTGTCCTCTCTTGTGGATCAGGTCTAGTGTGTCCTCTCTTGTGGATCAGGTCTACAGTGTGTCCCCTCTTGTGGATCAGGTCTAGTGTGTCCTCTCTTGTGGATCAGGTCTAGTGTGTCCTCTGTTGTGGATCAGGTCTACAGTGTGTCCTCTGTTGTGGATCAGGTCTACAGTGTGTCCTCTGTTGTGGATCAGGTCTACAGTGTGTCCTCTGTTGTGGATCAGGTCTACAGTGTGTCCTCTGTTGTGGATCAGGTCTACAGTGTGTCCTCTGTTGTGGATCAGGTCTACAGTGTGTCGTCTGTTGTGGATCAGGTCTACAGTGTGTCGTCTGTTGTGGATCAGGTCTACAGTGTGTCGTCTGTTGTGGATCAGGTCTACAGAGTGTCCTCTGTTTTGGTCAGGTCTACAGTGTGAAATACTCACTCGGCCTCAAGGTGAGCAACAGGACACTTGTACTGCGCTGTACTGAAGAGACAGATGTCTGCGTACTGCCGCACTGCAAACAAAAGCTTATTTACTACTTCAGCACATAATACTATTACTACAATAATAGTTATGTGTGTGTTTAGCATGAGAACTTCTGTTGAAGTTATAGTACTACAGTAGTACTGCAGAAGTACCGGTATTGCAGTAATAATTGTACTGCGGAACTAATCACAATGGTACAGCAGTATAAAGTACCTGAGATCTTGACCCTCTTCACCGTCTTGGTCGAGTTGTTGGTGACGTGGACGTTGACGCTGATTGGTTCTCCGTGATAATATAACTGCAGCAGACAATAGAAGATTGAGGGTCAGGACTCAGGGAGGTTGGGGGTGATCAGGACTCACCTCTTTGTCCAGAGAGGCCTCCAGGTGCAGGGATCGGTCGGACATGAGGAAGCTCCTGGTGGTCTCCACCATGGGCTGAGGCCCGGGCTTCTCTGGAGCATACTGCACTTTACGGATCACCAGGCGCACAGAGTTCCTGTGAGAAACGGTCTTTATCAACATCATGATCATCACAGATCCCATTTCTCCACCTGATGAGAGTCTGCTCATCCTGATTATCTCTTATTCCATTCATTCCATCGTGCTGTGGGTAACCATGGCGACACTGACCTCTTGTGGATCTTCTCTTCAATGGACTTTGCACAAAAAGCTCTGATCTCGAAGTCCACGCCACAGGCCTAAGTGGAGGTCAGAGGGCAGGGGTCAGAGAGGGAGGAGGTCCAGTAGTATGTGTAGCATTCGCAGTAGCAGTAACGGTAGTAGTAGAAGCAGTAACAGTAGTGCTAAGAGTAGTACTGTACCTTGCCTGTGTCCTCTGGTCCCGGCTGCAGAGTCACTGAACACGGCAGGTTCTGTGGGATCTGACCAAATAGAAAAATAAAGTTTATTGTTGAGATTCAGTTTAATGACACATCACTGCTCGCCTGTAGGGGGCACCATAACAGAAGAAAAAAACACTTGAAGACTTGTATAGCACATTTATATAAACACTGATACTCATTTCTCAACACCACTACCTCACACCACATTTCTGAGTGAGGTATTTATGAACCGGTGCCAGTAGTATCTACAGTAGTACAGTAGTAGTAGCAGCAGCAGCAGTAACAGTAGAGTCTGCAGTAGTAGTAGTAGTAGTACTCACAGTGAAGTAGAATGGATGAGCGTGTTGGCCCAGTTTCTTCAGGAGTCTCTCCTGGAGTCGACTGTTTGGTTTCTTTTCCTCTGGGACCGGGGGGAACGCCTGAGGGATAAACATACACACACACACAGAGAGTTACACACATACACTAGTGTTACAAACACATACTAATCACATATTAGTGTTACAAATATTCCAACTCTTCATCGTGGTGTACCTGAAAGGTGGAGATGTAGAGGTCTTTTCTGAAGGACAGGCCAAGAACATCCAGATCTTCACGACCGTAACGAAACGCACACGTCAGCGTCACAAAGACTAGGAGACAAGGAATTAGGAGACAGGGGTGAGGAGAGAGGAGACGGGTACATAGTAATGTGTATTTATATGTGTCCCTGGTACCTTTCCGGTCCTTGAGATACTCCGGATCCACCAGAATCACGCCGTCTGAAAAACAGGACTCTTGTTTAGGATCAGAACCAGATCAGACACAGATCTGAGTCCGGACTCATACCGACTGGGTCCACATGGTCCAGGTGGTCCACAAAGTCCCTCTTCCCCAGGTACACAGTGACCTGCAAGAGAGAGGAGAGAGTGAGACACTCTTTGTTTTTGTCCTGTTGTGTTTCCTGAAGCTGCTGATTTGAAAACATGTGATTTTTATTAAATATGACATTGTTCCCATGTGATTGTCCCAAACTGACATGTATGTGTGTGTGTGTGTGTGTGTGTGTGTGTGTGTGTGTGTGTGCACTTGTTTTCAACTCCTGGTGGGTTCCATAACCTGAGATTCCACTCACGTCATGGGGACTGGTTTTACGTGGTGGGGCCCGAACACCGGACCCCACTGGTCCAAGCTTAATAATCAGTGGGTAATGCTTTTCTAACGGTCCTTATGCAGTCTCTGTAAAAATATGGAAAGGACCCCTGGAGGTTTACTTTCCTGAAAAAAGTGTGTTATGTGTCGGAACCCTGGTGGTGGGTTGCGGGATATCAAGGAGGGGCACACTGGGGCAATTTCAGTCCAGCAGGCTGGAGCCAATCATGGAGCAGCACAACAGAGGAAATCAGGTGTCAGGCTAGAAAAAGGTGCAAGTGTGTGGTTCATTAGGCTGCAAGAAATCATGGAGGAGCACACTGAAGCGCACGCTTACAAACCACTGGTAAGTGCTGACTACAAGTCATGACTTCAAATTGTTATATAGAATGATTACAAATTATTTGTTGTTTGTGCAGCTTAGTCAAGAGTCCCTAATTGATGAAGTCGACTCAGATTCTGACGATTTAACTGTCAAGAAGAAACCTGTAAAAAAGTATGGAAAAAGAAAAATCAAAAACACTTTTCTTCAAGACTCGGAAAGTGACGAACCAAAGGCAAATAAGATTGTTATCATGCAGCTGCAAAAGAAGAAAAATGGGGGGCGAGTATACAGCAAGAGACACTTCTGCCTCTACTGTTCAATGTCCTGCCACAAAATGTCCCGTCATTTGACTAGAAAACATGGAAATGAAAGTGACGTAGCCAGAGCATTGGCTCTACCTGTGAAATCTAAAGCACGTAAACTTCAGTTTGATTTGATCAGGAATAGTGGAAACCGTGAGCACAATTTTGAGGTTTTAAAGGCCGGCATTGGAACTTTAGTCCCAGCTAAACAGCCAAATTCCCCAGTTAAATCCAGTGAGTTTTTGCACTGTATAGACTGTGGGGCATTGCTTAAGCGAAAGTCGCTGTGGAGGCATGTGGCCAGGTGCCGGCTTTCACAGAAAGATGCCCAGGCTAAACCAGGTAGAAGTAGGGTCCAGTCCCTCTGCTCCCTAGCCCAGCCTGTACCGGAGGGCATCAGCAAAAAGCTGTGGTCTTTAATTTCGGCAATGCATCAGGATGAGGTCACGGGTGTTGTCAAAGCAGAAAAGGGGATTCTGAGACTCGGAGAGCACCTGTACTTAAAACACGGGCATGATAAGACAAAGCATGATTACATTAGGCAGAAAATGAGAGAAGTCGGTAGGTTAATTAACGAAGCAAAAACCGCAGGGAAACTGAAAACAATTAAGGATTTCTTTATTCCTTCCAACTTTAACCATGTGATTGATGCAGTCAGGTCTGTGGCTGGATATGATGAGGAAACAAATCAATACAAGACTCCATCCTTGGCCCTCAAACTCCGGCCATAGCCTCAGAAAGCTAGCAGATATTCTTGAATGTGACTCAAAAATGGAGCATTGTGTTGATGAACTATTTATTAAAAACCTCCAACGAAGCCGGCTGCTTTTTGAGAAGAGGTGGGACGTCTGTGTTTCTTCTGCTGCCCTACAGACCCTCCGGCAAGCCAAGTGGAACACTCCGGACCTGCTCCCTCTGACTGAGGACGTTAGAGCCATGCATGCACATATTGAGGTATGTCGACCTGAATATGTGCAAACCCTAATAAGTGAGCCAACGTCTAAGCATTGGTCTAAACTGGCAGTTTTGACTCTTTGTGAGGTCATCATTTTCAATCGAAGAAGGGAAGGTGAGGTTTCAAAGATGCCACTGACAGCCTTTACCTTAAGAAGTAAGACTGGGATCCATTCTGACATTGCTCTGGGACTGTCCCAACTTGAGAAAAAGCTGTGTCAGCATTTTCAACGCATTGAAATTAAAGGGAAAAGAAGTCGGAAAGTGCCGGTTCTTTTGACTCCTGAAATGATTGCTTCGATGGAGGTGCTGGTGGAGAACAGAAGGGCCTGTTCCATCTCTGACCATAACCCATACTTCTTTTCCCGCCCGGGCGCAGACACCCACATCAGGGGATCAGACTCCCTACGCCAGGTAGCCAAAGAATGTGGTGCGGTGCATCCAGAGATGCTATCCTCAACCAAACTTAGAAAGCACATAGCTACTATGTCTACAGTTCTCAATATGAAAGAGAATGAGATGGACATACTTGCCAACTTCCTCGGCCATGACATTCGCATCCACAGGCAATATTACAGACTACCAGAGGGGACACTGGAGCTGGCCAAAATCAGCAAAGTGTTGATGGCCATGGAGCAGGGAAGAGTGACGGAATTCGAAGGAAAGAGCCTCGACCAGATACAAATTGAGCCTGAAGGTAATTCTTGATATTATTAAAATATGTATGATTTTTTTCCCCTAAAGGCCACTTGTATTTTTATTTTCTGTGCGAGAGGGAGAGCAGTAGAGATCCTCTCACAAACGGACGGGCTAAAAGAAACTTCAAGCGGAGAACCTTCAACCATTCATCCAGATGCACCCCATGGTAGTGGCAGTGCCCCTTCTGGTAAGTGTACCAGGTGGGGGATTACAGCCAGGCTGCTTGGTCCTCACCCTGGGAGTGTATATTGCTAATATATTTTTATTTCTCTCCCTAGAACGTGTAAGAAAGCCATGGTCTGCATCTGAGGTGAAGGCTGTGGAGAAGACCATGACACCTTTCATACAGACTGGAAAGGTCCCTGGGAAGTCTCACTGCCTGGCCTGCATTAATGCCTCACCAGATGACCTTAGACATCGGACATGGAGTGGCATTAAATTCTATGTCAAAAATAGAATCACTGCAATTCGGAAAAAAAATCTAAAATAAAATTCCTTTAAAATAGTTGTTTGGTTTCTATTGACTGTTTTGTATTACTTAAAGTCTTGGTAAAAAATGATTATGTCTATGGGTCCCATTCTGAACGGCCCTGTCAAAGGGACCCACCAGGTAACAAAAACGTGTGTGTGTGTGTGTGTGTGTGTGTGTGTGTGTGATTCAAACCAATCTGCCACAGTGGTCCGTGTGGTCAGCGGTCAGACACTCACCTTACAGTTTGGACTCGACTTCTTGAAAACTCTGAAACAGGAAACAGAAACAACAGGTCAAAGGTCACACCAGAGCAGGAAACAGACAGGAAGTGACTCAGCCCACTTCCTGTCCACGTCAATGGATTTTCTACATTCTGAACATAATATCAATACTGCTGACAGCGGTCTCCCATCACACACTGCCCAGGCCCCTGCCTTGCAACGATCTCCCATAATACACTGCCTAAGCTCCTCCCTCACAGCTCAACTAGGAGATAAAATTAGAAAATTAGAAATAAATAAAAATAAACCCACTTTAGACAAAACAAAAAGAGATGAACATCTGGAGGGAGTTCAAAGTCTGTGTTGCCTAAAATATCACTGCAGAGACTGAAGAGATCTGCAGGAGGAATGGGCCAAAATACCAGCAACAGTGTGTGGAAACCTTGTGAAGACAGAACATGTGTGACCTCTGTCAACGCCAACAAAGGGAATATAACCAATTATTGAGATGGACTAAATACTTATTTTCCACCATTTGCAAATAAATTCTTAAAACATCTGAAAATCAGATTTTGTTTTCTGAAAGATGAGGTTGAACTGATGATTACAGACATCGCTTTTTCAGAAGGAGGACTTCAACAATCAGCTCCTGTGGACTCAGCACCTGCAGGAGGATCAGTGAGGGGCTGGTGCTCTGACTGCCACCCCCCCGACCCAGAAATGGATTAAAGGAATAGGCCACAGTTTTTACATACTAACATATGTTCTTAGTTCTTACAGTGCCTTGCGAAAGTATTCAGCCCCCTTGAACCTTTCGCCACATTTCAGGCTTCAAACATAAAGATATAAAAATGTAATTTTTTGTCAAGAATCAACAACAAGTGGGACACAATCGTGAAGTGGAACGAAATTTATTGGATGATTTAAACTTTTTTTACAAATAAAAAACTGAAAAGTGGGGCGTGCAATATTATTCGGCCCCTTGCGCTAATACTTTGTAGCGCCACCTTTTTCTGCAATTACAGCTGAAAGTCGCTTGGGGTATGTCTCTATCAGTTTTGCACATCGAGAGACTGGAATTCTTTCCCATTCTTCCTTGCAAAACAGCTCGAGCTCAGTGAGGTTGGATGGAAAGCGTTTGTGAACAGCAGTCTTCAGCTCTTTCCACAGATTCTTGATTGGATTCAGGTCTGGACTTTGACTTGGCCATTCTAACACCTGGATACGTCTATTTGTGAACCATTCCATTGTAGATTTGGCTTTATGTTTTGGATCATTGTCCTGTTGGAAGATAAATCTCCGTCCCAGTCTCAGGTCTTTTGCAGACTCCAACAGGTTTTCTTCCAGAATGGTCCTGTATTTGGCTCCATCCATCTTCCCATCAATTTTAGCCATCTTCCCTGTCCCTGCTGAAGAAAAGCAGGCCCAAAGCATGATGCTGCCACCACCATGTTTGACAGTGGGGATGGTGTGTTCAGGGTGATGAGCTGTGTTGCTTTTACGCCAAACATATCGTTTTGCATTGTGGCCAAAAAGTTCGATTTTGGTTTCATCTGACCAGAGCACCTTCTTCCACATGTTTGGTGTGTCTCCCAGGTGGCTTGTGGCAAACTTTAAACCAGACTTTTTATGGATATCTTTGAGAAATGGCTTTCTTCTTGCCACTCTTCCATAAAGGCCAGATTTGTGCAGTGCACGACTGATTGTTGTCCTATGGACAGACTCTCCCACCTCAGCTGTAGTTATCTGCAGTTCATCCAGAGTGATCATGGGCCTCTTGGCTGCATCTCTGATCAGTCTTCTCCTTGTTTGAGATGAAAGTTTGGAGGGACGGCCGGGTCTTGGTAGATTTGCAGAGGTCTGATACTCCTTCCATTTCAATATAATTGCTTGCACAGTGCTCCTTGAGATGTTTAAAGCTTGGGAAATCTTTTTGTATCCAAATCCGGCTTTAAACTTCTCCACAACAGTATCTCGGACCTGCCTGGTGTGTTCCTTTGTCTTCATGGTTCTCTCTGCGCTTTAAACAGAACCCTGAGACTATCAAAGAGCAGGTGCATTTATACGGAGACTTGATTACACACAGGTGCATTCTATTTATCATCATCAGTCATTTAGGACAACATTGGATCCTTCAAAGATCCTCACTGAACTTCTGGAGTGAGTTTGCTGCACTGAAAGTAAAGGGGCCGAATAATATTGCATGCCCCACTTTTCAGTTTTTTATTTGTTAAAAAAGTTTAAATTATCCAATAAATTGTGTTCCACTTCACGATTGTGTCCCACTTGTTGTTGATTCTTGACAAAAAATTAAAATTTTATATCTTTATGTTTGAAGCCTGAAATGTGGCGAAATGTTGAAAGGTTCAAGGGGGCCGAATACTGTACCTTAGACTAGTTGATATTTAACTGTCTGGTCTTTGTCCGTGCGCTCTGTCATGCAAACTTCCGTCAATAGAAGCAGCGTGAGCAGGAGAGAAGTCTTTAGGAGTTAGTTCGCGGACGAAGCGCTCCTCGTATTATTACGCCTCACAATATAGTTCCCCTTTTTATCCGCTGAGAAAATCAACACGTTACATTTCTGTGTTACTATACTTTGTAGAGTAACACGTCTGTATTTAAATAGGGAACACGTGGAAGAGTTTGGGAGCTTCTAATGGGAGCTGATTTGGTACTATACAGTCTGTGGAAGAGGCTGCGTTTGTGCTCCGTTTGGATGACAGAGCAAAGTAAGGTAAGAACATATGTCAGTATGTAAAAACGGTGGCCTTTTCCTTTAAGGGGAAAAAAAATGAATGAACGACTTCGGCAATCTGTTCTCCACTGTGATGTCACACTGTGGTGATGTCACACTGTGGTGATGTCACACTGTGGTGATGTCACACCTTGGTGATGTCACACTGTGGTGATGTCACACTGTGGTGATGTCACACTGTGGTGATGTCACACTGTGGTGATGTCACACTGTGGTGATGTCACACTGGTGATGTCACACTGTGGTGATGTCACACTGTGGTGATGTCACACTGTGGTGATGTCACACTGTTGTGATGTCACACTGTGGTGATGTCACACTGTGGTAATGTCACACTGTTGTGATGTCACACTGTGGTGATGTCACACTGTGGTGATGTCACACTGTGGTGATGTCACACTGGCTTATAGGCATATAGGCACAAGGCATATAGTCTGAAGCAGGTCTTGGTTGTAAACCATGTCCAAACCAGGTCTCTTAATCAGGTCCTTGTCCTAAAAACCTTGTGAGGAGCGTGCGTCACATGGTCCTGAGGGAGCAGCCAATCACAGCGCAGCTTAGTCCCAGGTGGACTGAGGCGAGTTCAGACACATCCAGCTGTTTGTGTGTGAGCCGTGTCTCTGGACCCTCCCAACACCAGGTCCAGGTGACTCCGTTCAGACCTGGGAGACCCTGCAGACTCCGAACAGACTCTGCTCAGACCACAGGACATTTTGGCTCTCATGAACCACACAGATTCTGTCCCAAAGTTAAAAAGACTAAATATTTTCAGCTCAAAGAGGAAATGAATTGAAAAGAGGAAGTAGCTGCATGTAACAGGAAATGAGAGTAAACAACACCTCAGCAGTGGCTTTAAAGCTGGGGTACATAACTTCAGTCTCATAAATAACATGTTTAAAGTTGTGGTACGTAATTTTAGTGTCATAAATCGCATATGTTTAAAGCTGGGGTATGTACGTTTAGCTTCATAAGTAACAAGCTTGAGTGCAAGTCTTGAAGTAAATTGTTGTGAACAGATCAGACACAATATTCTATCGTCGAAGAAACAGCCCTGAGTCACTATTTGACTCTTCGGGCTGAGAGCTGACAGGCTGGAGTGAGTCTTTTTCACTTCTCTGCCTGAAACCGCTCATCTAAAAACGACAGAGGCTGAGATACATGATGTGAAAACAAGGCAAGGGAAGCTCATTTGTATTACAGTTCATAAATAATCACAGTGGGGCGACAGTAGCTCAGTTGGTAGTGCACTGGTCATTGGACCTAATGGTCGTGGGTTCGATCCCACCACGACCCGTGTCAACTGCTCCCACTGATGTCTGCTGTCATTGTGTCCCTGGGCAAGACACTTAACCCCAATGTGCCTGAAGTCCCCGCTGAAAGACCAAGGCTGCATCTGTGTCGAAGGAGCAGCCATCTTCCCGTGGACCCACCACCTGCAGGAAGATCAGCAGGACTGGTGCTATGTGAATTGGGTGGCAGTTCTGATTGCCAACCCCCCTGACCCAGAAATGGAAAATAAAGGGATGTAAATGAAATGAAATGAAATACACAGTACATCAAAGCGTACAGTAAAGATAACATCAGTTTTTACTGGATTTGAACATTGTCAGAATAGAATCCTGTCTGACATTTTCAAGAAGACTGTTCCGGATTTTAGCTGCTTAAATCTAAAACCCTGCCTCCCCATGTTTAGTCTACAGTCTATGGTTTAGTCTGAGCTGGTTCATATGGCACTAACATGTCGCAGGTGTACTTTGGTGCGAGCCATGGAGAGACTTGCACAACCAAAGCTGCTTGAGAGTCTGAGACCAGGACTAATGTGAGAGAACTTACTGGTTGTGGTCAGGATTCAAACTGAAGCGTTTAGAATGTACTGCAGCCGTCTCACAGCTCGTTTAATCATAGAAGTAAACTTTTTTAGAGCAAGGAACTAGTGACATTGTTTAGTACTACACAGTTCTATGGATGTGGTCTGAAAGTGTCATTCCCCGGCTTTAAAAGCTGCACATTTTGTATTGTCTCAATATTCATGGGACTATTGCCCACTGCTCAGAAGCTCAGGATCTCAAACGAACGCATGATGAAACAATAATAGAATAATAGCGTTGTTATTATGGTGCAAACGCAGATGTCTGAGCTCGGTCCAGTTGTGTCATGCTCCAGATGTTGCTGCACATAAGCTGCACATCAGCTGCACTGATGACAGGCCTCGTGTTTGCACACACGCCGCAAAACTGCGTTGTTCTCACGCCTGTCACATCCACAGATCTATAGACACCACGCAAGAAAAGCCCACGCACCGAGGGCCAATTACAGCAGCGTGCGCAAGACTCCCCTCCGCACACCACTGAACACGGGATTTAGGAGTCCCGCAAACACACGCAGACCAACACAATGCGGGCCACGCAGTGGGAGACGGGTGTAATTAACTCGGCTGTGCTTAAATGTCACAAACACCAAGACTTTTGCCCACAGCTCGAGTTATATGAAGCGTCCGCGCTGACATCGTCGCCCTCTCCGCTCTTATTTTACCACGAAACTTCCACACAGTCTGGTTCAGCGCCGTGAACCCATTTAAAACACATCTGAACGCCACACAGCTCGTTTCCAGTGGGACAGAGCCTCTTCGCATGTGCGTGATGATTTTAGTGCAAATACCTGACGAATTTGTGCAAAATACATGATGTTTCTGTCAGCTGTTTGCAGTTAGCATCATGTGGCTAACCGCGCCCTGCTAACACCAAACTCACTGCTAACTCCGGCTTTTTTGCGTCAAACCGCCACATTTAGGCTCATTCTCACGGACCACAGCGGACTGGGCACACTTTGACCAGTGTTCCGAGCCATTACTGTCATTAACTACGCTTAAATTAGCACGTAATGGGAAACAGAGCGGCGCCTTCCCCGTGAGTGAAACCATGAGTGAGGACGTGAGGCCATGGAGCTACAGCAGGAGCTACCGCAAGAGCTACCGCAGGAGCTCCGGTCGGGTCATACCTGGTTCCCTGCGCCTTGTCGCCCATGTCCGCGGCCGGCGAGGATCAGCGGGGAGCACGGCCTCACGGATCCGAAGGAACGAGCTGCTTTCCGGCTTCACGGAGGTCCTGTGTCCATGCACCGAAGCGCCCGGGCCAGTGGAGGGGTGCAGAGGAGTGGGTCTGCAGCGGCTGTCGGTCTGTCCCCGGTCGGTGTCTCTGCTCGGTGCCGGTGTGTGGGCTCTCTCAGTTGCGGTAGGAGCGTGCACACCGTCCCCGCTCGGGCTGGTCTGTGTCCCCGAGCTCTGGGTTTGCTCTGGTGTGTTCTGCTGCAGAGGAGATTCTTCCTGTTCGTCACATTTGCCTACATTCAAATGCGCGGGATGTTTGCATGCTGCGGAGACGAGGCTGGGTCACGGCTCCACGGGACATCACGGGGACACTAGACTCTCATATTCAATCCTCTTCGGCTGGACGTCCTGGTTAAAGGGCTCTGGGGGTTCAGTGGGAGGGACTGCATTATTCCATTAGAAATGTCATGTAAACAAACCTGACTGCGCCAAATACTAGGATGTTTTGAATCGCGTCCTGGACACGACTGGACCTGGAGTTGTGTTTTCTGTGATCCTGAGTATTGGCACGTGCACTGGGATAAACGCAGACACAGTCTAAGTTATTATGTTAAACCTTTTCAGTGAGAGGACCACTTTAGTTCAAACTGCTCCAGGGGCCAACAGCCCGGATTGAACCCTGAACTGTTTGGAGGGGATTCCGCTGTTGTGAAAATGTGATTTGTACAGCCTCTGTTCTGCGAAATATAGCAGGGGTGCCAAACGGGTTCTCAAAGCAACCAAGCAAGTGCACACCAGACAACACCCATTTTCTCACCTGAGGAATGGGTGGAGCCTGGTGAGCTATAAGAGTTAAAATTAAAACCTGCAGCCACACCGGCCCTAGTCTACAGCCTCAGTCCTGGATCTACAGCCTCAGTCCTGGATCTACTGCCTCAGTCCTGGATCTACAGCCTCAGTCCTGGGTCTACAGCCTCAGTCCTGGATCTACAGCCTCAGTCCTGGATCTACTGCCTCAGTCCTGGATCTACAGCCTCAGTCTTGGGTCTACAGCCTCAGTCCTGGGTACATGTGCTGAACAGCATGACCACTGCAGGCGCCTGAGGCAGAGACCGAGCCGTGCTGACCGCAGTCATAAACTGTCAGTATTGGGAGTCATTGCAACACGTCTCCCCCAGAGTGGATCCAGTTGTGTAGAATTATACATCTGTTATTCTTTCACTACAGACACAGAGGTGATAAACTACTACAGTAACCACAGCTGCCCTGGGACACACCGAAGGAAGCGAGGCAATCAGTATGTGCCATCAGCCACACACACGCACGCACACACACACGCAAAGTGTTGTGCCAGGCATACTATTACTTAAATAATAGAAAACTGGACCAGCCTGGATATGAATGTACTTAATTTATTATATATTAAATTATACAAAAACATTTGATTTTATTTCTGCAGTCAGGGCTGAATCACTTATAATGAGAGGCCCAAACTACAGCTGACCCCACAGCAGCTGTAGCAGAGAATATATACGACCTGTGGGGAACCCCTCAGCTCACAATTCGACCAATGTGTTAATCAGACCCTGATGGTGGAGGTCTCTCTTTAGACCGTGTTGGTGGTGGTCTCTCTTTAGACCCTGTTGGTGGAGTACTCTCTTTAGACCCTGTTGGTGGAGGTCTCTCTTTAGACCCTGTTGGTGGTGGTCTCTCTTTAGACCCTGTTGGTGGAGTACTCTCTTTAGACCCTGTTGGTGGAGGTCTCTCTTTAGACCCTGATGGTGAAGGACTCTGTGTGTGTGTTGTATCGGACCCATCGCTCCCCAGCGCTGGTCTGGACTGGACTCAGCCTGATGAACCGGACCATCAGACCCGTGCAGGTCCACTTCGGGACCTCAAAACTCAGTCCCACTGGTCCCACCTCCAGGAGCGAAGACGAGTTCAGGCCTGGGACTTCCACCTGTACACCAGGAGGCAGCGTCACATCTGGTCTCTGTCCTCGGTCTCTGTCCCTGGTCTCGGTCCCCGGTCTCGGTCCCCGGTCTCTATCCATGGTCTCCGGTCTCACCTTGAACAGGGCGGACAGCTGGGATCCTCCGTTGATCTTGGGGATGTTCCACTGAAGGACTCGGGTCTGGGGCCTCAGCTCGGCGCTCTGGTCTGGACTGCTGAGCTCCTGGGAAAGACTTAGACACAGACTTTGAATGAGACAGAACTGAGACTTGAGACCAGGACTAGGACCAGGACTTTGAATGAGACACCAGACGCATCCCCCCACCCCTTCTGCCTCACCCTCTGCTTTTACAGTCTATGTTTCAAACTCATTACAGCTATGTCTTCAGACCACACCGTGTTGAAGGTCTACAGTCTCAGTCCTGGATCTAAAGCCTCAGTCGTGGATCTAAAGCCTCAGTCCTGGATCTACAGCCTCAGTCCTGGATCTACAGCCTCAGTCCTGGATCTACAGCCTCAGTCCTGGATCTAAAGCCTCAGTCCTGGATCTAAAGCCTCAGTCCTGGATCTACAGCCTCAGTCCTGGATCTAAAGCCTCAGTCCTGGATCTACAGCCTCAGTCCTGGATCAATGCTGGACCTACAATTCAATTTAATTTACTTTTTTATAGTCCTAGTCCAGAGGACTTTACAAAGCTGGCAATTCGCCAACACAGATCAGAGAATCAAAGCGTTTAACACAGTAATTCCATTCATCCATCCATTTTTTTCCCCTTAATCCATGTCTGAGTCAGGGAGTGGCAGTCAGAGCTGCACCCAGTACACAGCACCAGCCCCTCGCTGAGTCCACAGGGGCCTTGATCTTCCAGCGGGGGCTTCAGGCAAAGTGGGGTTAAGTGTCTTGCCCAATGACACAACGACAGCAGACATCAGTGGGAGTCGTGAAGTAGGTCTTGCGGCGGGCTCAAACCCATGACCTTCAGGCCCAAAGGCTGATGCTCTACCAACTGAGCCACTGTCGCCCCTAACACAGAACCATTGGTCTATTAGGGGCAGACTGAACCCCCACTGGGTTTTTAGACTAAAGATTAAGTCTAAAAACCCAGTGGGAGAAAGTGATCCTCAGTCCTGGATCTACAGCCTCAGTCCTGGTCTCGGCCCTGGTTCTACAGCCTCAGTCCTGGTCCTGGTTAAGAATAATTTTCCTACATTTGTTTGAGTTTGTGTAAGATTTGAATGCACCAACCTCAAGGAGTCTTTAGGGACGAGGATCGAGGCCTGAAGGTTCAGAGCCGATCTGAGGAGGAGAGGGACATTAAAGCTGGGGTACAAGTGTTGAAGTAAAATATTGTGGACAAATCAGACCACAACATGCATTTTCATCTTTTGTCTAAGAAAGAGCTCCGGGATAATGACATCACCTTTTTCTGTCTGAAAAAGGTGACGTCATTATCTGAAAATAGTGATGGATACAAACATGGGTTTAAGACAAAGTTCTATAGGTGTGGTCTGAAAGTTACGGACCCCAGCTTTAATGCATTATGCAAATTCACTGTGATGTGATAAAGTGGTGAAGGAGCACGTTACATTTTGGGCGGCAGGTCACAGCGCAGCTTCAGATACATCAGTAATCTGTAAAAGAGAAAGTCACATGAACGAGGAGAGTATGCAAATTAACATCAGATATGCAAATGAGACTGATAAAGTCTGATGAAGCGGCTCGTGGTCGCCGTGGTGACGTGTGTTTAGAGTTTACATGATGCAAATATTGTCTGTGTTTAGACAAATGCTCCTGGTGTAATACTCAGACTGACCACCAGAGGCTGCTCTTGTACAGTGTTGGAGGTGCAGTAGCAGTAGGGAGCTGATCCCTTTCTGTTGTGGGCCTTATTTTTGCAGATGCAGGAGGGTCTAAGGGCCGTGATGATCCAGGACATTTATAGACCTTGGTCTCCTGCCCCTTTTTTTCTCCAATGGCTCTGTTTTTTTTAAATAATTGCATTTCCTGAGTTTGAACCGTTAAATGTTTTGGTCTATGCTGGTTTTGTAAGTTTCTCCGAGATAACTACTGTTGTGATTTAGGACTATACAAAACAAATGGAATGGAATCGTAGTTGGAGTTAGCAGCAGTACTCGTACCTTCCAGAAGGATCTCTCTCGATGGTGGGGAACAGTCTGAAGGGAGCGGCACAGGGCAGCTGATCAGTCACAGAGTACTGCATCAGAGTCTGCTGTAAGAATAAAGTCAGGCCAAATCAGCTTGTAAATGAGGCGTACGGAAACTATTTACACTTTTCAGTTTTTATCAACCTGGAAGTGAGCGTACGGAACTCACAGAATATACAGCGAGTCTGGAGGTGGTGTAAATCACAGCACGCAAAACACACATGAATTTCAAGATTTGGACAATAAACATATTCCCACTCTGGCAAGATTATAGACACACCTCTCACGTTACAAAAATGCAATTTCACAAAGTTATGTTTGGGCTACGCCGATCGTTTGTGTTATTAAATAACGAGCAAGATGTCAAACTCAAAAGTCTCCCACAGCAGGGGTGGATTATTGTATGTGTAGCACCAACAATCAGTGTAACAGCAATAGGTTCATGCGGGTCCAAGCATCAGAGGAAGATGGCTCTGGGACATTCAGGGGGTACGCTCTTGTACTCCCCGAAGAAAGTGTGCCATACGATCCTGACATGACTTTCATAATAACACTCGTTTTCAGCCGCTGCATTTATCAACAGCTGCAGGTGCTTACGCTCAGATCATAAAGTTCACAAATCCCCTGCGGATCTTGCGTATTTGAAATCCACACCCAAAATATACACCCTTTTCTGCGTTTGATAAGGGCCACTGTGTGTATACAGAGTACACACACAGACAGAGTACAGAGTACACACAGAGTACATACAGAGTACACACACAGACAGAGTACATACAGAGTACACACACAGACAGAGCACAGAGTACACACAGAGTACACACACAGACCTCTCCCTGTGAAGGACACACTCGTAGGATTCTGTTGGAGTTGAATTCTTCCAGTTTGACGTTTTGGTGAAAACTGCACTCGTCCAATCGCACCGCAGCACCATAACCTGAACACAGTATATATACCACAGTTTACATTAGTGTCTGTACGGTATATATACCACAGTTTACATTAGTGTCTGTACAGTATATATACCACAGTTTACATTAGTGTCTGTACAGTATATATACCACAGTTTACATTAGAGTCTGTACAGTATATATACACCACAGTTTACATTAGTGTCTGTACAGTATATATACACCACAGTTTACATTAGAGTCTGTACAGTATATATACACCACAGTTTACATTAGTGTCTGTACAGTATATATACACCACAGTTTACATTAGAGTCTGTACAGTATATATACACCACAGTTTACATTAGTGTCTGTACAGTATATATACACCACAGTTTACATTAGAGTCTGTACAGTATATATACACCACAGTTCACATTGGGGGGGTCACCTCTGATCTGGGAGCGGCCGATACTCAGCTCCTCGTTCAGACCGATCCTCATGTCTGCAACACAAGTGTGCTAGTGTCAGTGGTTGTGGGCATATGGTTCTCATGTGTGGGCTCATGTGTTGTGTCCATATGGTTCTCATGTGTGGGCTCATGTGTTGTGTCCATATGGTTCTCATGTGTGGGCTCATGTGTTGTGTCCATATGGTTCTCATGTGTGGGCTCATGTGTTGTGTCCATATGGTTCTCATGTGTGGGCTCATGTGTTGTGTCCATATGGTTCTCATGTGTGCGCTCATGTGTTGTGTCCATATGGTTCTCATGTGTGGGCTCATGTGTTGTGTCCATATGGTTCTCATGTGTGGGCTCATGTGTTGTGTCCATATGGTTCTCATGTGTGGGCTCATGTGTTGTGTCCATATGGTTCTCATGTGTGGGCTCATGTGTTGTGTCCATATGGTTCTCATGTGTGGGCTCATGTGTTGTGTCCATATGGTTCTCATGTGTGGGCTCATGTGTTGTGTCCATATGGTTCTCATGTGTGGGCTCATGTGTTGTGTCCATATGGTTCTCATGTGTGGGCTCATGTGTTGTGTCCATATGGTTCTCATGTGTGGGCTCATGTGTTGTGTCCATATGGTTCTCATGTGTGGGCTCATGTGTTGTGTCCATATGGTTCTCATGTGTGCGCTCATGTGTTGTGTCCATATGGTTCTCATGTGTGCGCTCATGTGTTGTGTCCATATGGTTCTCATGTGTGGGCTCATGTGTTGTGTCCATATGGTTCTCATGTGTTGTGTCCATATGGTTCTCATGTGTGGGCTCATGTGTTGTGTCCATATGGTTCTCATGTGTGGGCTCATGTGTTGTGTCCATATGGTTCTCATGTGTTGTGTCCATATGGTTCTCATGTGTGGGCTAATGTGTTGTGTCCATATGGTTCTCATGTGTTGTGTCCATATGGTTCTCATGTGTGGGCTCATGTGTTGTGTCCATATGGTTCTCATGTGTGGGCTCATGTGTTGTGTCCATATGGTTCTCATGTGTTGTGTCCATATGGTTCTCATGTGTGGGCTAATGTGTTGTGTCCATATGGTTCTCATGTGTTGTGTCCATATGGTTCTCATGTGTGGGCTAATGTGTTGTGTCCATATGGTTCTCATGTGTTGTGTCCATATGGTTCTCATGTGTGGGCTAATGTGTTGCGGCAGAGAACAGATTTTGAGTTTTACACATGGGGTTCCACAAGGGTCAGCACTGGGACCAGAACTGTTCAGAGAGAGTGTGATACCTGTACATCTGGGAGTATAACACTTGACTCTTATCTCTCCCTCCACGTCGGCCTTCAGCACCATTCCCTGAGAGCACACACGCACACGCATACACACACATACACGCACACACAAACACAGTGAGACAGGGCCCTGGTCGAGGGACTATTCTTGGGTTTCATTAAACTGGCCAGTAGGGGGCGAATGAGCAGAGGTGGGACAGTTTTGCTCCCATTGAAAACCAAGTAAAGTCTGTTTTGGAGTCAAAAGGCTCCGGTGTACGGTTGTTGGAACAGTCTTAATCGGAGGAGGACTCTCAATTCTAAGGGAGAACTAAAAAATATAGATTTTGGGCATTTTTGGAAAAAATAACATGCTAATGCTGCGTTTCATTGGGGTGGCCTGCAGGGGGCGCTTATCTTATCTTTTTCAAAGTGTCCTCCTTTATATGAGACCACAGTTGGAACATGAACAAACTCTTGTCTTTCTATTTGTGCGGTTGCTACAAGCGTACACTGCACAAAAAGATGGCATTTTGACAGCGCTTCTTCTTCTACTATATCTCCGTGTATAAACCCAGCAGACAGCAACTGCCAGGGTATGACACGTCTGGTCCGGTCCTGTCCCACGTACTGTATATCATTTGCGCCACTGCCCCGACGTCATATGAAAGCCAAGAATTCAAGACCTTTGATAATAATAATTTTCTCACGTTTGCGCCGATCACAACTGTCATTCTCTCCACAACATCAACAAAGATCTCACTCTTCCCCTGAAACACAGAGGCAGAAGTATTAGAAGCAGCAGCAGCAGTAGTAGTACTAGTGGTAGTAGTAGTACCAGTATTAGTAGTAGTAGCATTAGTAGTAATAGTAGCAGTATCCAGACCTGCTGTTGGTGAATGGGTCGTGCTGCAGCTGAACTTGGAGCGACTTTACTTTGTTGCGTTTCGGCTCCAAACTGAAAAACACAATTATACATTTGACACAGTGTCTGGTCCAGGTCTGGTCCCGGTCTGGTCTGGTCCTGGTCCTGGTCCACATTACCAAGGCCACGTTGCTGAGGTCAAACAGGCTGAAGGTCTTGGTGCTCACAGCTTCTGTCTGGATGAAGTTCTTGAGGAGGTCACAGGACGTGGTCTGGATGTACCCGAAGTCCTGAAGGTTCAACACACACAGACATGTCTTTAAGGGCACGGCCACATGGTTTTCACAATCGAACCAAGTGGCCCGGATCGTCACCACAGGGGTGTGAAGACGGCCCGCGCTCAGAAGGGTTTATTTATTAAATGTGCATTACGACTACCTCGGGGTCAGTGTTAAGTTTCAGTTTCTCTTCCTGTTTACACTCTGCTACTGTGGCCAACAGCTCGAGCATGGATTGTGTTGTTTGAATCCGAGTCAATGTGTACAATTGTGACATGTTTCTTTCTCCAATGTGCAGCAGCTTAGTGTCTGTGTGCGGGCGAGCGGCGGACACGGCAGCGCGCATTTGAGGAAACTACATGAGCCTGAGAATGAATGAATACCAAGTGTGGCGTACGACCAGAGCGACCGGAGCAGGATACAAATGTATGTTGGTGTGTTTTGGCGACAAAATAAAGTCTGACTCTTGAACGTCTCAAGTGTTATTGGAATAGCACCACACATGTTTGTGCTGAATCAGCAAGGACAGATCTAAACACAACTCCAGGTCTGAGACGGATGGAGTAAGAATGGTTAAGTAAAGCAATTATAAAAATGTCTGGGGTCTCTCTCTGGGGTCTCTCTCGGGACTCTCTCTCTGGTCTCTCTCTCTCGGGACTCTCTCTCGGGACTCTCTCTCGGGACTCTCTCTCGGGACTCTCTCTCGGGACTCTCTCTCGGGACTCTCTCTCTGGACTCTCTCTCGGGACTCTCTCTCGGGACTCTCTCTCGGGACTCTCTCTCGGGACTCTCTCTCGGGACTCTCTCTCGGGACTCTCTCTCGGGACTCTCTCGGGACTCTCTCTCGGGACTCTCTCTCGGGACTCTCTCTCGGGACTCTCTCTGGTCTCTCTCTCTGGTCTCTCTCTGGACTCTCTCTCGGGACCCTCTCTCTGGACTCTCTGGACTCTCTCTCTGGACTCTCTCTCTGGACTCTCTCTGGACTCTCTCTCTGGACTCTCTCTCTGGACTCTCTCTCTGGACTCTCTCTCTGGACTCTCTCTGGACTCTCTCTCTGGACTCTCTCTGGACTCTCTCTGGACTCTGAAGAGGGGCTGCGCTCTCTAACTAAATCTTGAGGGAATCCATTAAAAAAACTTTGGGCATGAGACTAAAGTTACGACCCCCAGCTTTACTCACTCACCACCACTTCGTCCAGCAGCTCGTAGATCAGAGCGAAGTTCATCTGTACAGAGCTCTCACTCAGAGCGCCACAGTGGTCCTTCACCAGGGAGGCCAGTCTGAAGAGGAGGAGCAGAGTGTGAGGAGGAGGAGCAGAGAGTGAGGAGGAGGAGGGAACAGAGTGAGAAGAGGAGCAGAGTGAGAGGAGGAGCAGAGTGAGAGGAGGAGCAGAGTGAGGAGGAGGAGCAGAGAGTGAGGAGGAGGAGGACGAGCAGAATGTGAGGAGGAGCAGAGTGAGATGAGGAGGAGCAAAGAGTGATGAGGAGGAGCAGAATGTGAGGAGGAGCAGAGTGAGGAGGAGGAGCAGAGTGAGAGGAGGAGGAGCAGAATGTGAGGAGGAGCAGAGTGAGATGAGGAGGAGCAAAGAGTGATGAGGAGGAGCAGAATGTGAGGAGGAGCAGAGTGAGAGGAGGAGGAGCAGAGTGAGAGGAGCAGGAGCAGAGTGAGAAGAGGAGGAGCAGAATGTGAGGAGGAGCAGAGTGAGAGGAGGAGCACAGTGAGAGGAGGAGGAGCAGAGTGAGAGGAGGAGGAGCAGAGTGAGAGGAGGAGGAGCAGAATGTGAGGAGGAGGAGCAGAGTGAGAGGAGGAGCACAGTGAGAGGAGGAGCAGAGTGAGAGGAGGAGGAGCAGAGTGAGAGGAGGAGGAGCAGAGTGAGAGGAGGAGCACAGTGAGAGGAGGAGCAGAGTGAGAGGAGGAGGAGCAGAGTGAGAGGAGGAGCACAGTGAGAGGAGGAGCAGAGTGTGAGGAGGAGGAGCAGAGTGAGAGGAGGAGGAGCAGAGTGAGAGGAGGAGGAGCAGAGTGAGAGGAGGAGCAGAGTGAGAGGAGGAGGAGCAGAGTGAGAGGAGGAGCACAGTGAGAGGAGGAGCAGAGTGAGAGGAGGAGCACAGTGAGAGGAGGAGCAGAGTGTGAGGAGGCCAAGTATTGAGATTATTGACTAAAAAATTGTCCATAATTTTAAAATAAAAAACAGAAGTCTAATTTGTCTCATAGTGTGTGTGTGTGTGTGTGTGTGTGTGTGTGTGTGTGTGTGTCTGTGTGTGCGTGTGCATGTGCGTGTGTGCGCGTGCATGTGCGTATGTGTGTGTGCATGTGCGTGCGTTGTACTTGTTGAGGAAGTCGACGATGGTGAAGGGAGAAGCTGCTGCGTTGGTGGTGACGACCCAGAACAGACCTCCCTGTTTGACGTGGACGAAGCACACGTCTCTGTGCGTCTGTGGACACAACACATGCAGGTAAGTAACCATGGAAACCGGATCCTACAGAGACAAGACCAGCAGGTGCATTTAAGAGCACAGGTGAATGTATTTGGAGCATATAGGCTGCGCCCTCATGTGGATCATGTGATGTCACACTGTCCTCTGCTCATGTTTGATGTTTTGTTTTGGGTTCATGAAGTTAAACGATTTCTGCCTCTCTCTCTGGTCTCTCCCTCTCTGGTCTCTCCCTCTCTGGTCTCTCCCTCTCTGGTCTCTCCCTCTCTGGTCTCTCCCTCTCTGGTCTCTCCCTCTCTGGTCTCTCCCTCTCTCTCTCAGGTGTCTTTCAGGTCAAACGCTCAAAGTAACGTGTGTGTGTGCATATTTGACAGAGTGAGCGTTACCATGACGACGGGTGGCTGGTCCTCGCTCAGCGCCATGACCTTCTCGTAGAACACTCGCACCACATCACTGCTGTTCTCCCCACGGACTGCAGGAGGCATTAGGGAAAAGGACAAGCCAATTCTAATCACGATTTTTGAGACTACAATGACAACAAAATTCTCCCTTTGTTCCCAATCTGGTCTTGCTCTGGTCTCTCTCTGGTCTCTCCCTCTCTGGTCTCTCCCTCTCTGGTCTCTCCCTCTCTGGTCTCTCCCTCTCTGGTCTCTCCCTCTCTGGTCTCTCCCTCTCTGGTCTCTCCCTCTCTGGTCTCTCCCTCTCTGGTCTCCTTTTCTGTTGCCTCTGGTCTCTCTCTGGACAATCATATATTATTATTGTTATTATTATTATTATTATATTAATATTTTAAGAGACAGTGGAGGATACAGTCTTTGTAAATGAGATGATCTCCTTTCGACGATAGAATGAAGAACTGGCTGATCATCTGCAAAACACAATAAAGACATGTGTAAAACCAGCCAATATTTCCAAATACAATTTAAGCTGGGGCACGTAACTTTCAGACCACACCAATAAAATTCCATTATAATCCCATATCTCGAGCTTCTGGCTCTAAAAATATTCTTCAATCACACATTTTCACATAATGTACTTTTAGCTATATCACATTTATAGTTCAGCTATATCAGACATAAGAATGAGAAAGAGAAGTCCACCCTCACTCAGCCAATCACCTCTCAGCCCAAAGAGTCAAACAGTGACTCAAAGGGCTCTTTCCAAAACAAAAATAACATGTATTCTTATGAGATGAATCCATTATGTTGTGGTCTGATTTGTACACATTTCTCCTTGAGGCACCAATATTACACACATCATATTAATAAAATGCACATCATGACGAAACCGTACCTTCTCTGTAGATGTTAAACTGGTTTTAAATAAAAAGCCCAAAGAGACGTTACTGTTCAACACATAATCTCATATTACTGTTTATGCACGCCGACATTAGATTAGCTTTTACAACAATTCAGACTCTGTACGTCATTATTCAACTCATTTTTAAACACTTTCATCCCATATTTAATGTGAAAAGGTTCCGTTATCACTGCATAGAAAAAAATCCAGGTTAAATGAATGATTTTGGATGAAATTTGGACTAACTTGCTTTAGCTTCCTTATGCTAAAGCTAACCACAACATCGCTGGGAAAATGGCGGGGCAACAGCGCCACCCCGCGTTAAAAAGTAAAACATAATTGTTACATTTATACACAATAACACAATAATTCCTCTATACGTGTTATGTGAGTATTTCAATTGCTAGTAATACAAGTTTTTATTTAATATTTTCAATAATTTGTTTAGCGTAATTTCCCCCTGACGCAGTTCTGCCAGGCTGAAATTGGATTAACATTACATTTCTCCATTTCAAATCGTAACAATAGTACCTTTTATTCGGCTTAACGTATTTTATGCTATAATCGTAACTAGATTTTTTAATATTACCCTGCAATATTTATGTATTTTTCAAATATGCAACACACCGGATTTAATGTGTTGGGAAAATAGACGCAGCTTCCGGGCCACAGCGGAACCGCATTCACAGCAGCTCAACATGAAGTGAGTAAACAAACATTATGCGAGTTTTGTGTCGTTTTAAACAGTTTCACGTGGCAGATGGATATACGCATGTTTCCCCAAAGTCCTAAAACAGTTTTCGCCTGCAACCCCCTCGTAACCCTGTTTATGGTCATCACACGTTTTGTGCTAATCTCAAACTCCAGAATGAACGCGGAACAACGTACACTTTACTTTTGGCTTCAGCTAAAACTCAACGTTGGCTATAATCATGTATTTTAAGTGGATCAACTTGTGTTTCGAAAATGAAGTTAATATAAAATTGGATTTGTTCAAAAGGATGGTATCTTTGAGCAATTTATTTTATTTATTTAAAGGTTTTCTTCTCAATTACAAACCATTTAAAGACATACTGTACATGATCTGAAACGTGTTAGAATGTGAAGTATTATCTTCAGGAGATAATATGGTGAAACAAGTATGAAGGGTTACACATGCTTTTCCGTCTATAACTCCCTATGGAGGAGTAGAATTTATTTTGTTTTTTGTTGTTGTGTTACCTCTGTGTGTGACTGTTGTCTTGTGTTACCAATGTGTGTGACTGTTGTCTTGTGTTACCTGACCTCTGTGTGTGACTGACTGTTGTGTTATCGCAGTCCTCTGACGAAAGTGCGTCTCATCAATGAGCTGAACGAGCGTGAGGCTGACCTCGGCATCAAAGAGACTGTGTCCTGGCACTCGGAGTATTCAGACAGCGCCTGGATCTTTGTGGGTGAGTGCTACAAAACAGGAGATACACTCACGCAACACACACAACAGGAGATACTAAGAACAGATGATTCTAGTCTCTGTTCTCCCTTTGGTCCCTCTCTCTGCTCTCTTTCTCCGTTCTCTCTCTGCTCTCTTTCTCCGTTCTCTCTCTGGTCTCGTTCTCTGTTCTCTCCTTGTTCTCTTTCTCTGGTCTTTCTCTTTGGTTTTTCTCTGGTCTCTATCTCTCTGGGGTCTCTCTGGTCTTTCTCTTTGGTCTCTCTCTCTGGGGTCTCTGGTCTTTCTCTGGTCTCTCTCTCTCTGGGGTCTCTGGTCTTTCTCTCTGGTCTTTCTCTGGTCTCTCTCTCTGGGGTCTCTCTGGTCTTCCTTCAGTCTTGCTCCTTCCCCTCAGTGTCCTCTGCAGCTGTATTTTACAGTGTATGCACGGCTTTTGACCTACAACCAACAGGTTTGATATCGCTGGTCTCTCTCATTCAGCAGTCGTGAGTTCAGGTGGTTAGAAAAGTGTAGAAAGGGTTTTACAGCTGCTACTTGAAGGATTTAACTTATGGGGTTATTTATTAGAACACATCCCGCCTGCGATAAACCAGGGACCTAAATGTGTTTGTTATATTATATCAATGATGGAGTTAGCAATGTGACAATATCTTTTTTTTATATGCAGAAATCACTTTGAATTCCAAGCTTATTCAGATTATTTTTTTTGCCATTTGCAGTAAAACCACAGCAGTTGTTGCACTTTTTACAGTTTCCTGAATTTACTGAAAAAATCTGTTTCAGGAGGATTGCCGTACGAGCTCAGCGAGGGCGACGTCGTCTGTGTTTTCTCTCAGTAAGACCTTATTCTACACCTGTGTTACAGACCTCACATTACACCTGTGTTAAAGCCCTCACATTACACCTGTGTTACAGACCTCACATTACACCTGTGTTACAGACCTCACATTACACCTGTCTAACAGACCTCACATTACACCTGTGTTACAGACCTCACATTACACCTGTGTTACAGACCTCACATTACACCTGTGTTACAGACCTCACATTACACCTGTGTTACAGACCTCACATTACACCTGTGTTACAGACCTCACATTACACCTGTGTTACAGACCTCACATTACACCTGTGTTACAGACCTCACACTACACCTGTGTTACAGACCTCACATTACACCTGTGTTACAGACCTCACATTACACCTGTGTTACAGACCTCACATTACACCTGTGTTACAGACCTCACATTACACTTGTGTTACAGACCTCACATTACACCTGTGTTACAGACCTCACATTACACCTGTGTTAAAAACCTCACATTACACCTGTGTTACAGACCTCACATTGCACCTGTGTTACAGACCTCACATTACACCTGTGTTAAAAACCTCACATTACACCTGTGTTACAGACCTCACATTACACCTGTGTTACAGACCTCACATTACACCTGTGTTACAGACCTCACATTACACCTGTGTTACAGACCTCACATTACACCTGTGTTACAGACCTCACATTACACCTGTGTTACAGACCTCACATTACACCTGTGTTACAGACCTCACATTACACCTGTGTTACAGACCTCACATCACACCTGTGTTACAGACCTCACATTACACCTGTCTAACAGACCTCACATTACACCTGTGTTACAGACCTCACATTACACCTGTGTTACAGACCTCACATTACACCTGTGTTACAGACCTCACATTACACCTGTGTTACAGACCTCACATTACACCTGTGTTACAGACCTCACATTACACCTGTGTTACAGACCTCACATTACACCTGTGTTACAGACCTCACATTACACCTGTGTTACAGACCTCACATTACACCTGTGTTACAGACCTCACATTACACCTGTGTTACAGACCTCACATTACACCTGTGTTAAAAACCTCACATTACACCTGTGTTACAGACCTCACATTGCACCTGTGTTACAGACCTCACATTACACCTGTGTTAAAAACCTCACATTGCACCTGTGTTACAGACCTCACATTGCACCTGTGTTACAGACCTCACATTACACCTGTGTTACAGACCTCACATTACACCTGTGTTACAGACCTCACATCACACCTGTGGTAAAGACCTCACATCACACCTGTGTTAAAGACCTCACATTACACCTGTGTTACAGACCTCACATTACACCTGTGTTACAGACCTCACATTACACCTGTGTTACAGACCTCACATTACACCTGTGTTACAGACCTCACATTACACCTGTGTTACAGACCTCACATTACACCTGTGTTACAGACCTCACATTACACCTGTGTTACAGACCTCACATTACACCTGTTACAGACCTCACATTACACCTGTGTTACAGACCTCACATTACACCTGTGTTACAGACCTCACATTACACCTGTTACAGACCTCACATTACACCTGTGTTACAGACCTCACATTACACCTGTGTTACAGACCTCACATTACACCTGTGTTACAGACCTCACATTACACCTGTGTTACAGACCTCACATTACACCTGTGTTACAGACCTCACATTACACCTGTGTTACAGACCTCACATTACACCTGTGTTACTCCTGTGTTCAGGTATGGGGAGGTGGTGAACATGAACCTGGTTCGGGATAAGAAAACTGGAAAGTCCAAAGGATTCTGTTTCATCTGTTACGAAGATCAGAGAAGCACCATCTTAGCTGTGGACAACTTCAACGGCATCAAGGTACAACTCTCCTCCTCACAGAGCTGACCTGTAACAGCAGCTCTCCTTTAATATCGTTTATATGCTACAGTATATATATACCACATTATATTATATAAACCAGGGGCTGGGGCGACAGTGGCTCAGTTGGTAGAGCATTGGCCTTTGAGCCTGAAGGACATGGGTTCAAGCCCACCAAAAGACCTACTTCACGACTCCCACTGATGATTGCTGTTATGTCCTTGTCTTTGGGCAAGACACTTAACCCCACCTGAAGCCCTGACTGAAAGATCAAGGCTCCTGTGGACTCAGCACCTGCAGGAGGATCAGTGATCCAGAAAAAATCCAGAAATGGATTAAGGGGAAGAAGATGGATGGATGGATTATATAAACCCCTGTATACATACCACAGTATATAACGCTAAGTGTTTGAGTTTACATTGAGTTCTATCGGACAGTACCACGGGAACTCCCTGTGCCCTCATGAACAGCTGTAAGCTAGTAACCCTATCCAGCTGTATGAATACTTGTGCAGGCCCAACTTTTTACTATTCTATTTTTAAAATAATATCAGAATTCACAGAAACAGTTCTCTGTTACTTGTGTATGATTTTTTCAAATCCAATCTTTATGTTTATGGCTGTAAACCTGACAAAATGTGCAAAAGTACAAGCTGTATTATTTCTTTTTTATATAATGTTTCTGTGACAGATCAAAGGGCGGACTCTGCGCGTGGACCATGTGAAGGACTATAAACCTCCCAAAGACCATGAGGACATCGATGACATCACCAGGAGCCTGAGGGAACAGGGCTGTGCCCCGTCTGTGAGCCAGGGGGCGGGGTCTGTGAGCCAGGGGGCGGAGTCAGAGGAGGAGCTTGTGCCGGTGAAGAAGAGCAAGAAAGGTTAGAGGTAATTTGTGAGACCTGTGTTTCCTGACTCTGGAGTTCACCTGTGCTTTATTACAGACAAGAAAGAGAAGAAGAAGAAGAAGAAAGAGAAGAAGAAGAAAAGAGAGCTGCGTTCCCCAAGCTCCTCTGTGTCGCCCCCCAGAGCTGTGGCAGCCAGTGCCCGCCCCGGGGCAGACGCGGCTCCGGCTATCAGAGTGAAGGAGGAAAGACACGACGCAGGATACGACAAATACAGGCGTACGGAGGTCCAGCAGGGGGCGCAATGGAGAGAGGAGGAAAGCCAGCAGGGGCCGCCGAGGGGCAGAGACAGGGAAGAGTGGAGACAGGAGGAGGAGAGGAGGGAGCCAAAACGAGAGAGAAGAGAAGAAAGGATTATGAGTTATGGGTCTGATATGAGGAGGGAGGAGACGAGGAGAGAAGAGGGGAGGAGGGAGGAGGGGAGAAGAGAAGAGGGGAGGAGGGAGGATGGGTGGAGGGAGGAGACTAGGAGAGAGGATGGGAGGAGGGAACCCAAGCGAGAGAGGAGAGATGAGAGGAGTTATGGGTCTGACCGGAGCAGAGAGGAGGGGAGGAGGGAGGAGAGGAGTTCTGAATCCCACAGACAACGGGAGAAGAGGAGAGAGGATCGAGAGGAGAGGAGGAGAGAGGATCGAGAGGAGAGGAGGAGAGAGGAGGGGCGCGAGAGGGACAGGGAGGACAGAAGACAAGACCAATAATGTCCATGTGGTACCTACAGACTGTGCACAGACGGACAGTGACCTCAGCTCCTGTTGACTGAAACGTCTGTGATCCTGGTGCTTAGATGTTGATATTGTGTTTGTAAATACAGATGTGAGCCGCAGTCCTCATGGTGAGGTCACTGTGGGATTTCCATGTCAATAAAATGATTGAAGTTTGTGTTTTTCAATCTGGGTTTGAGTCGCTTTACTGAGAAGGGTTTTTACTGGGGTGAAATTAAAGCACGGGTATGTGAGTGAGTGAGTCATCTTGTTTATATAGCACATATGGCAGACCAGACCCACACAGAGTTATGGATGTTTTCCCACAGTCTCTGCCCGGTGATGACAGAGAGACGCCCAACTGACCATCACCACATCATCGCTTACACCACCGCCTCATTACAGTCAGAACGATTGTACATGGGTTTTTGTGGTATGCGAAACCGGAGCACCAGGAGGAAACCTTCCACAATACTGTTTTTTTTATTTTGCACACGCACAAGTTACACTCAGGGTCTGCATCAAGTGTGGACTACATTTTAGGTGTAATTAATTTACAATATAAAAGTAGAATAAATTGAAAATACAAAACAAAAACACAAAGTTTTTTGTTATATATATTTATTTTCTCCACCTAAACAATAAAACATATTTTAAAGACCCCCCCACACACACACACACATCACATGGTCAAGGACACACAGGGAGAACATGCAAACTCTGGAATCGAACCCAGGACTAACCCTAACCACAGCTTGTTTTGACATATATTTGGCCCATGATGGTCCTCTCTCTGGTCCAGTGAGTCTCCAGATACTTAATGTGAAAAGAAACTGTTCGAAAACGCATCTTTCCACTTTCATGTTCTCAGAAATAGTTTTGAAGTCTTTAATCCTTGTTTACAGAAGTGGATCACAGAGGCACAGTACCCGTGTGTGGCCACAGGAGGCGCCAGAGAACACGGAGTGAAAGTCTGAGGTTAGATTCTCGGGAAGAGAAAATCATGGGGAAGGTTTTAGAAGGTTTTAGAGCTGATCTAACAAAGTGAGACACACACAAACACTACACACACACACATACTGTAACTGTACGTATTCACGTGCACGGCACACACACACACACATACTGTAACTAGTATTCACGTGCACGGCACACACACACACACCCATGTATCTAATTTAAGTTCAACATCTTTTGAACATCTTGGTTCAGATCTAGTTCAGACCTGGTTCAGACCAGGTTCAGACCAGGTTCAGACCTGGTTCAGACCTGGTTCAGACCTGGTTCAGACCTGGTTCAGATCTAGTTCAGACCTGGTTCAGACCTGGTTCAGACCTGGTTCAGACCAGGTTCAAACCTGGTTCAGACCTGGTTCAGACCAGGTTCAGACCAGGTTCAGACCAGGTTCAGACCTGGTTCAGACCTGGTTCAGACCTGGTTCAGACCTGGTTCAGACCTGGTTCAGACCTGGTTCAGACCTGGTTCAGACCTGGGCTGTCCTATATGACGTCAGCAGTTTGTCTCACTGAATATTCAGGACCTCTTTACATTTTCTCAAACATGTATTTAACCCAAGACAAAGCACAAATCTGGACCTGGTCTGAACTAGGTCTGAACCAGGACTGAACCAATTCAAAACCAGGACTAAATCAGGTCTGAACCAGGACTGGACCAGTTTATTGTCAGTTGACTTATGTTTGTAGATAGTGTTCATTGCAAAACCAGGTATATTAAACAGTTGTTTATTATGTTTAGTTGTTGGCAGTGGATATGCTCAAAAGGAAAAAACATTATTTTTATTATACTAAAATAAATCCGGCTTATCCCAAATTATAAGCATTTAAAATATTCAGATTGTATTCATCTGTTTTTGCAAATTCATTTTTCATATGTATTTCTCTTGTGTCTCACGTTTCACAGACTCCGCTGCAGATGTTGTTCTGAGAGATTTTCTGTGTCTTTGTGAATAGTTAGAAAAATGAGAATCACAGATGTAAGAGTGTAAACCAGGGTCTGTGTGAGAGCACCAACACACAGACCAGACTCTACGGTCTCTCTCTCTACGGTCTCTGTGGTCTCTATCTTGGGTCTATCTTGGGTCTATCTGGTCTCTATCTGGGCTTTCTTTTTCTTCTCTCTCTTTATGGTTTCTCTCTGGTGAGCCTTAGGTCTTTGCCTCTGGTCTCTCTCTATCCTCTCTCTATCCTCTCTCTGGTCTCTCTCTGGTCTCTCTCTGGTTTCTCTCTGGTCTATCTCTGGTCTCTCTGGTCTCTCTCTCTGGTCTCTCTCTCTGGTCTCTCTCTGGTCTCTCTCTGGTCTCTCTCTGGTCTCTCTCTGGTTTCTCTCTGGTCTATCTCTGGTCTCTCTGGTCTCTCTCTCTGGTCTCTCTCTCTGGTCTCTCTCTGTCCTCTCTCTCTGGTCTCTCTCTGGTCTCTCTCTGGTCTCTCTCTGGTCTCTCTCTGGCCTCTCTCTGGTCTCTCTCTCTGGTCTCTCTCTGGTCTCTCTCTGGTCTCTCTCTCTGGTCTCTCTCTGACACCACAGCCAAACTGCTGTTGTGTCCTTGGACAAGACACCACACCCCTTTTGCCTCGCTCGAATAATGAAATGTGAAGCGTCTTTGAGTGTTCAAAAAGCTCTATATAAAACCGCTACATTATTGTTATTATTACTTTAATTCAGGAGAAAACCTTTGTTGGTTGTGTGCACTGTGGTGATTAGCTCAAAGCTCTCTCTCTGTGGTTTCTCTCTCTGGTCAATCTGATCTCACTCTGGTCTCTCTCTGGTCTCTCTCTGGTCTCTCTCTGGTCTCTCTCTGGTCTCTCTCTGGTTTCTCTCTGGTCTATCTCTGGTCTCTCTGGTCTCTCTCTCTGGTCTCTCTCTCTGGTCTCTCTCTGGTCTCTCTCTGGTCTCTCTCTGGTCTCTCTCTGGTCTCTCTGGTCTCTCTCTGGTCTCTCTCTGGTCTCCCTCTGGTCTCTCAGGTCTCTCTTTGGTCTCTCTCTGGTCTTTCTCTGGTCTCTCTGGTCTCTCTCTGGTCTCTCTGGTCTCTCTGGTCTCTCTCTGGTCTCTCTCTGGTCTCTCTCTGACCTACTCCAGCTTCGGTCCTGACCAAGCCGAGCAAAATCATTTGGAGATGGGTCCCCGGGCGCTGCTCTACGGCGATCAGTGCTTCTGAGGCCTAGTGGCATCAGGATGGGTCAAATTCAGAGGATGAAGTGCTCTACAGGGATATATAAAGTGTTCCTTAACCAAGGGACAATGTATGTTGAAATTGTTGTTAATTCATGTGAATTTGTTTGAAAATGTAGCTTTTATGTTGAGTCCTGGTTAGTTCTCTCTATGACATTAGGCTATACTCCTCCTGTAGGTATTGATGTGTGAATCCCTACTCGAGTCCTGGTCAGTAAAACACAAACATGCAGAGAATCACTAAAGTGTATCTATATTATACTGATTATACTTTATTTGTTTAAAAGCACCAATTTATATCGTGGCTTATTTTCCATCATTTGCTTTACAGTGCAACGAGGGTGAGGTCTCTGGACAGGGGTGAGGTCTCTGGACAGGGGTGAGGTCTCTGGACAGGGGTGAGGTCTCTGTGCAGGGGTGAGGTCTCTGGACAGGGGTGAGGTCTCTGTGCAGGGGTGAGGTCTCTGGACAGGAGTGAGGTCTCTGGACAGGGGTGAGGTCTCTGGACAGGGGTGAGGTCTCTGGACAGGGGTGAGGTCTCTGGACAGGGGTGAGGTCTCTGGACAGGGGTGAGGTCTCTGGACAGGGGTGAGGTCTCTGGACAGGGGTCAGGTCTGTTAGTATTAGATAGCAATATGGCCATCCCTGACAGGTCTCTGGGGTGAATGTTCTGTTTCGACGTCCAAACGTATAGTTCCGTCATGTGACCTTCTGCCGCTCACCGACTGTAGTCTTTGGTCATTCCGACAACTTCTGCACATTTTAACATTAGAACATCCAGAGCTGTCAATTTGACGGCTCTGGATGTGCAGTCACTCAGCTGATGTGCATTCTTGTTCTTCATAACTTCAATTGTGAGGGGTTCTGCCTTTAACTAATTTTCAATATCAAGTGCTAGTTACCATAGTAACACACTGTTTACTGTCAGAAGTTAGCACTAGCATTTTCTTTTTGCTGTATTTCAATTATAATGACTCGTTTTAGCACTTATTAATGGTGAATGCAGGAAAGGACCTTGTACATTACTTTTTTTTATTAATCCAGTGAAAAGCTAGAAATTCTCTTAGAGAATTTCTCAGAATGTCATTGCTTTGACTGGAAGCAGTCAAAATGACGGCTCTGGGAGTTCTATAGTTTCAGAATTCTGGGAGTCCTCCTTAGACTTGATTAGATACCTAACTCCTTATCATACTTGGTTACCATAGTTACAGATGCATAACTCCTTATCCTCTTTGGTTTCCGTAGGTACAGATGCCTAAATCCTCCATCTCTTTGGTTACCATAGTGACAGATGCCTAACTCCTTATCCTCTTTGGTTACCGTAGTCACAGATGCCTAACTCCTCCTCCTCTGCGGTTGCCGTGGTGTTTGAGTTGGAGGGCTTCCTGGTCGCCCCCGCTTCCATGCCCTTCCTCTTCCTGCTGCTGCTGTGTGACTTCCTGGTGGCGTTGCTGGGTAACGGTGCTGTGCTGGTTGCCGTGGTGATGGATCGGCGGCTGTGGCAGCCCATGTTCGTGCTGATGCTGAACCTGGCGCTGGTTGACCTGTTGGGGGCAGCAGCCGTGTGTCCCCGCCTCCTCGCTCACATGCTCTTCACCGATAGGTCGCAGCGCTACATAAGCCACGCCCAGGCGCTGCTGCAGGCCTTTGCTGTGCACACCTACGGGATCACTGTCCAGACTGTGCTCGCTGCCATGGCCTACGACCGGTGAGTCCCACAGTGCACCACTGCACCAGCAGAGGGCCTGACTCTTCCACATTCTACTCTCTGGTCTCTCTTGGGTCTCTCTCTGGTGTCTCTCTGGTCTCTCTTGGGTCTCTCTCTGGTCCCTCTCTGGTCTCTCTTGGGTCTCTCTCTGGTCTCTCTCTGGTCCCTCTCTGGTCTCTCTCTGGTGAAGTCTTCTCTGGCCCTCAGGTACGTGGCAGTCTGCCAGCCGCTGAGGTACCACTCCATCATGACCTCGGCTCGGCTCTTCTGGCTCTGTTTCTGGTCTTGGGTCTCGGCTCTGATCTTAGTCGGGATCCTGTTTGCATTTCACATTGGGACCAGGTTTTGTGGAACTCTGATCCAGCACGCGTACTGCAGTAACCGTGGGTTACTCTCGCTGTCCTGCGAGCCCTCGCCTGCCAACAACTACTATGGTCAGTGGTCAGATATCCATGAATCAAATCAACGCATTAAACGTGTTCCACGTCACACACAACAGATTCAGATTCATTTATTTGCCATTTGCAGTAAAACCACATTGGAAAAACTGTGCAAGACTACCCCAGTGTGCACCAGTGCAACATCAACGTGTCTGATTTCACCACAGATAAGATAGATAAGATGTTAAAGAAACACACATTATTAAAGTATTTCATATGAAGAAGATTAGCTATCATTAGGTAGAAGACTGCTCACGGACACAGAGACGGGTTCATCTGCGGATCACTGAAAAGAACTAAATAAAGCCAATGCATTATAACTACATCCATGCATGGATCTATAATAATAACATGCACCGTGTCTAAAGCGCCTCAGTGAACGTCACATCCTGCGGCCGCTTCACAAGCGAACGTCACCACCTACGGCTCCAAGACACGCTTTTAAAAAACCTCTAAATTACTTGCACAAAATCTTGGGTAAGGGAACAAATTTAGGGCTAGGGTCGGAATTGGGACTGAATACTTCTTCTACAGCCGCTGCTACTAGTGCTGCTACTGCTAATATCAATACTACTACGGCAGGTTTGAGGTGGTGTGCTAACCTCAGTGTGTATGTTTGCTTCAGGTCTGGCTATGACGTACCTGGTAAGCACCACCGTGTTCCTGATCACGGCGTTCTCGTACACCCGGATCCTGATGGCGGCGGTCTGGACCCGGCTCAGACCGGGTCGGAGCGGTCTAGACGCGGCTCAGACCCGGTCTAAAGCGATACAGACCTGCTGCTCTCACCTGGTGGTGTACGTGGTGTACAATGTGGCCTCCGTCATCATCATCATCTCATACCGCCTACCGCCGTTCGCCGTCACCCCCAACGTGAAGAAGCTCTTCACCGCACTCTTCATCATCCTCCCGCCCGCCCTCAACCCGATCATCTACGGCCTGGTGAGCCGCGAGCTGCGCGCCGCGCTCTACCGCCAGCTGCGTCGTGCTGTGCCGAGCCGAGGGAGGCGCACAGTGCCCAAGAGACACTGACCCCCCACACCCCACGCATCATTTGAGCTAGACTCGCGCAGCGGTGTGCGTAGGACGCCACGAGACGAATTTCAGATGCATGTCCCTTTGTAGAAGCCCGAGCCGCAGCTGCACAGACGAGTGCAGAGACACACACAGAGACGCACACAGAGGCGCACACAGAGACGCACACAGAGACGCACACAGAGGCGCACACAGAGGCGCACACAGAGGCGCACACGGAGACGCACACAGAGGCGCACACAGAGACGCACACGGGACGCACACGGAGACGCACACAGAGACGCACACAGAGACGCACACAGAGGCGCACACAGTGACGCACACAGAGACGCACACAGAGGCGCACACAGAGGCGCGCACAGAGACGCACACAGAGGCGCACACAGAGGCGCGCACAGAGACGCACACGGAGACGCACACGGAGACGCACACAGAGGCGCACACGGAGACGCACACGGGAAGCACACGGAGACGCACACAGAGACGCACACAGAGGCGCACACAGTGACGCACACAGAGACGCACACAGAGGCGCACACAGAGACGCGCACAGAGGCGCGCACAGAGACGCACACGGAGACGCACACGGAGACGCACACGGAGGCGCACACGGAGACGTACACGGAGACGCACACGGGACGCACACAGAGACACACACAGAGACGCACACAGAGGCGCACACAGTGACGCACACAGAGACGCACACAGAGACGCACACAGAGGCGCACACAGAGACGCACACAGAGACGCACACGGAGACGCACACGGAGACGCACACGGAGACGCACACAGAGACGCACACAGAGGCGCACACAGTGACGCACACAGAGACGCACACAGAGACGCACACAGAGACGCACACAGAGACGCACACAGAGGCGCACACAGAGGCGCACACAGAAACACGTCCAAAATAGGAGCCTTGCATATTTTTGCTTCACAGCGACGCAGCTTAAACACATGGGAAACATGTTTGTGCTGATGATAATTTCCAGATAATTATTTTATAAAGTCTGAGCCGCCGCTTCAAAGTGGGGGCGGGTCCCGGCTCAAAAAGGTCCATGTGCGCTAACATGCAGTACCACCCCGGGCCAGTGGGGTTGGACCCAGAAAGAGAATCATTCAGTGCTTTTATATGGCGTCTTCATTCCTCTCAAAAACCTCTCAGGATAGGATTGGTCCAAAAGTCGCTCTTGCCCCAAAGCTACGTTCCGGATGCTGTCAATGCTGATGGGAGTGTATATTTTTGGACCAGTCTTGTTTAGCCGCTATGGACTTTTGAATGCACTCGTTAAATAAATGGGGCCCGTGCAGCTGACGCATGCGCAAATGCATTTTTCAACATATTCCAACATTTTGAAACTGCCTACAGACGGCAAAATTTCAACGCCGGAGACAGGCGTGACTATGTCTGTTAATATTTACAGTCTATGGTCCACATGCTGCATGGCGCTGCTGTCACTGTGCTTGCGGTGTATAGGGGCCGTGAGAGAGCGCCATCTAGAGGTATAGCCAACCAGCCTCACAACCGCAGACCTCGTGTCACCACACCAGCCCAGGACCTCCACATTGTAGTGGAAATTCAGATACTTCAATGAATAAATCCGAGGAAAACAGCTTGTCTTTGTGCAATTTATTTAAAAGATGATGAGAATACAAATACAAATAATATTCTCTGCAGAGAGCGAGACAGAAGCGGTGCGCGCAGATGCTTTGCACAGCTTCCCTCTCCCGCTCCTCATTCCAGCATTCGATAATATACTTAGACAAAAATCAGTGAACAATGAACAGACGTCACAGACGTCTGCGGTGGGGGAGAGATGGGATGAGTCATGCATGGACGGGGGGAGAGGGTGAGATAAGAGAGACGGGATGAGGAGATACAAAGAAGATAATAGGGAAAATTAAGATAAAACGAGGGTACATTAAGATAACGCACCTGCAGATTGTAACAGCAAGCACACGAAGGCCATGGGAAAGAGAACAGCAGCAGAATGTCCCTTTGTGTTACAGACAAGCGGCCTTTGTGTAAATGTATCAGTGAGTTTGTACAATACATTTCTGGCCATGGGAAACTTACCACAACAACATCCAGCAGGTTCACCTCCAAGATCGTCTGAGACCAGCCACTGAGACAGCTGCTGAAACAGTTGGTTTGCCTAACCAAACAATTTCTGCACAAACTGTAAGAAACCGTCTCAGGGAAGCTCAACTTCATGTTCATCGTCCTCATCGGGGCCTTGACCTGACTCCAGCTCATCGTCCTCATCGGGGCCTTGACCTGACTCCAGCTCATCGTCCTCATCGGGGCCTTGACCTGACGCCAGCTCATCGTCCTCATCGGGGCCTTGACCTGACTCCAGTTCGTCGCCGTAACAGACTTGAGTGGACAAATGCTCACATTCGATGGCGTCTGGCACGTTGGAGAGGTGTTCTCTTCACGGATGAATCTGGGTTTGCAGTGTTCAGGGCAGATGGCCGACAGAGTGCGTGGCGTCGTGTGGGCGAGCGCTTTGCTGATGTCAATGTTGTGGATGGTATGGCCCGTGGTGGTGGTGGGGTTATGGTATGGCCCGTGGTGGTGGTGGGGTTATGGTATGGCCCGTGGTGGTGGTGGGGTTATGGTATGGCCCGTGGTGGTGGTGGGGTTATGGTATGGCCCGTGGTGGTGGTGGGGTTATGGTATGGCCCGTGGTGGTGGTGGGGTTATGGTATGGCCTCATGTTTCAGCCAGCAAACTCACTGCACATTTCATCCATTGAGCATGTTTGGGATGTGCTTGAGCGGCGTATACAACAGCGTGCACCTGTTCCCACTGATATCCAGCAGCACAGCCATTGAAGAGGAGTGGACCAAAATTCCACAGGCCACAATTGACAATCTGATAAACTCTATGCAAAGAAGAGTCCCCAGACCGCCAATAAAGAAAAATAATGCACATGTCAGGCCTTATATTGTGGACAGTCTAAGGCACACCTGTGCCTAATCATGATGTCAGATCAGCATCTTGATGTGGGATGGATTATCTCAGCAAAGCAGAAGTGTTCACTATCACACATTTAGACAGGTTTGTGAAACATGTTTGAGAGAAATGGTAATATTGTGTATCTGGAATTCATTTTATATCTTTAAGTCCATCTCATGGAAAATGGGAGCAAAAACAAAAGTGTTTTTCAGATGCCTTGATTCACAGAGAAAATCCAAATTGCCTTGACAACCATCTAAGCATGTGTCTGTCACAGTCTGTATGTGTCTGACTGAAGGAGAGAGACCAGAGAGAGACCAGAGAGAGACCAGAGAGAGACCACAGAGAGACCAGAGAGAGACCACAGAGAGAGACCAGAGAGAGACCAGAAAGAGACCAGAAAGAGAAAACAGATAGAGACCAGAGAGATACCAGAGAGAGAGACCGGAGAGAGAGACCAAAAAAAGAGAGAGACACCTGAGAGAGACCAGAAAAAGAAAACAGATAGAGACCAGAAAGAGAGACCAGAATGAAACCAGAGCGACCAGCAAGAGACTAGCAAGACACCTAAATAGAGAAAAGCAGCCAATACGACCATATCGTCTGAGGGTAACAGTTGCATGGATGTGGGTGTTCACTCTGAGGAGGACGAGCAGACGATGAAGAGCACTTTTGAAAGTCCTGATTCAGACTCAGGAGAAGGATCCATGACCTCAGAGTCTTCTGTGAGAGAACTGTTGTATCAGAGAAATGCAGCCTCGCGGAAATTCAATTTGGAAGACGTCAGCAAAGCCACCCCTTCCAGGCCGGCCTCGCAGCCCCAGCCTATCGCACAGCAAACGCCCATTTCCAACCAACCTACGCCGGCCAGGCAAGCCGCTTAAAAGCGGAGAAACTCCCACTTTACGGCCTTCTCGAAGCCTTACAAAGAGTCGTTCTGGAGGAATCGCTTTTGTCTACTCACGCTTACTCGTGCGTGTCCCTGCTGTCCTCTGTCTTGCTGCGTGTGGTCTGCTCCTCCTGTGGCTGCACCTGCTGCGGGTCTCGTGCTGTGGTCCGTGGGTCTTTGCCGCTCTCCTCCTTTGCGGGCTCTTTCTGCGGGTTCGCCGCTGCTCGTCTCGTCGCGGCCTGCTGCTGCCTACGGCCGGTCTGGACCGGTGCGGTGGGAGCCGTGCGCATCCCTGCCTCCTCGTGCCGGTACGGTGTGGTCCCGTTGTGTTTTCCCTTGTCTTCTGGCGTTGTGGGTAAGTATGCGGACGGTTTATTCCCCTCGCATTGTACTGCAGGCTCGGTTTTGGCCCCGCGCTTTGTACTGCAGGCTCAGTTGGCCCAGCGCATTGGTGTGCAAGCTCTCAGTTTAAAGCCCTCGCATTGGTCTCCAGGCTCTCTTTAACCTCTCTTGGACTGCGGCTCTCTTTAACCTCTCTTGGACTGCGGCTCTCTCTTTGAATCCCACTCTTGGACTACAAGCTCTGTTTAAATCCCTCTTTGGACTGCGGCTCTAAGTTTAAATCCTTCACTCTGACTGCAAGCTCCGTTTTAATCCCTCACATTGGACTGCAAGCTCTCAGTTTTAATCCCTCACTTTGGACTGCAATCTCTCAGTTTAAATCCCTCACATTGGCCTGCAGGCTCTCTTTAAATCCCTCTCTTGGACTACAAGTTCTGTTTAAATCCCTCTCTTTGGACTGCGGCTCTCTCTTTGAATCGCTCTCTTGGACTACAGCTCTGTTTAAATCCCTCTTTGGACTGCGGCTCTCAATTTGAATCCCTCACATTGGACTGCAAGCTCTCAGTTTAATCCCTCACTTAGGACTGCAGGCTCTGTTTGGATCCCTCACACTGGACTGCAAGCTCTCAGTTTTAATCCCTCTCTTTGGACTACAAGCTCTCAGTTTTAATCCCTCTCTTTGGACTACAAGCTCTCAGTATTAATCCCTCACTTTGGACTGCAGGCTCTGTTTAACTCCTTCACACTGGACTGCGGGCTCTCAGTTTAAACCCCTCACTTGGACTGCGGGCTCAGTTAATCCCTCACTTGGACTGTAAACTCTGTTTAAATCCCTCACACTGGCTGCAAGCTCTCGGTTTTAATCCCTCACTTGGACTACAAGCTCTCAGTTATAAATCCCTCATTTAGGACTGCAGGCAATGTTTGAATCCCTCACACTGGACTACAAGCTCTCAGTATTAATCCCTCACTTTGGACTACAAGTTATTTAACTCCCTCACACTGGACTGCAGGCTCTCAGTTAACCACCTCACTTGGACTGCGGGCTCAGTTTTAATACCTCACTTTGGACTGCAAGCTCAGTTTTAATACCTCACTTTGGACTGCAAGCTCTGTTTAAATCCCTCACATTGGACTGCAAGCTCTGTTTAGGTTCCTCGGCGTCTCGTGTCCCGCAACCTCTCCCGGCTCTCCGTGAGCCCCAAGTCGTCACGCGGCTCGGGCGCGGGAGGTGTCCGTGGGCTACGTCATTGGCCCCTTCTCTCCGTCTCGCTCTAACCCGATGGGCATCGCCACCCGCAAGCACTCCGGGGAGAAGCGTCTCATATTCGTCCTCTCCTTCCCCGCTCCGGGCCCGCCCCGAGCATCAACAGCCCCTTCCCTCCAGCGCCCTTCTCCCTACAGTCCGCTACCGTGGTCCACGCGATCAGGCTGATAAAGACTTTCGGCCCCGGCTCCTGGCTCTCTAAGGCCGACATCCCGGACGCGTTCGAGCTGCTGCCCATCCACCCCGACCACTGGCGCCTGTTCAGGGGTCAAGTGGCGTCAGAGTTCTTCTTCGCCGTGCGCCCCACCTTCGACAGCCGGAGTAGTCCCTCTCCGTTCAACAATCTCTCGGAGGCGCCGCGTCGGATTCTGCTTAATTACGCGCGGCTCCCCTCTGTCCTGCATCTCCCCGATGATTCCCTCGTAGTCAACCCACCCTCAGACTGCTCCGGGGGCTCTCTCCGCAAGCTCAAGCTCGCCTTCTCTGCCCTCGGATTCCTTCACTCCGAGGAGAAGACCACCGGCCCCGCCACCGCTTTGGAGTTCTCGGCATCCGCCTCGTCACGCGCGCCGTGGAGGCCTCCCTCCCGCCGGACAAGCTTGGGCGCATCCGCGCTTCTCCCGGTCTGCCTTGTCCTCTCCGTCACTTTCGAAGCGTCAGCTGCTCCCTCCTCGGGCACCTCAATGATGCTATCCGTATCATCCCTCAGGGTCGTTCTTTTATTTCCAGGCTCCTCTCCCTCGCTGGCTCCGTCCCTTCCCTCAATGATGCTGTCTGCCTGAACGCTGGGTGCTGCTCCGACCTGGCATTCTGGTCCTGTCCGCTGAGCCGCTGGAACGGTGTATCTTTTTCTACAGCGACGTCATCCCGTCCTCAGATGCCCTGCGTTTCTTCACGGACGCAGCCCCCTCCGTGGGTTTTTGGGGTTTTTTCCAGGACCAGTGGTTCGCCGGGCCCTGGCCCGACTCTTTCCCTCGAAGCATCTCCTCCGCACTCCATGAAATATATCCCGTGACCGTAGCCTGCGTGCCGTGGAGCCATACGTGGCACAGAAAAAGGATTCCGTGATGTGTGTCAATCTCGACGTGGTAGAAATAATTAACAGAGGTCGTTCGTCCTCTCCCCAAGTCATGTCTTTCCTCAGAAGCATCACATGGCTCTCAGTCCTAAATAATTTCATCATCACTGCTCGTCACGTCCCCGGTCACCTTGACCGTATTGCTGACTGTCTCTCTCGCTTTAAATTCCAGGAGTTCCGACGCCTCTGCCCCTCTGCCAATTCAACGCCATGCCATATCCCCTCCATGGAATCCCTCGCCCTGGACTAGTCCCTCCGTCTCTTCACCTTCTCCTCTCCTCCGCTTCATCCTACATGAAAAAGGGCCTCTCACCTTCCACGCGGAAATCGTACAGTTTTGCTTGGAAAGTCTACTCCAGCTTTTGCTACGCTCACTGCATTCCCCTAATTCCGCCCTCTGCTTGCACAATCTGTGCCTTCATAGTTCACTGTGCGGACAATCTCCACTACAAGATCTCTTACATTCGCTCTCTTCTCGCCGGGATACAATTCCAGGCCCGCTGTCACACCCCGCTTTCTCCTCTCTATTCTCTGATCCATCAATCAAACTCGTCATCAAAGGCATTCACAACTGCACCCCGCATTCCTCGGACCACAGGCGCCCCATCACACTGTCCATCCTCCACCAGCTCTGCGCCGCACTTTGCTCCAGCATCTAACTGGTTCAGAGCCCAACTCAAGTCTGTACTGCTGCTTTGTAACTTGTCCCCTCATTTCTACACAGCTCAATCTTTCCGGATAGGCGCAGCTACGCGCGCTGCTTCCCTGGGTCTTCCCCATTCTGCCCTTCAGCCGTTGGGTCGCTGGTCATCATCTGCCCTCTCCTCATACATCAGGCCTGACACTTCGACTATTCTGGCAGCCCAGCGTCTATCGGCATCTCCGTAAAGCACTGGCAAACTCCCTGGTGGCGGCAGCAGCTGAGCATTTATAAATAGTGTTGCCTTTATAAATAGTGTTGCCTTTATAAATAGTGTTGCCTTTATATATAGCGGTGCCTTTATAAATAGTGTTGCCTTTATATATAGCGGTGCCTTTATAAATAGTGTTGCCTTTATATATAGCGGTGCCTTTATAAATAGTGTTGCCTTTATATATAGCGGTGCCTTTATAAATAGTGTTGCCTTTATATATAGCGGTGCCTTTATAAATAGTGTTGCCTTTATATATAGCGGGTGTTGCCTTTATAAATAGTGTTGCCTTTATAAATAGTGTTGCCTTTATAAATAGTGTTGCCTTTATAAATAGTGTTGCCTTTATAAATAGTGTTGCCTTTATATATAGCGGTGCCTTTATAAATAGTGTTGCCTTTATATATAGCGGTGCCTTTATAAATAGTGTTGCCTTTATATATAGCGGTGCCTTTATAAATAGTGTTGCCTTTATATATAGCGGTGCCTTTATAAATAGTGTTGCCTTTATATATAGCGGTGCCTTTATAAATAGTGTTGCCTTTATATATAGCGGTGCCTTTATATATAGCGGTGCCTTTATAAATAGTGTTGCCTTTATAAATAGTGTTGCCTTTATATATAGCGGCGCCTTTATAAATAGTGTTTCCTTTATATATAGCGGTGCCTTTATAAATAGTGTTGCCTTTATATATAGCGGTGCCTTTATAAATAGTGTTGCCTTTATATATAGCGGTGCCTTTATAAATAGTGTTGCCTTTATATATAGCGGTGCCTTTATATATAGCGGTGCCTTTATAAATAGTGTTGCCTTTATAAATAGTGTTTCCTTTATATATAGCGGTGCCTTTATAAATAGTGTTGCCTTTATATATAGCGGTGCCTTTATAAATAGTGTTGCCTTTATATATAGCGGTGCCTTTATAAATAGTGTTGCCTTTATATATAGCGGTGCACGCACGACGTCCCCTGCTAACCAGGCCTGCAAAACTCCATCAAACACACAGCCTTTTGGGGATTGTGCGCGCACTCTCGCAGGAGCCTCGCTGACTGAACGCCGCACCGGGGCCTAGGGCGCCAAACTACCTTCAATAAAATACTTCAAATGCATTTTGTCTCCTCGTCTCTCCAGATTGAAATAAACCCTCTGGATTTGAACTGTTTGAGTCTGTTTGAATACATACAACATGCCCATAGGTGGCTCCTGCTAGCTTATGTTCAAATCAGCTTCTTCTGCATGAAGGCTAACACTGAAGTGATGTCACACTGCAGTGATGTCACACTGCGGTGATGTCACACTGTGGTGATGTCACACTATGGTGATGTCACACTGAGGTGATGTCACACTGTGGTGATGTCACATTGCAGTGATGCCATACCCGGTTTTAATCCACCTCTTACAACCATAGTCCTGATGCCCTGGCTCTACACATTCTGTGAGAGAGACAAGAGGGAGACCTGTGAGAGAGAACAGAGAGAGACCAGAAGGAGACCAGAGAGAGACCAGAGGGGGAGCTGTGAGAGAGACCAGAGGGAGACCTGTGAGAGAGAACAGAGAGAGACCAGAGGGAGAACAGAGAGAGACCAGAAGGAGACCAGAGAGAGACCAGAGGGAGAGCTGTGAGAGAGACCAGAGGGAGACCAGAAGGAGACCAGAGAGAGATCAGAGGGAGAGCTGTGAGAGAGACCAGAGGGAGACCAGTGAGAGAGGCCAGAGAGAGACCAGAGGGAGACCAGAGAGAGACCAGAGAGAGACCAGAGAGAGACCAGAGAGAGACCAGAGGGAGAGCTGTGAGAGAGACCAGAGAGAGACCAGAGGGAGAGCTGTGAGAGAGACTAGAGGGAGAGAGACTTTTACTGCATATGTTATTGTTTATCTACAGTGTGTTTTCAAAAGCATCAAACTTCTCACATGACAAAGAGAAAGAAAGAGACTCAAATGTATGGATTATTTAATATTAAAATACGTTCCTCTGCGATCACTAAAAGTCACTAAAGGATGAGGTCACGATGAGATATTTCCGTTGAACAGGAATCAGAGAGGATCGGGACGAGAACCCATTACACTCTGTATAAGTGTGGATCTAACATGGTGGCCCAGTCCAGTCATGGCACCTTCCGTAGCAGCGTCCTGAGCTGGCGCCGGATGTCATGTGACCTGAGGCCGTAGATCAGCGGGTTGATGGCGCCCGACACCACGTGGTGAACGACGGAGATGTACATTCGCTCCTGACCGAGATGCGGGAAACGATGAAGAACGATGATGAGGAGCGAGGAGCCGAGGAAGAGGCTGTAGGCGCTGAGGTGAGTGGAGACGGTCTGTAGGGCTTTGTGGTTCAGCGACGCACTGCGGCTGGAGAGACACACACACACAGACAGACACACACACACACACACACAAGTACAGAGTGAGGTTTGTGGAGACGGTTTATAGGGTTTTGTAGTTCAGGGACGCACCACTGTTGGAGAGACACACACACACACATAGACAGACACACACAGAGACACACACACAGAGACACACACACAGACACACACACAGAGACACACACACACACACACACACATACAGAGTGAGGTTTGTGGAGACAGTTTGTAGAGTTTTTCTGGTTCAGCGACGCACTGCGGCTGGAGAGACACACACACACAGACAGACACACACAGAGAGACACACACACAGACACACACAGACACACACACACAGAGAGAGACACACACACAGAGACACACACACACACATACAGAGTGAGGTTTGTGGAGACTGTAGGGTTTTTCTGGTTCAACGACGCACTGCGGCTGGAGAGACACACACAGAGACAGACACACACACACACGCACAGAGAGAGAGACACACACACGTACAGAGTGAGGTTTGTGGAGACGGTTTGTAGGGTTTTGTGGTTCAGGGACGCACCACGGTTGGAGAGACACACACACAGACACATTTAGACACACTCAGAGACAGACACAGACACAGAGACACACACACAAACAGAGACATAGACACACAGAGACACACAGACACAGATAAACACACATAGAGACAGACACAGATACAAACACACAGAGACACAGATACACACACACACACACACAGAGACACACACACAGACGCACACACACAGACGCACATACACAGACATACACACAGACACACAGAGACACACACACACAGACATACACACAGACACACAGACACACACACACACAGACACACACACACACACACACACACACACAGTGAGGTGAGTGGAGACGGTTTGAAGGGCTTTGTGGTTCAGGGACTCACTGTGGCGATACACAGAGAAAGAGAGACACACAGACACACACAGAGAGAAACACACAAACACACACACTTGTCTTTACTACATTGTGGTGCAACAGAACAAGGACATCACCTCCGACTACAGCAGCTACAGCAAAGCAAAGAATATCTTTTTTTTAAAAAAAGGTCCAGCACCTGACTTTTACTGTACTTTTGGGGACATACCTGGTTTGTCTCGACTTGTAGGGACAAAACTAACACACTATTTGGTTTTTAGCTCCTTTTAAAAACTCTCACTCTCACACACACACACACACACACACACACAGGCATGCATCAGGCATGAGCAGGATCCCTGCTCAAAAAGGTCCATAAGCACGTGCACTGACATTCTGCAGTCTGGCACCTTGCTGGTGGGGGTGTACCCGGAAACAGAATCCTCCACTGGATTCTTGAAAACAGTTTTACAGCCTGGTTCAAAAGTCACTCTTGGCTCAACGCTTTGTTCCAGATGCTGCCAATGCTGAGGACCAGTCTAGTTTAGCAGCGGTGGACTTCTGAATGAACATGTTAAATTAACCTCATGTGTCAGGCTCTTGTCAGACTAATTTGTGCGCAAATGATTCAGCGTCTGCTCCGAAAGTGTTTTTTCACCATTTTCTTGCGGGGGAGGGGATTTTTAAAGGTCGGCAGGAGAGAAAAGTGATCCCACATAAGTTTCAACGGCGGAGATAGGCGTCACTATGTCTGTTAATATATACAGTCTATAGCACACAAACACACCTCCGCATACACACTCACCTCCTCACACTCACACACCTCCTCACACAAACACACACACACTCACCTCCTCACACACACACACAGACTCACCTCTTCACACACACCACAGTGATCTTGCCGTAGGACAGCAGAACTGTGCCGATGGAGCCCCCTAGCAGCAGCACGGTGAACAGCAGGCCGTACACGTTGTTGACGAAGGTGTTCTGACACGACAGCTTGAAAAGCCCCGCGTTACTGCAGCTCAGTCCCACACCACTGGGAGCTGGCAGCGAGTCAGTCTCCACCGTCAGCCACAGCAGGACAGCCACCAGATACAAAGGAGGCCGGAACATGACCCAAAGCCAGCATCCTCAACACCGTGTGCGTCCGATGATGGATGGCGTACCGCTGCCGGGCAGCATGATGGCGTGGTACCGTCATTGTTCGCCTATCACCATGGAGCGTGTGACAACTGCTCTTCAAACAGGTTGCACGAAGAAGGCCTGAATGCCACACACGCTGTGAGGGAGAGAAGAGAAAGAAGCTGTAACAGTAGAGGAGAACAGCTCTCTCTCCTCTCTGGTCTCTCGCTCCTGGTCGCTCTCTCTCTTTGTCTCTGTCTCTGATCTCTCTCTCTGGTCTCATCTCTGGTCTCTTCTTTGGCCCTAGCTCTCTGGTCTCTCCTCGCTTCTGATGTTCTGGTCTCTCCCTGGTCTTGCAGTGGCAGCCGGCCTCTACTGCACATAGGCTAATACTATGGTGAAAGACCAGAGAAAAAACAAAGACCAGAGAGAGACCAGTGAGAGAGACCAGAGAGAAACCAGAGAGAGACCAGAAAAACACCAGAGAGAGACCAGAGAGAGACCAGAGAGAGAGAGAGAGAGACCAGAGAGAGACCAGAGAGAGACCAAGAGAGACCAAAGACCAGAGAGAGAGACCAGAGAGAGAGAGAGTACAGTACAGGTGGATGTGTCTGGCGCTCAGGGGGCGGAGTAAGTCCCAGAGAGAGAGAGACGTCACAGAGCGACAGAGAGACATGGGCTGAGCAGCGAGCGCGTCCCGGCGATGAGGACGATCATGGTCCCGTTAGAGAGGACCAGGAAGACGAAGATGAAGAGGAGGACAAGCACGACCGGGAGCGTCTGAGAGGGGGGTAGGGTCAGGCTCTCCAGGACCAGCACCAGGTCCGAGCCGTTAGACTGCATCTGAGCCATGAGGACCAAGACCCGGGCTGAGGAGAGCGAGGGGGACTGTGAGGACCAGGACTGAGGAGAAAGAGGGGGACTGTGAGCACCAGGACTGAGGAGAGAGAGGGGGACTGTGAGCACCAGGACTGAGGAGAGAGAGGGGGACTGTGAGGACCAGGACTGAGGAGAGAGAGGGGGACTGTGAGGACCAGGACTGAGGAGAGAGAGGGGGACTGTGAGGACCAGGACTGAGGAGAGAGAGGGGGAATGTGAGGACCAGGACTGAGAAGAGAGAGGGGGACTGTGAGGACCAGGACTGAGGAGAGAGAGGGGGACTGTGAGGACCCAGGACTGAGGAGAGAGAGGGGGACTGTGAGAGGGACCAGGACTGAGAGAGAGAGGGGACAGCAAACACAGAGGATATAATGTAATGGAAACGACTCTGTTTGGATTTGTGTGTACTAAGTGTGAGTGACCTTTCACCTTTGACGCCCAGCGAAAACACATTGTTGAAACTTAGAGACCATCAGAGAGACCAAGAGAGACCAGAGATGGAACCAGAAAAACCAGTATAGTCCATTAGAGAGCCAGAGATTAGACCTGAAAGACACCAAGGAGACCAGATATAGACCTAGAGACACCAGTAGAGAACCTTGAAAGACCAAGAGAGACCTTTGAGAGACTGGAGGTAGATCTAAAAAAAGACTAGGGAACCAAAGAACATGAGAGAGACCAGAGGTAGAAACCAGAGGGAGACCAGAGGAGACCAGTGACCAAAAGAACACCTAAAAGAGACTTAGGTAGACCGAGAGTGACAAAGTGTAGACCAGAGAGACCAGAGAAAGACAGAGAGGATACCAGCGAACCCAGGGATAGGGATCAGAGGTGACCTAAGAGAGACCAAGGGGGATCCAAGAAACCATAGGAAACCACGTGATCCAAGAGAAACCAGAGATGTAGACCAGAGACATCAGAAACTATCCGATTGACCATCTTTGAGAGACACCAGAGAGAGACCAGAGAGAGACTAAGACAAGAGATAGACTATATGGAGAGACCAGAGAGACCAGAGCGAGACCAGAAAGAAGACCAGAGGGAAACAGAGCTCTTTAAAGAATCTCTGATCATCTGCTGGCTCGTTGGAAATGACCATTGCCAGCTGCTTCCCGCTGCAGAAGGCATCGTGTCAGACATCAGATGAAACAAAGCACTTAATGATCTGTTATTGAAACGGTTTGGGGTGTGATTTCACTGAGGACACTTGTACAATTCTTTTGCTTGCTATTTGGTAATGTGTGCATAAGGAATCATACCAGAATTAATTTTTATTGGAATCTGATGAGAGAAGTGCCTAAACAAATGGCCTTTGGCGCTCGGTTAGTAATGGAAAAAGCGAATATACTTTTATGTTATACTGTAACAAGCACACTATAACTGGGACTCTTGCACATTACGATTGTTTACTGCTAATGGAAAACAAACTCAATCTGAATCTGAGTATTGTTATCTGAGTATGTTATCATTAGTATTTAGCTGAGTATGTTATCTGAGTATTGTTATCTGATATTGTTAGTCGCGATTTAAACTTGAGATAGCAAAGACCTTTCACACTGTAACAAATGTCGTAGAATTACAATGAAATGTCAACATAAACAAATGTTATTTAAAAAACAATTTAAACATGACAGCCCTTCCTCCTCCTGCACTGCCGCCTGTCCTGCACTGCCGTCCTCCCGCGCAGCGCCTCCTCCTGCGCAGCCACCTCCTGCACAGCCGCCGCCTGCACAGCCTCCTCCTTGCACAGCCCTCCTCCTGGCTCAGCCTCCTCCTGCACAGCCTCCGCCTCTGCAACAGCCTACCTCCTGCGCAGGCCTCCTCCTGCGCAGCCGCCCTCCGCGGACTGGAGAGGCTGCGCACGAGGGAGGCTCGCGCAGGAGGAGCTGCGCAGGAGGAGCTGGCGCAGGAGGAGGCTAGCGCAGGGAGGAGGGCTGGCAGGAGGAGGCTGTGCTGGAGAGGCTGGTGCAGGAGGAGGCTGTGCAAGGGAGAGGCTGTGCAGGAGGAGGCTGTGGCAGAGGAGGCCTGCGCAGATGAGGCTGCCGCAGGAGGAGCAGTGCAGGTGGAGGCGGGGCAGGAGGAGGCTGTGCAGGAGGAGGCTGTGCAGGGAGGAGCTGCGCAGGAGGAGGCTAGCGCAGGAGGAGACTGTGGCATGGTGGGAGGCTGCACAGAGGGAGACAGCCCATGAGGGAGACTGCCCCAGTGGGAGACCTGCCCAAGGAGACTGGCCCAGAGGAGACAGCCCAGAGGGAACAGCCCAGAGGAGACTGGCCCAGAGAGAGACTGGCCCAGAAGAGAGACGTGCCCAGAGAGGAGACGGCCCAAGGGGAGACTGGGCCCAGAGGGAGACTGCCCAAGGAGACTGCACAGAGGAGACTGCCCAGAGGGAGAAACAGCCCACATGGGAGACAGGCCATGAGGGGAGACAGGCCAGAGGGAGACTGCCCAGTGGGAGACTGGGGGCCCAGGGGGAGACTATGCCCAGAGGGAGACTGTGGGCCCAAGGGGGAGACAGCCCAGAAGAGAGACTAGCCCAGAGGAGGCGGTGGCGGAGCATCTGTCCCGAACATGGGTGGTGGGGGAACTGCGTTTCGCTCTCGCTTCCGATCCTTGGCAGTAGAACCCGCGGGGCTTGGAGTGGATAGCACTCTCGCCTCGCTCAGCAAGAAGTCCGGGGTTCGAAATCCCGCCGGACCAGGGGGCCGTATGCTGAGTGGAGGTTGCATATCTCCCCCGTGTCTGGCGTAGTTTCCCCGGTACTCCGGTTGTTCCCCTACCACGAACAAATATGACATCGGAGTGGCATGCGCCTGCTGTATCGGCGACCCCCCGGCTTCCCCATCTCAGTGTGGAGTGAGAGACAAGGTGCCCAAAAAATAACAATTGTAAACCGCTTTGTGGACTCTGGGGTCTGGAAAGGCGTATAAGAAATAAACATTACTTACTTACAGGTCATGATTACAGGTCGATATAGCAAACCAGAACACGCACATCATCTGTGTCTTATGACCAGTGGGTGGGTGTAACAAGCGCTGCAAAGTATTAAGTACAACAAATTAACGTGTTACATTAACAAACAATCTTTTGTCCAGGGGAAGTAAAGTAAACCACCGCGGTAACTATCGAGCAATTTTATAACGTGAAGCCGTTTAGTTTTTTTTTATCTGGGCGCATGAATGATGTGGCAAAGAACTACCAAGCTGTGTGTGTCCGCCTTACCAGAAGCAAACGGCTTCATAAAACGTTGGAGCGTGTTATCAAAACAAGGACGGTCATGTCATAAACGGGTCAGTGTCTTCGGCCTCTGCCATCAACCTGTGTCAGTGGTCGTGTAACTGAATGTTGTTTTAAGTATCAGTAATAATCTCCTTTTAGTGGCTAATATATTGTGTAATGACTGAGATTCATTTCCTGCTTCCCAGGTGTCCAGAGGATGTGCATGCAGGATGCCTCGGGTTGGACAAGGGCCTGTTCTCTTGGCTCCACACCATCCCGTCCTGTGGACTTGCAAATATCTTGTTAAGGCATATACCTTAGGGGTGCTCATTGTGATCCTGTATGGAACTGTGGGTGGAAGTGGAGCCGTTCTTATATCTTCTTAAAAAAGGACATATTTAAGGGAGACATGTTCTAGGGGGAAGGAGCTGAGCCTGGTTTGCTCTTGAAAAGGCAACCAAATAATATAGAATGCCTGATCTAGGTCTTTTGGTGTGTATGGTGATGTTGTGCCAGGTCGGACTGTAGGTTAAATACTGTAGGTTAAACCGATTGTAGCTAAACAGTAGGTTCAACAATGTAGGTTTAACATTGTAGGCCCTTTAAAAACAGTAGGTTAAACAGGTAGGTGTAAACAGTGTAGGCTAAACAGTGGTAGGGCTTAACAGTAGTGAACACAGTGTAGGTTAAACAAGTGTAGTTAAACAGTGTAGGCTAAACAGTAGGTTTAAACAGTGGTAGCTATACAGTAGGGTAAACAATTAGGTTAAACATGTAGGTTAAACAGTAGGTTAAACAATGTAGGTTTAACAGTGTGGGTAAAACAGTGTAGGGTAAACAGTAGGTTAAACAGTGGTAGGTAACAGGTAGGTTAAACAGTAGCATACACAATTGTAGGTTATAGGAGTGTAGGCTAAACATAGGTTTAAACAGTGTATGGTTAAACAGTGGTAGCGAAACAGTAGGTTAAACAGTGTAGGTTAAACAGTGTAGGCTAAAACTAGTCTAAACCGTGTGGGTTAAACAGTGTAGTTAAACAGTGTGAACGTGTCGAAGCGTTTCATTGGCTCAATAGTGTTTCCCCACTCTGCATTGGGTCGAGCGTTAAGAGGCGTTCACAGCAGGCCACGCGGTGATCCAGTTCAGTGCAAAGTCAATGTGACAGTGTCGACGTGCACTTCTTGGGATTTGGGACCCGCTTTTAGTGGATGGCAGAAGACGAGTAGTGGTTTAATAACAGCAACACAAAAGTAAGGCATCGAATAACTGTTAACGTAACTTTCTGTAGAGACTAAGTAATAAAAGTAACAGGTCCTTTTTTAAAAAGAAGGAACGAGAGAAGTCTCTTTAAAACAAACTTCCCCAACACTGCTTGATGACACATAGAAGTCCGGCCACTCGACTGACTGTGGAGGGCGTGGCGTCCTCCTCTGGTCCACGCCTGTTCCATTTCCACCATTGAGCCACTTCTCTCAGAATGACAAGCCGGACTCTGATGCTGCCCTTGGTGCTCTGGAGGGAACAGGAAAACAGGTTGAATACATATCTCAAACAATGTAGCAAATGTAGCATTCACAACATTGTTTCAGAAATGGTCCCTGGCAGTGGGGCACTGTAGAGGCAGCTCATTGACAATGCACCAGTTCACTGTCTGGTGCTGCAGTTCGTTCAGGAAAGTGTGACACAACGTTCACTTCTGTAACATGGGCTGTTGGGGACATTAGACCATGGATAATCTTCTTAAGGTTCAAACTTAAGGCTTTCTATCCACCTAAGACACATCCTCCAGAGGAAACAGTGAGCCTAAGATGGATCTGACTCATGGTCTGTAGAGCTTGGTACTATTGTCCCCTAGGTAAGGGCCAGGTGGACTGGGACTCGGGAACATGATGTGGAGGCAGGCTTTTGACCTTTGCGACCAGCGTTTTTTTTGTGGGGGGGGGGGGGGGGTGGGGCGTTATGGGTGGTTTGTGAGGTTGGATCATGGCACCCACAACCGGCACTTTCAAAAATCACACTCATTACATCTTATGAATATTGCATTAAAATGGAACGTGTAAAAATGTGTGTTACATCTGCCAGCTTGGACTGTGATCCGTGGAGTGGGTCTCTCACTGACTGTGAGGAAAGCGGTGCCGCCGCAGGTTCACCTCAGTCTGGGCTGAAAAACACAAGACTGATTACAGCTACACAAATCAGATATTCTCTATTTATTTATTACTAGGGGAAATGCATATTAATGAACATTCAACGAAAATGGATGATGAGTAAGACTAGATTTACATACACGTTATTTATGTATTAAATCGACCCTCTGAGGTGATGGAAAAATCTCGTTTTTTTTTTGTTTTGTTTTTAAACAGCACAATATACTAAACATGAAAAAATACACACACATAAACACACACATTATGACGTACATTTGTTTTTTTGCTAACATCAGAACCACCAGACAGGAACACAACAGGACCTTGAGGAATTATAAAAAAAAGTGTAAATCATGCTGCCACCGACCCTTCTGCCTGTTCTGACCCTGTCTGACCCCAGTCGGACCCGTCTGGATAACCCTGTCTGACCCCTGTCTGACCCGTCTGACCAGTCTACCTTGTCGTGACGCCTTGTCTGACCCCATCCTGACCCAAAGTCTGACCCGGTTCTGAGCCCCTGTCAGGACCCTGTTCTGACCCTGTCTGACCCTGTCTGACCCATTCTGACCGTTGTTCTGACCGCGGACCAGTCAGACCCAGTCTGACCCAGGTCTGACCAGTCTGACCCAGTCTGACCCTGTCGACCCGGTCTGACCAGTCCTGACCCAGTCCTGACCCTGGCCTGACCCCCCTGTTCCTGACCCAGTCTGACCCTGTCCTGGACCCTGTCTGACCCATCTGACCTGGTCTGACCTTGTCGACACAGTCTGACCCATTCTGACCCAGTCTGACCCGGTCTGACCCTGTCTGACCCTGTCTACCCAGTCTGACCCATCTGGACCCTGGTATGAACCCCAGTATGACCCTGTCTGACTCCTGTCGGACCCAGTCTGTCCTTGTCTGACCTATGTCCTGACCCGGTCTGACCACAGTCTGACCCAGTCATGGACCCTGTCTGACCCTGTCTGACCCTGTCCGGGGCCCAGGCTGACCCAGTCTGACCCGTATGACCCATCTGACCCGTCTGACCCGTCTGACCTCTGTCTGACCCAGTCTGTACCCTGGCTGAGGACCCTGTCTGACCCAGCTGACCGTGTGTCCTGACCTGTCTGCCCCGTCTGAACCCATTCTGTCCCAGTCTGACCCTGGTCTGGACCCCTGTCTGAACCCTGTCCGACCCAGTCTGGACCCAGTCTGACGCCTGTATGACCCATGTCTGACCCTGTCTGACCCATCACTGAACCCTGTGCTGACCCTGTCGACCCAGGAGCGAGTGCTGCATTGGGGACGTGTTTTAGAAAACCAGGAGAGGGCTGAGACTAGTAAATATCTGACCATCCGGTGGCCCAACTTTGTAACCAAAACTTCGTGAAACCAGGCTACACACTGACCCGCAACCACCTTAAGATTACATGTTATTTAATGTTTTTGGGCCGTTGGTTATTATAGAAATTATTATATGTTTTTATATGTGAAATAATATCCTTTTGTAGAAAGACTACGGGCGGGTGGAAGAGATAACAGACGTTCATAAGTTAACCTCTCTGGAGGACCAGAGAGAGAGACCAGAGAGGGAGACCATAGAGAGACCAGAGAAGACCCAGAAAGAGAACCAGAGGAGAGACCAGAGGAAGAGAGACCAAGAGAACCAGATGAAGAGACCGGCGGGAGAGAGAGACAAGAGTGAGACCAGAGGAGAAGACCAGAGAGAGAGACCAGGAGAAGAGTGACCAGAGAGAGAGAACAGAGAGTAGACAGAGAGAGGACCCAAGAGATACCAGAGAGAGACCAAAGAGACCAGAGAGAGACAAGAGAGGAGAGGAGACCAGAGAGAGAGAGCCATAGGAGAAGAGAGACCAAGAGAGAGACCAAGAGAGAGAGACCCACGAGAGAGACCAGAGAAGAGAGAGAGAGAGAGACCAGAGAGAGACAAGAGAGAGACCAGAGAGAGAGAGACCAGAGAGAGAGAGACCAAGAAGAGAGCCGGCAGAGAGAGAGAGACCATAAAGAGAGACCAGAGAGAGAGACCAGAGAGAGAGGACCAAGAGAACCAAGAGAGAGACCAGAGAGATATCATTGAGAGACTTAAGAGGTGAACATGACAAAGAGACCAGTGAGAGACCAAACCAGAGCTGGCCCAACCGCGACCTCTCCGGTTCATGACATTGAGCTCCTGGTCTGGTAGTACGTCTTTTGAGCCTGAGATGACCAAAGCATTATAATATTAATACTAATAATCTTTATTTGTGTAGCACTTTTTTAAAAAAACAATGTTAACAAAGCGCTGCCCAGGCAGGCATGATAAACAAGTAAGACATAATGCAAAGTCAAAATATTTTAATACATCAATACAGTAGTAATCTTTAGGTAAGTTAGTAATCTTTATTTTATATACCGCCTTTTCACTGCACAATCGGAGTCTCAAAAGCGTTTTACAATTGTTATTTTTGGGGAGTGGGGCCATTCAGGAGGCACATGCCAGAACCTATAGAACATATTTTTAGTAAATTTTTTAGTAATACAGGAAAACAAACACAAGAAGAAAGACACAACAAAGACTGAGCAGACCTAAAATGAAAGCATGGAAGATTAAAAACAAACAATTAAAAAGCTGTTTTATAAGAAGTGGGGTTTTTAGGGGAAGAGATTTTAAAATAGGATACTGATGAAGGCCTTATCCTCCTTCGTGGTTCCAAAGCCGAGGACCCCGGACACAGAAGGCTCGGTCCTCCTTTATGTCCGGAGCCTCGACCTTGGAACAGTCACAGGACCTGCCCGAATCTAAGGCTGGCGGGGAAGGGCACGCAGGGGTTTAAAAGTGCATAAATATAGGCTGGGTTGCAAGACCTAAACGAGCTTTAAAAGTAAAGCAATTGGAAACCGCACAGGGAGCAAGTGGAGGGATCGCTAAACAGGGGTGATGTGCTCCCCTTCGGTCTACCAGTGTGATGTCGGGTTTGTCTGGGATTTGACGTTTCCACTTACAGATGATTAGAGATGATTTTTATTTTAGAACTATTCTTGAAAGAACAACAATAAACACTTTCAGTCACACATTTTAGACAAAAAGTATAAAAAACAAATAGCTGGATTGACAGCGGACAGAGTTACAAAAGGGAATAGTCCACAAGGAGGCTACACACAGGGACCAGGAGAACCACACTGCCCTCCTCCCACCTCGTTTTTTGTTTCTTGTTTATCTGTATGATAGGACAACCAAATAACACACACACACACACACACACTCGAGCACACACGGCACACACACACAGGCACACGCACGGCACACACACACGCACAACACCCACGGCACACGCACGCCACACACACCACACACACCACACACACACACACACGCACACGCACACACGGCCCACACAGGCGACAGATGAACGGCACACACACACACACACACACACACGGGCCACACACAAACACAACAAAGCACGGCGCTAAGATTGTTTATAAAAACTACTTTAAAAAACAAAAACTGATTCCACGACATACAGTACTAGGATCTGCCCATCAGCCCCACTCTGCTCAAACCTTTCTCTACCGTCTCTACTCTCCGCACGGATCGCCATTGTGCGCGCTCAGGGAAGAGCAGAGGCGGAGGGCTGTGGTTTCTACTTCATACAAACTGGTGTAAACGATGTGACAGTGATCTCCAAGCCTGCTCTCCTGCTCTGGAAGATCTTTTCATCATTGTAAACGTGTTACTCCCCTACATGAAAATTGTTTCTTTCATTCTGGCCTCTGTTTACATACGCGGCATGCGCGGACCAGTGACAAGTACTGTGTATGAACGTTTTATACCCGGACTCTCTGAGTATTATCCTGGTGGCTTTTAAATAAGGGAAACTTGAGCCCAGGAATTACCCAAATCACACCGTGCGCGGAGTACAAAGCAGCTAAAGTAGAATTCAGGAAAAGAAATGAACAGCACCAAGTCCCGGCACAGAAGAACGACTACAGGATCAAAGCAAAGGGCAGTGGTTCTCACCCTTCGATCTGTACATCTTAGCAAAGTTTTCTTGTCCCAACGGTTCGTCGCTCAAAACTAGCGGACTCTTTCAGGGAATGAATTCTCACCGCGCGTGGAGGAGTGAGTGAAACTTGCCTTTTCTAGATTGTCAGGTCAATCCTACTGGAGAACGGACAGATTAGAGACGAGGTCTTCAACAGTCCACTCACATGACCAGTGTTTACGCTGGCCTTTGGATTCAAATCAAGACCGCTACAACACAAAACTCGGGGTCATTAAACGCTTCATCACCGAGCCCACCCAGGTCCCACACTAGCTCGGAGGGAAAGAACAGAGAAACCACACAAGTTCAGAGAGACACTTTCCCAATTGGCTACCCCAAGTGTGTCTTTTGTACTAAAGCCCAACAGGACGAGAAAGGGCCAGAGAAACAGTCCAACAGACAGAAGAAAGTAGAGGATGGGTGATCCTTACCGTATGTAGGCGGGGAGTGTTCAGAGAAAACTACATGGAGAATCTCACCACACCCATAGGTTTATACATCACCAAACTGCGTCTCCGGAATACATTTCCCTGAAGAAGTCCGCTAGTTTGGAGGACGAAACGTTGGAAACCTTCCCTAAGAAGTACAGATGAGGGTGAGAAACCTTCTTGCTTTGGCTCTTAGTCGATCTCTGTGGCCGGGACATGGCTGCCTTTAGTTCTTTCCAGAACTGATAGTTAGGCTGCTTTGTATGCGGCCGCGCACCGGGTGGATTTGGGTAAATCCTGGGCTCAGTTTCCCTAAATTAAAATCCCCCAATAATAATCAGAGAGTCCGGGTTGAAACGTTCCATACCAGTACTTGCTCTGCGTCCCGCGCGTGGCCGGTATGTAAAAAGAAGGCAAGAAGGGGATAGGAAACAATTTCATGAGGGGAGTAAACATTTACAATGGAAGGAAAAGAGATTCCGAGAGCAGGAGAGCAGTGCTTGGAAGATCACTGGGTCACAGTCGTTACCCATTTGGATTGACGTAGAAAACCACAGGACCTCCGCCGTCTGCTCTTCCCGGAGTGGCGCACAATGGCGATCCGTGCAGAGAGTAAGACGTAGAAAAGGGTTGAGGCATAGTGGGGTCTGATGGCATATCCTTGGACAGTAATGTCGTGGATCAGGTTTTGACTGTTTTTTATAAAGTAATTTTATAAACATCTAGAGCAGTGCTGTGTGTGTGTGTGTGGTGTGGCCGGGTGTGTGTGTGGTGTTGTGTGCCGTGCATGTTGTCGTGTGGGTGCCGTGTGTCGTGTGCGTGTTTGTGGGTGTGTGTGGCGGTTGTGTGTGTGTGCGTGCGTGTGCCGTGTGTGTGAGCCGTGTGTGTTGTGCGTGGGAGTGGCCGTGTGTGGTGGCCGTGTGGTGCTTGGGGTGTGTGTGTGGGTGTGTGTGTGTATTTATGGTTGTCCTAAAACAGAGTCACACAGGAACAAAAAAGAGGTGGGAGAGGCATTTGGTGCTCCTGGGGTCCCCTTGTGTGTAGCCTCCACGTGTGACCTATTCCCTTTTTAACTCTGTCGCGTCAATCAGTTTGGTTTTTATACTTTTTGTACTAATTGGGTGCTAAAGTGTTTATTTTGGCCTTTTCAAGAATAGTAAGAATTAAATCATCCCACATCTGAGAGGAAACGCTATCAGAAAACCATGACTTCCACTGGTTTTGAACAGAAAGGAGCCACATCACCCCTGTCATAGCGTCCCTGCCACTGGCTCCCTCGGGCGGTTTACAATTGATTTTACTTTTTAAGCTCGTTTAGGTCTTGCACTCCAGCGATATTTACTGCCACTTGACCCCCTACGAGCCCGTCCCCCGCAAGCCTTTATCCTCGGTTGCCCCCCAAAAAAAAAAGGTCCCTGTGACTGTTCCAAGTCCGGAGCTCCGGACAAAAGGAGACCGGAGCCTTCCTGGTCCGGGGGTCCTCGCTTTGGAAACCCACCCGAGGAGATAAGGCTTTCATCAGTATCCCTCTTTTAATCTCTATTCTACAAAACCCACTTTTATAAAAACAGCTTTGTAATAGTGTGTTTTAAACTTCACATGCGTCATTTTAATGTCGGCTCTGTACTTTGTTGTGTCTTTCTCTGGTTGGTTTTGGTTTTCCTGAATTACTAAAAATTACTAAAAAAGATTTCAATAGGTAGGGCATGTGGCTCCCTGTACTGCCCCCTACTCGCCCAAAAATAGACAATTGTAAAACCGCTTTGGAGACTCCGAGGTGCATGAAAAGCGGAATAGAAATAAAGATTATTACGGAACGTACATAATGAATTTCTTACTGTTCTGATGTAGCTAATATTTTGACTTGCATTATGTTATTAGTGTTTATCATGCCTGACTGTGCAGCGCTTTGGTAAAACATAGTTTTTAAAAGTTGCTACTCAAATTAAAGATTATTATTAGTATAATTATTATAATGCTTTGGTCCCATCCGCCAAAAGACTACTACAGACCAGAGATCATCATCGAAACCGAGAGTCGCCGTACCGGCCAGCTCTGGTTTTTGGTCCTCTCACTGGTCTCTTTGTCTCTGGTCTCTCGCTAAAGTCGCGCAATGAGATCTCTACTGGTTTCTCTCTCTCTGGTCTCTCTTGTACCTCCCCTCTCTGGTCTCTCTCTCTGGTCTCTCTCTCATGGTGTGCCTCTCGCTCCTCTGGTCGCTCTCTCCTCTGGTCCCACGTCTCTCGGGTCCTCGTCGAGCGCTCTGGTCTCTCCTTCTCTGGGTCGCGTCTCGGGTCTTCTCTCTCTCTCTCTCCTCCTCTGGTCCTCTCTCTCTGGTCTCATCTATCGCCTCACGGTCCTCTCTCGCAAGTCGCTCTCATCTCTGGCCTGCACCCACTCTCTGGTCTCTCTCTTCTGGTCTCGTCACTGTCGCGCACGGGACTCTCGCTGGTCTCCTCTCTGTCTCTCTCTGGTCTCTCTCTGTCCTCTCTCTCTGGCCCCGCTCGGGTCTCTCGCTCTGAGCTGGTCTCTCTCTGGTCACCTCGGGTCTCTCGCTGGTCCCTCTCCTCTCTGTCGCTCTCTGGGCTCTCTCCGTCTGGTCCTCTCTCTGGTCCGCTCGTGGTCTCTCTCTGGTCTCTCTCGGGTCCCTCTCACTCTGGTCTCTCTCGATCTCTCGGCATGATCCCTCGAGAGTTAAGAGTTATGGAAAATCTGTTAGCCTCTCTCTTCCTCCGCAGGGAGTTTTTCTACAAAAGATATTATTTCAAATTTAATAAACCATAGAAAGAATTCTCATAATAACGAACGGCCAAAACATTAAATAACAAGATCCTTAAGGGTAGAGGTCAGTGTGACGCATGTTCAAGAATTTCTGGGTTTTGCAAAAATGTGGGCCACGTTGGGCAGATAATTTTATAGTCTCAGCCCTCTCCTGTTTTGCCAAACACGTGCCCCATCGAGCACTTCGCTGACTGGTCAGACAGGGCAGACAGGGTCAGAGATGGGTAGACAGGTGCGACTGTGGTCCCATACAGGGGACAACTGGGTCAGACATGGGTCAGACAGGTCTGACATGGTCAGACAGGGGACCGACGTGGTCAGACTGGGTCACACTGGGTCAGACAAGGTCAGAACAAGGTCAGACTGGTCTACAGGGTCAGACAGGGTCGGACTGGGTCAGACAGGGTCAGACGGTCAGACCTGGGTCAGACTGGTCATACAGGGGCAGACTGGTCCGACGGGGGTCATACAGGGGCAGACAGGGTCAGACAGGTCAACGGGGTCAGACTGGGTCAGACCTGGGGGTCCACAAGTCATACAAGGTCCAGACTTGGTCAGACAGGGTCAGACAGGGTCCAATAGACTGGGTCATACAGGGTCAGACGGTCAGGACTTGGGTCAGACAGGGTCCACAGGGTCAGACAGGTCAGACGGGTCAGACTGGGGTCAGACTGTGGCAGACAAGGTCAGACACAGGTCAGACTGGTCAGGAGAAGGTCCAGGACAGGGTCAGCTGGGAGTCAGACTAGGGGTCAGACAGGTCAGACTGGGTCAGACTGGGTCAGACAGGGTCAGACAGGTCAGAACGGGTCAGACTGGGTCCAGACGGGGTCAGACTGGGTCAGACTGGGTCCAGGACAAGGTCAAGACAAGGTCAAAACTACTGGGGCAGACAGGGGCAGACAGGGGAAGACAGGGTCAGACAGGGGCAGACAGTGTCATACTGGTCAGACTGGGGTCCAGACAAGTCAGACATGGTCAGACTGGGTCAGACAGGGTCAGTCAGGGTCCATGACAGGGTCAACAGGGGTCAGACTTTGGGTCAAACAGGGTCAGACAGGGGTCAGACAGGGTCGGGCGACATGAGTTAACACTTTTTTTACTAATCCCTCTATGTCCTGTTTTGTGTTATGTCCTGGGGGTTCATGACTGTTAGCAAAAAATACAAATGTAACTCCATAATGTGTGTGGTTTATGTGTGGTATTTTTCCATGTTTGTTATTGTTGCTGTTTAAAAAACAAACAAAAAAAACGAGATTTTCTTCAGCAATCAGACGGTGTTCGATTTAATCATAATAAAGTGTATGTAAATCTTGTCTCCCATCATCACATTGTAGTTGGAACTGTTCATTAAATGCACTTTTTCCCAGTAATAAATAAATTAGAGAAGTAAAATGTTGTGTGTGACCTGTAATCCGACCTTGTGTTTTACAGACCAGACTGAGGCTGAACCTGAGGAGAGCACCGCCTTTTCAACCCAGTCAGGTGAGAGACCCTCCAAGACAAGTCCCAAGCTGGGATGAATGGAACACACACATTTTAAAAACTTTCCATATTGAATGCAGATATTCAATAAGATGTAATGGAGTGTGTTTGTGAAAGTGCAGTTGGGGTGCATCCCACCTCTCAAAAAACCAACAATAACCGCTGGTCCGCAAAGGGCAAAAACTGCCTGTCCACAGTATGATGGGTGACCCGATCCAGGTCACGGGGCCCTTACATAGGGACATTATACCAAGCTCTACAGACAGAGTCAGATCCATATTAGCTCACTGTTTCCTCCTGGCGGATGGGTATTCTAGTGGATAAAAGCTTAAGTTTGACCTAAAATGAATATAGCCACTGTCTAAATGAGCCCCAACACGACATTTACAGAGCGAAAGTGTGTCACACTTTCCTAAAGATCAGCAGCAAGCCCAGAAAGTAAACTTGGTGCATTTTGCAATGAGCTGCACTACAGGGCCCCCTGCAGGACATTTTCTGAAACCAATGTTGTGAAAGCTACTATTTTTAATGGTTCTGGCAGATATGTAGTGCACACCTGTTTTCCTGGTTGCCCTGGCCTCCAGAAGCGACCAAGGGAGCAGCAAGGCCGCTTGGGATTGTCTGAGAGAAGTGGGACAAATGGTGGAAGGGAAACCAGGCGGGGAACCAGAGGAGGACGCCACGCACGCTCACAGTCCAGCGAGTGACGGACTGTGCTATGTGTCCATAAGACAGTGTTGTGGGAAGATTTGTTTTAAAGAGACTTCTCCCTCGTTACTTATTGTAAAAAAGGACCTGTTAGCTTTACTTACATAGTCGCTAACACAGAAAGTATACTTAATTTTATTCGTTGGCCTTACTTTTGTGTTAGCTGTTATAGAACCACTACAAGCTCTGGCCATCCACTAAAATAGCGGTCCAAATCCAAGAAGACACGATCTGAACTGTCCAGTGACTATTGCACTAACTGGACTCACCGGCGTTGGGGCCTGCTGTGAACTCGCCGTCTTAAACGCTCCTGAACCAATGCAGAGGCCGGGGAAACCTATGAGCCAATGAAAAACGCTTCGACAAACCGGGTCACGACTGTTTATACCACAACTTTTAATCCACCTCTTACAACCATAGTCCTGATGCCCTGGCTCTACACATTCTGTGAGAGAGACAAGAGGGGAGACCTGTGAGAGAGAACAGAGAGAGACCAGAAGGAGACCAGAGAGAGACCAGAGGGGGAGCTGTGAGAGAGACCAGAGGGAGACCTGTGAGAGAGAACAGAGAGAGACCAGAGGGAGAACAGAGAGAGACCAGAAGGAGACCAGAGAGAGACCAGAGGGAGAGCTGTGAGAGAGACCAGAGGGAGACCAGAAGGAGACCAGAGAGAGATCAGAGGGAGAGCTGTGAGAGAGACCAGAGGGAGACCAGTGAGAGAGGCCAGAGAGAGACCAGAGGGAGACCAGAGAGAGACCAGAGAGAGACCAGAGAGAGACCAGAGAGAGACCAGAGGGAGAGCTGTGAGAGAGACCAGAGAGAGACCAGAGGGAGAGCTGTGAGAGAGACTAGAGGGAGAGAGACTTTTACTGCATATGTTATTGTTTATCTACAGTGTGTTTTCAAAAGCATCAAACTTCTCACATGACAAAGAGAAAGAAAGAGACTCAAATGTATGGATTATTTAATATTAAAATACGTTCCTCTGCGATCACTAAAAGTCACTAAAGGATGAGGTCACGATGAGATATTTCCGTTGAACAGGAATCAGAGAGGATCGGGACGAGAACCCATTACACTCTGTATAAGTGTGGATCTAACATGGTGGCCCAGTCCAGTCATGGCACCTTCCGTAGCAGCGTCCTGAGCTGGCGCCGGATGTCATGTGACCTGAGGCCGTAGATCAGCGGGTTGATGGCGCCCGACACCACGTGGTGAACGACGGAGATGTACATTCGCTCCTGACCGAGATGCGGGAAACGATGAAGAACGATGATGAGGAGCGAGGAGCCGAGGAAGAGGCTGTAGGCGCTGAGGTGAGTGGAGACGGTCTGTAGGGCTTTGTGGTTCAGCGACGCACTGCGGCTGGAGAGACACACACACACAGACAGACACACACACACACACACAAGTACAGAGTGAGGTTTGTGGAGACGGTTTATAGGGTTTTGTAGTTCAGGGACGCACCACTGTTGGAGAGACACACACACACACATAGACAGACACACACAGAGACACACACACAGAGACACACACACAGACACACACACAGAGACACACACACACACACACACACATACAGAGTGAGGTTTGTGGAGACAGTTTGTAGAGTTTTTCTGGTTCAGCGACGCACTGCGGCTGGAGAGACACACACACACAGACAGACACACACAGAGACACACACACAGACACACACAGACACACACACAGAGAGAGACACACACACAGAGACACACACACACACATACAGAGTGAGGTTTGTGGAGACTGTAGGGTTTTTCTGGTTCAACGACGCACTGCGGCTGGAGAGACACACACAGAGACAGACACACACACACACGCACAGAGAGAGAGACACACACACGTACAGAGTGAGGTTTGTGGAGACGGTTTGTAGGGTTTTGTGGTTCAGGGACGCACCACGGTTGGAGAGACACACACACAGACACATTTAGACACACTCAGAGACAGACACAGACACAGAGACACACACACAAACAGAGACATAGACACACAGAGACACACAGACACAGATAAACACACATAGAGACAGACACAGATACAAACACACAGAGACACAGATACACACACACACACACACAGAGACACACACACAGACGCACACACACAGACGCACATACACAGACATACACACAGACACACAGAGACACACACACACAGACATACACACAGACACACAGACACACACACACACAGACACACACACACACACACACACACACACAGTGAGGTGAGTGGAGACGGTTTGAAGGGCTTTGTGGTTCAGGGACTCACTGTGGCGATACACAGAGAAAGAGAGACACACAGACACACACAGAGAGAAACACACAAACACACACACTTGTCTTTACTACATTGTGGTGCAACAGAACAAGGACATCACCTCCGACTACAGCAGCTACAGCAAAGCAAAGAATATCTTTTTTTTAAAAAAAGGTCCAGCACCTGACTTTTACTGTACTTTTGGGGACATACCTGGTTTGTCTCGACTTGTAGGGACAAAACTAACACACTATTTGGTTTTTAGCTCCTTTTAAAAACTCTCACTCTCACACACACACACACACACACACACACAGGCATGCATCAGGCATGAGCAGGATCCCTGCTCAAAAAGGTCCATAAGCACGTGCACTGACATTCTGCAGTCTGGCACCTTGCTGGTGGGGGTGTACCCGGAAACAGAATCCTCCACTGGATTCTTGAAAACAGTTTTACAGCCTGGTTCAAAAGTCACTCTTGGCTCAACGCTTTGTTCCAGATGCTGCCAATGCTGAGGACCAGTCTAGTTTAGCAGCGGTGGACTTCTGAATGAACATGTTAAATTAACCTCATGTGTCAGGCTCTTGTCAGACTAATTTGTGCGCAAATGATTCAGCGTCTGCTCCGAAAGTGTTTTTTCACCATTTTCTTGCGGGAGGGGATTTTTAAAGGTCGGCAGGAGAGAAAAGTGATCCCACATAAGTTTCAACGGCGGAGATAGGCGTCACTATGTCTGTTAATATATACAGTCTATAGCACACAAACACACCTCCGCATACACACTCACCTCCTCACACTCACACACCTCCTCACACAAACACACACACACTCACCTCCTCACACACACACACAGACTCACCTCTTCACACACACCACAGTGATCTTGCCGTAGGACAGCAGAACTGTGCCGATGGAGCCCCCTAGCAGCAGCACGGTGAACAGCAGGCCGTACACGTTGTTGACGAAGGTGTTCTGACACGACAGCTTGAAAAGCCCCGCGTTACTGCAGCTCAGTCCCACCACCAGGGAGCGGCAGCGAGTCAGTCTCACCGTCAGCCCCAGCAGGACAGCCACCAGAACAAAGGAGGCCGTCCATGCGCCCACCGCCATCCTCAACACCGTGCGACCGCTCATGATGGCGGCGTACCGCAGCGGGCAGCAGATGGCGATGTACCGGTCAATCGCCATCACCATGTAGAGCGTGTGACAACTGCTGGCAAACAGGTGCACGAAGAAGGCCTGAATCACACACGCTGTGAGGGAGAGAAAGAGAAAGAAGCTGTAACAGTAGAGGAGAACAGCTCTCTCTCTCTGGTCTCTCGCTCTGGTCTCTCTCTCTTGTCTCTGTCTCTGATCTCTCTCTCTGGTCTCTCTCTGGTCTCTCTTTGGCCTATCTCTGGTCTCTCTCGCTCTGATTGTTCTGGTCTCTCCCTGGTCTTGCAGTGGCAGCCGGCCTCTACTGCACATAGGCTAATACTATGGTGAAAGACCAGAGAAAAAACAAAGACCAGAGAGAGACCAGTGAGAGAGACCAGAGAGAAACCAGAGAGAGACCAGAAAAACACCAGAGAGAGACCAGAGAGAGACCAGAGAGAGATCAGAGAGAGACCAGAGAGAGACCAGAGAGAGACCAGAGAGAGACCAAAGACCAGAGAGAGAGACCAGAGAGAGACCAGAGAGGCACGTACAGTACAGGTGGATGTGTCTGGCGCTCAGGGGGCGGAGTAAGTCCCAGAGGAGGCGGGGGATGACGGTGCTGCTGTAGAGAACGTCACAGAGCGACAGGTTCATGTAGAGCAGGTACATGGGCTGATGCAGCGAGCGCGTCCCGGCGATGAGGACGATCATGGTCCCGTTAGAGAGGACCAGGAAGACGAAGATGAAGAGGAGGACAAGCACGACCGGGAGCGTCTGAGAGGGGGGTAGGGTCAGGCTCTCCAGGACCAGCACCAGGTCCGAGCCGTTAGACTGCATCTGAGCCATGAGGACCAAGACCCGGGCTGAGGAGAGCGAGGGGGACTGTGAGGACCAGGACTGAGGAGAAAGAGGGGGACTGTGAGCACCAGGACTGAGGAGAGAGAGGGGGACTGTGAGCACCAGGACTGAGGAGAGAGAGGGGGACTGTGAGGACCAGGACTGAGGAGAGAGAGGGGGACTGTGAGGACCAGGACTGAGGAGAGAGAGGGGGACTGTGAGGACCAGGACTGAGGAGAGAGAGGGGGAATGTGAGGACCAGGACTGAGAAGAGAGAGGGGGACTGTGAGGACCAGGACTGAGGAGAGAGAGGGGGACTGTGAGGACCAGGACTGAGGAGAGAGAGGGGGACTGTGAGGACCAGGACTGAGGAGAGAGAGGGGGACTGTGAGGACCAGGACTGAGGAGAGAGAGGGGGACTGTGAGGACCAGGACTGAGAAGAGAGAGGGGGACTGTGAGGACCAGGACTGAGGAGAGAGAGGGGGACTGTGAGGACCAGGACTGAGGAGAGAGAGGGGGACTGTGAGGACCAGGACTGAGGAGAGAGAGGGGGACTGTGAGGACCAGGACTGAGGAGAGAGAGGGGGACTGTGAGGACCAGGACTGAGGAGAGAGAGGGGGACTGTGAGCACCAGGACTGAGGAGAGAGAGGGGGACTGTGAGGACCAGGACTGAGGAGAGAGAGGGGGACTGTGAGGACCAGGACTGAGGAGAGAGAGGGGGACTGTGAGGACCAGGACTAAGGAGAGAGAGGGGGACTGTGAGCACCAGGACTGAGGAGAGAGAGGGGGACACAAACACAGATGACATCATCAACAGTGTTTTTGATGAATGTGAATTTAAACGGCCTCTGTTTTTGGTTTTTTACAAAGGTTTTGAGTGACCTTTCACCTTTGACGCCCAGAAACACATTGTTGAACTTAGAGACCAGAGAGAGACCAGAGAGAGACCAGAGATGGACCAGAGAGAAACCAGAGATAGACCAGAGAGAGACCAGAGATAGACCAGAGAGAGAGACCAGAGATAGACCAGAGATAGACCAGAGAGAGAGACCAGAGATAGACCAGAGAAAGACCAGAGAGAGACCAGAGAGAGACTGGAGGTAGACTAGAAAAAGACTAGGGGGAGACCAGAGAGAGACCTGAGAGAGACCAGAGGTAGACCAGAGGGAGACCAGAGGGAGACCAGAGAGACCAGAAAGACACCAGAAAGAGACCTGAGGTAGACCAGAGAGAGACCAGAGGGAGACCAGAGAGACCAGAGAAAGACCAGAGAGATACCAGCGAGACCGGAGGTAGATCAGAGGGTGACCAGAGAGAGACCAGAGGGAGACCAGAGAGAGACCAGAGGGAGACCAGCGGTAGACCAGAGAGAAACCAGAGAGAGAGACCAGAGGAGCATCAGAAACAGACCAGATTGAGCAGATCTGTTGAGAGACACCAGAGAGAGACCAGAGAGAGACTAGAGACCAGAGAGAGACTAGGGAGAGACCAGGGAGAGACCAGAGAGAGACCAGAAAGAGACCAGAGGTAGAACAGAGCTCTTAGAATAATCACTGACTCTTCTGGCTCTTTGGAAAAGCCATGTTCCAGCTTCTTCCCTCTGGCAGAAGGCATCGTTTGCAGGACATCAGATTAAACAAAGCACTTAATGATCTTGTTATTGAAACGGTTTTTGTTGATTTCACTGAGACACTTGTACTTTCTTTGCTTGCTATTTTGTAATTTGTGCAAAATGAATCAGAACCAGAATTATTTTTATTGAATGCTTTTATAGGAAGTTCCAAACGAGAAATCGCTTTGGCTCTCGGTTAAGTTATGAAAAATCGAGATAACATTATTTTACTGTAGACTAGTGCCACACAATAGACTGGGGGACTCTTGCACATGTATGCTAATGGGGTTTTACTGCAAATGGAAAACAAACTCAATCTGAATCTGAGTATTGTTATCTGAGTATTGTTATCTGAGTATTGTTATCTGAGTATTGTTATCTGAGTATTGTTATCTGAGTATTGTTAGTGCGATTTACTTGGAAGCAAAGACCTTTTCACACTGTAACAAATGTCTGACGAATTACAATGAAATGTCAACATTAAACAAATGTTATTTAGAAAAACAATTTAAACATGCAAATTTAAGTATAAATTGGTAAAAAAAAAAAAAAAAAACATCCAGTGGCGTTTTATGACCACAATTATAATGTGATTACAAAAAAACTTTACAATACCATAAAATCACATGTTGTTAATTTAATTTATCAACTTGTTGTATTTTTGGAATTCTGGGAAATTTTTGCTACAAGTAACCATGAGTGTAAAAGGCGCAAACTCCTGCTTTTGTTAAAATGATACTTTTGCGTTAAGCATGTTGTAGAAGTAAAGAATTCAACTATGTTCTTGTATAAACTGAAGATGTTGAAAAATAATTGAAAAGTTGGGTTCATTAAAGTAAAACAAAATTAAACTGTTTTACTGTAATAATACAAAGTTAACTTTATAAAGCTGTTTTTGTTGTTGTTAAAACACATATTAAACAAACATTTTCATTCTCTGGTCTCTCTCTGGTCTCTCTCTGGTCTCTCTTTGGTCTCTCTCTGGTCTCTCTTTGGTCTCTCTCTGGTCTCTCTCTGGTCTCTCTCTGGTCTCTCTCTGGTCTCTCTCTGGTCTCACTTTGGTCTCTCTTTGGTCTCTCTTTGGTCTCTCTCTGGTCTCTCTTTGGTCTCTCTCTAGTCTCTCTCTGGTCTCTCTTTGGTCTCTCTAATAATTGGAAAGTTGGGTTCATTAAAGGAAAACAAAATTAAACTGTAGTTTTTTGTTCAATGAAACTAATTAGAAACAGAAACAGTCATGTGGTGTAATAATACTATATTAACTTTATAATTCTGTTATTGTTATTGTGAATGAACAGAAACAGTTAAATCCTAAAATCACAAAGACATCTGTGATTCAGTGAAACAGTCTTTAACCGTTAACATTAGCCACGGTAAAGCCATGTTGAGAAAACGGTAAATCCCTGGAACCATATTTGCAGCTTTTTACCGTTTTTCTACAAGGACATTCTTTACAGTGTATCCAACTTTTGTGAAATCATGGTCTAAAGGAGTCAAATACATGAAAGTACAGAGTCTGAGGAGGTCTCACTCTGTCCCGTCTCAGGTCTAGATATTTCATGATGTGTTTTTCTCTCTCTGTGTAAAAGAAAATACAGATCTGAAGTGTTATACTGTGCTGTAAAGAACTTAAAACACAAACATTTTCATTCTCTGGTGTCTCTCTGGTCTACATCTGGTCTCTCTATGGTCTCTCCCTGCTCTCTCTGTGGTCTCTCTCTGGTCTCTATCTGGTCTCTCTCTAGTCTCTCTCTGGTCTCTCTGTGGTCTCTCTCTAGTCTCTCTCTGGTCTCTCTCTCTAGTCTCTCTCTCTGGTCTCTATCTGGTCTCTCTTTGGTCTCTCTCTGGTCTCTCTCTCTAGTCTCTCTCTCTGGTCTCTATCTGGTCTCTCTTTGGTCTCTCTCTGGTCTCTCTCTGGTCTCTCTCTGGTCTCTCTCTGGTCTCTCTCTGGTCTCTCTTTGGTCTCTCTTTGGTCTCTCCCTGGTATCTCTCTGCTCTCTCTCTGCTCTCTCTCTGGTCTCTCTCTGGTCTCTCTGGTCTCTCTCTGGTCTCTCTCTGGTCTCTCTCTGGTCTCTCTTTGGTCTCTCTCTGGTCTCTCTCTGGTCTCTTTGGCCTCTCTCTGCTCTCTCTCTGGTCTCTCTCTGGTCTCTCTCTGGTCTCTTTCTGGTCTCTCTCTGTGCTGTAACGATTATAAAACACATATTAAACAAACATAATCAAGTCTCCGCACACAACACATCTTCTGTTTCTGAATGAATACAATAAATATAAATAATACATATATTACAATGATAAGTGATGAATAACAGAGACAGTCTGTGATCTGAGTGGGATCATGTGTTTTACCTGCGGTCCTCAGCTCTGCCCTGCGCTCACTCACATCCCTCCCTTTTATAGTCAGACGCTCCACACCTGCACCAGAACAACACCCCTCAGGAGCTAAGCAGAGCAGGGGCAGGCGACCGCTGTGATGGGAGACCACAGGGGGCGCTCTAAGGTCTGGGCCAATGCTCACGTGTGGCTCAGGGGTCAGAGGGAGAAGGCTGTAAAACCACACACACACACACATGATGGAGCCGTGGAGCTGGGTTTGGGTGAGTGAAGCGCTCATAGTCAGAGTTTGAGCCGTTGTACTGCTCTTTCATTTATAAAGTTGTCCTTGTGAAAAATATGTCGGAAACAGAATCGTTGCTCATTGTCATTGTTGCTCAGAATAGAAGGAGAAATAAGTCTCAGGTTATGCACTCGTCAAAGAAGACCTAGATAGACAAATAATAAAAGACAAACTCTGGTCTCTCTCTGGTCTCTCTCTTTGGTCTCTCTCTTTGGTTTCTCTCTCTGGTCTCTCTCTGGTCTCTCTCTCTGGTCTCTCTCTGGTCTCTCTCTCTGGTCTCTCTGGTCTCTCTCTCTGGTCTCTCTGGTCTCTCTCTGGTCTCTCTGGTCTCTCTGGTCTCTCTGGTCTCTCTGGTCTCTCTCTGGTCTCTCTCTGGTCCCTCTTTGGTCTCTCTCTTTGGTCTCTCTCTTTGGTCTCTCTCTTTGGTCTCTCTCTCTGGTCTCTCTCTCTGGTCTCTCTGGTCTCTCTCTGCTCTCTCTCTGGTCTCTCTATGGTCTCACTCTGGTCTCACTCTGGTCTCACTCTGGTCTCTCTCTCTGGTCTCTCTCTTTGGTCTCTCTCTGGTCTCACTCTGGTCTCCCTCTGGTCTCACTCTGGTCTCTCTCTTTGGTCTCTCTCTTTGGTCTCTCTCTGGTCTCACTCTGGTCTCACTCTGGTCTCACTCTGGTCTCTCTCTTTGGTCTCTCTCTTTGGTCTCTCTCTGGTCTTTCTCTGGTCTCTCTCTCTGGGGTCTCTCTGGTCTTCCTTCAGTCTTGCTCCTGCCCCTCAGTGTCCTCTGCAGCTGTATTTTACAGTGTATGCACGGCTTTTGACCTACAACCAACAGGTTTGATATCGCTGGTCTCTCTCTTTCAGCAGTCGTGAGTTCAGGTGGTTAGAAAAGTGTAGAAAGGGTTTTACAGCTGCTACTTGAAGGATTTAACTTATGGGGTTATTTTTTAGAACACATCCCGCCTGCGATAAACCAGGGACCTAAATGTGTTTGTTATATTATATCAATGATGGAGTTAGCAATGTGATAATATAATTTTTTTTATATGCAGAAATCACTTTGAATTCCAAGCTTATTCAGATAATTTTTTTGCCATTTGCAGTAAAACCACAGCAGTTGTTGCACTTTTTACAGTTTCCTGAATTTACTGAAAAAATCTGTTTCAGGAGGATTGCCGTGCGAGCTCAGCGAGGGCGACGTCGTCTGTGTTTTCTCTCAGTAAGACCTTATTCTACAGACCTCACATTACACCTGTGTTACAGACCTCACATTACACCTGTGTTACAGACCTCACATTACACCTGTGTTACAGACCTCACATTACACCTGTGTAACAGACCTCACATTACACCTGTGTTACAGACCTCACATTACACCTGTGTAACAGACCTCACATTACACCTGTGTTACAGACCTCACATTACACCTGTGTAACAGACCTCACATTACACCTGTGTAACAGACCTCACATTACACCTGTGTTACAGACCTCACATTACACCTGTGTTACAGACCTCACATTACACCTGTGTAACAGACCTCACATTACACCTGTGTAACAGACCTCACATTACACCTGTGTTACAGACCTCACATTACACCTGTGTTACAGACCTCACATTACACCTGTGTAACAGACCTCACATTACACCTGTCTAACAGACCTCACATTACACCTGTGTTACAGACCTCACATTACACCTGTGTAACAGACCTCACATTACACCTGTGTTACAGACCTCACATTACACCTGTGTTACAGACCTCACATTACACCTGTGTAACAGACCTCACATTACACCTGTCTAACAGACCTCACATTACACCTGTGTTACAGACCTCACATTACACCTGTGTAACAGACCTCACATTACACCTGTGTTACAGACCTCACATTACACCTGTGTTACAGACCTCACATTACACCTGTGTTACAGACCTCTCATTACACCAGTGTTACAGACCTCACATTACGCCTGTGTTACAGACTTCACATTACACCTGTGTTACAGACCTCACATTACACTTGTGTTACAGACCTCACATTACACCTGTGTTACAGACCTCACATTACACCTGTGTTACAGACCTCACATTACACCTGTGTTACAGACCTCACATTACGCCTGTGTTACAGACCTCACATTACACCTGTTTTACAGACCTCACATTACACCTGTGTTACAGACCTCACATTACACCTGGGTTACAGACCTCAAATTACACCTGTGTTACAGACCTCACATTACACCTGTGTAACAGACCTCACATTACACCTGTGTAACAGACCTCACATTACACCTGTGTTACAGACCTCACATTACACCTGTGTTACAGACCTCACATTACACCTGTGTTACAGACCTCACATTACACCTGTGTAACAGACCTCACATTACACCTGTGTAACATACCTCACATTACACCTGTGTTACAGACCTCACATTACACCTGTGTTACAGACCTCACATTACACCTGTGTTACAGACCTCACATTACACCTGTCTAACAGACCTCACATTACACCTGTGTTACAGACCTCACATTACACCTGTGTTACAGACCTCTCATTACACCAGTGTTACAGACCTCACATAACGCCTGTGTTACAGACTTCACATTACACCTGTGTTACAGACCTCACATTACACCTGTGTTACAGACCTCACATTACACCTGTGTTACAGACCTCACATTACACCTGTGTTACAGACCTCACATTACGCCTGTGTTACAGACCTCACATTCACCTGTTTTACAGACCTCACATTACACCTGTGTTACAGACCTCACATTACACCTGTGTTACAGACCTCAAATTACACCTGTGTTACAGACCTCACATTACACCTGTGTTACAGACCTCACATTACACCTGTGTTACAGACCTCACATTACACCTGTGTTACAGACTTCACATTACACCTGTGTTACAGACCTCACATTACACCTGTGTTACAGACCTCACATTACACCTGTGTTACAGACCTCACATCACACCTGTGTTAAAGATCTCACATCACACCTGTGTTACAGACCTCACATTACACCTGTGTAACAGACCTCACATTACACCTGTGTAACAGACCTCACATTACACCTGTGTTACAGACCTCACATTACACCTGTGTTACAGACCTCACATTACACCTTTGTTACAGACCTCACATTACACCTGTGTTACAGACCTCACATTACACCTGTGTTACAGACCTCACATCACACCTGTGTTAAAGACCTCACATTACACCTGTGTTAAAGACCTCACAATACACCTGTGTTACAGACCTCACATTACACCTGTGTTACAGACCTCACATTACACCTGTGTAACAGACCTCACATTACACCTGTCTAACAGACCTCACATTACACCTGTTTTACAGACCTCACATTACACCTGTGTAACAGACCTCACATTACACCTGTGTTACAGACCTCACATTACACCTGTGTTACAGACCTCACATTACACCTGTGTAACAGACCTCACATTACACCTGTCTAACAGACCTCACATTACACCTGTGTTACAGACCTCACATTACACCTGTGTAACAGACCTCACATTACACCTGTGTTACAGACCTCACATTACACCTGTGTTACAGACCTCACATTACACCTGTGTTACAGACCTCTCATTACACCAGTGTTACAGACCTCACATTACGCCTGTGTTACAGACTTCACATTACACCTGTGTTACAGACCTCACATTACACTTGTGTTACAGACCTCACATTACACCTGTGTTACAGACCTCACATTACACCTGTGTTACAGACCTCACATTACACCTGTGTTACAGACCTCACATTACGCCTGTGTTACAGACCTCACATTACACCTGTTTTACAGACCTCACATTACACCTGTGTTACAGACCTCACATTACACCTGGGTTACAGACCTCAAATTACACCTGTGTTACAGACCTCACATTACACCTGTGTAACAGACCTCACATTACACCTGTGTAACAGACCTCACATTACACCTGTGTTACAGACCTCACATTACACCTGTGTTACAGACCTCACATTACACCTGTGTTACAGACCTCACATTACACCTGTGTAACAGACCTCACATTACACCTGTGTAACAGACCTCACATTACACCTGTGTTACAGACCTCACATTACACCTGTGTTACAGACCTCACATTACACCTGTGTTACAGACCTCACATTACACCTGTCTAACAGACCTCACATTACACCTGTGTTACAGACCTCACATTACACCTGTGTTACAGACCTCTCATTACACCAGTGTTACAGACCTCACATAACGCCTGTGTTACAGACTTCACATTACACCTGTGTTACAGACCTCACATTACACCTGTGTTACAGACCTCACATTACACCTGTGTTACAGACCTCACATTACACCTGTGTTACAGACCTCACATTACGCCTGTGTTACAGACCTCACATTACACCTGTTTTACAGACCTCACATTACACCTGTGTTACAGACCTCACATTACACCTGTGTTACAGACCTCAAATTACACCTGTGTTACAGACCTCACATTACACCTGTGTTAAAGACCTCACATTACACCTGTGTTACAGACCTCACATTACACCTGTGTTACAGACTTCACATTACACCTGTGTTACAGACCTCACATTACACCTGTGTTACAGACCTCACATTACACCTGTGTTACAGACCTCACATCACACCTGTGTTAAAGATCTCACATCACACCTGTGTTACAGACCTCACATTACACCTGTGTAACAGACCTCACATTACACCTGTGTAACAGACCTCACATTACACCTGTGTTACAGACCTCACATTACACCTGTGTTACAGACCTCACATTACACCTTTGTTACAGACCTCACATTACACCTGTGTTACAGACCTCACATTACACCTGTGTTACAGACCTCACATCACACCTGTGTTAAAGACCTCACATTACACCTGTGTTAAAGACCTCACAATACACCTGTGTTACAGACCTCACATTACACCTGTGTTACAGACCTCACATTACACCTGTGTTAAAGACCTCACATTACACCTGTGTTAAAGACCTCACATTACACCTGTGTTACAGACCTCACATTACACCTGTGTTACAGACCTCACATCACACCTGTGTTACAGACCTCACATTACACCTGTGTTACAGACCTCACATTACACCTGTGTTACTCCTGTGTTCAGGTACAGGTTTACAGAAGTGGATCACAGAGGCACAGTACCCGTGTGTGGCCACAGGAGGCGCCAGAGAACACGGAGTGAAAGTCTGAGGTTAGATTCTCGGGAAGAGAAAATCATGGGGAAGGTTTTAGAAGGTTTTAGAGCTGATCTAACAAAGTGAGACACACACAAACACTACACACACACACATACTGTAACTGTACGTATTCACGTGCACGGCACACACACACACACACATACTGTAACTAGTATTCACGTGCACGGCACACACACACACACCCATGTATCTAATTTAAGTTCAACATCTTTTGAACATCTTGGTTCAGATCTAGTTCAGACCTGGTTCAGACCTGGTTCAGACCAGGTTCAGACCAGGTTCAGACCTGGTTCAGACCTGGTTCAGACCTGGTTCAGATCTAGTTCAGACCTGGTTCAGACCTGGTTCAGACCTGGTTCAGACCAGGTTCAAACCTGGTTCAGACCTGGTTCAGACCAGGTTCAGACCTGGTTCAGACCAGGTTCAGACCAGGTTCAGACCTGGTTCAGACCTGGTTCAGACCTGGTTCAGACCTGGTTCAGACCTGGTTCAGACCTGGGCTGTCCTATATGACGTCAGCAGTTTGTCTCACTGAATATTCAGGACCTCTTTACATTTTCTCAAACATGTATTTAACCCAAGACAAAGCACAAATCTGGACCTGGTCTGAACTAGGTCTGAACCAGGACTGAACCAATTCAAAACCAGGACTAAATCAGGTCTGAACCAGGACTGGACCAGTTTATTGTCAGTTGACTTATGTTTGTAGATAGTGTTCATTGCAAAACCAGGTATATTAAACAGTTGTTTATTATGTTTAGTTGTTGGCAGTGGATTTGCTCAAAAGGAAAAAACATTATTTTTATTATACTAAAATAAATCCGGCTTATCCCAAATTATAAGCATTTAAAATATTCAGATTGTATTCATCTGTTTTTGCAAATTCATTTTTCATATGTATTTCTCTTGTGTCTCACGTTTCACAGACTCCGCTGCAGATGTCGTTCTGAGAGATTTTCTGTGTCTTTGTGAATAGTTAGAAAAATGAGAATCACAGATGTAAGAGTGTAAACCAGGGTCTGTGTGAGAGCACCAACACACAGACCAGACTCTACGGTCTCTCTCTCTACGGTCTCTGTGGTCTCTATCTTGGGTCTATCTTGGGTCTATCTGGTCTCTATCTGGGCTTTCTTTTTCTTCTCTCTCTTTATGGTTTCTCTCTGGTGAGCCTTAGGTCTTTGCCTCTGGTCTCTCTCTATCCTCTCTCTATCCTCTCTCTGGTCTCTCTCTGGTCTCTCTCTGGTTTCTCTCTGGTCTATCTCTGGTCTCTCTGGTCTCTCTCTCTGGTCTCTCTCTCTGGTCTCTCTCTGGTCTCTCTGGTCTCTCTCTGGTCTCTCTCTGGTTTCTCTCTGGTCTATCTCTGGTCTCTCTGGTCTCTCTCTCTGGCCTCTCTCTCTGGTCTCTCTCTGTCCTCTCTCTCTGGTCTCTCTCTGGTCTCTCTCTGGTCTCTCTCTGGCCTCTCTCTGGTCTCTCTCTGGTCTCTCTCTGGCCTCTCTCTGGTCTCTCTCTGGCCTCTCTCTGGTCTCTCTCTCTGGTCTCTCTCTGGTCTCTCTCTGGTCTCTCTCTCTGGTCTCTCTCTGACACCACAGCCAAACTGCTGTTGTGTCCTTGGACAAGACACCACACCCCTTTTGCCTCGCTCGAATAATGAAATGT